GATTCTGCATTTCTAATCCACTTCTTTTTCCCTAATATTCAAACAAGTTACAGAAAAAATCGAAATATCACTTTTAACGCTAATTATGCTTATAAGTCTGGATTGAAATAATTAATCATTTTGTTATCGTGAAAGAGTTTTAAGCCTAGATAACATTTCGTTCTTAATCAAAGGTTCTCAGGTGTGTTATTAAAGTGTCAATCCTTGTTGATGACCCTGTACGGAATTTTTTTACATATAGAAACTTGGGATTCCCCTTCTTCAACCTGTGGTCAATCCAGAGATCTATCTCTATGTTTAACTCTGAACTGAACTCAGTTGAACTATCAGAGTGTCCCATATCATATTGGATTATCTCCAAGGTTTAACGCCAAAATACGCACATAATACTCGAAAAACCTAGTATTTTCTGCAAGAAAATTTTATATTAGCCTTTAATAGTTTTTCAAAATGATTAATTCTTCTTAAATTTTCTGATTAGTCCCGAAAATCGTAATTTAGAGTTATTAACAATCTAATATGATGTGAGACACCCTTATACAATACAAAAAAAAATCTAAGAGCGCAGTTTTAGCTTTCAGCTCTGGAACTCAATAAAAACAAACTTATTCAAATATGTGTTAAACTATACCCTATGTAATATTCTTTATAAGGGTCATTTTATTTTGACGCACATTTAAACATAAAAATTACAGAAAATCGAAAAAATGCGTCAAAAAAGAAATTTTACCAATGCATTCGCGTTTAACTGTGTCCGTATTGATTATGTAATAATTCGCTTCCCTGTTATATCCAATAATCGCGGAGCAAACTATTCTTCATTTGTCTTAATCTGGGTATCCGTCCCTACCCAATACTAACTTGTTAAGAGACCTGAGTTTCACTGTAGAGTCTGGTTCCGAACCTAGGTTTTCACCAACTAACATGGATCAGGTAGAGTTTTGTTTACTCCGGATACTGAGTATAGGTGGACACAAGAGAGCAGGATTTAACAATATATTTTACTGCATTATTAGGTGTGGGTTGGAACTATAACCAGTAAATTCATAGAAGATTTGAGGACCTCCCTCTTTTGCATGAGGAATAAAAAAATTAAATTATATTATTTATTTAAATACCACATAACATAATACACCCTGTAAAGTACTCATATAAACTAGTTTACAGAAACATCCTATAGAGTAGTCTAGAACCCAGTATACAGATACACCCTGTATAATAGTTATGAACCTAATATACAGATACACCCTGTAGAGTAGAGTAGAACCCAGGGAGTAAGGAATAGAAGGGAAATATATCTGACTCGGTTCGCCCTACGATATGATTATACATGCTTTGCAGACGGTACTTTATTTGTATAAGAAATATTCAGAATATGTTATTGTATACGTGGTAATTGTTACATCAGACAAATGAGACAAATATTTCTTATTCAAATGAAGTATCATCTGCAAAGCATGTAAAGCACGTATAATCATATGGTAGGGCGAACCGCGTCAGTTATATCTCCCTTCTATTCCTTACTCCATGGTAGAACCCAGTATACAGACACACCCTGTAGAGTATTGTACAGGGTGTCCCACATCAAATTAGACCGCGTCAATGGGTCTAAATTACGATTTGGGGGAAAAATCAGAAAATTTAAGAAGAATGAATCATTTTAAAAAATTTAATAAGGCTAAAAGAAAATTGTGTTGGCAGAATATGCTAGATTTTTCGCGTATTATGTGCGTATTTTGGCGTTAAAAATTGTTGATAATCTAATATGATATGGAACGCTCTGTAGAACTAGTATACAGATACACCCTGTAGAGTAGTCTAGAACCTTGTATACAGATACACCCTATAGAGTAGTCTAAAACCTTGAATACAGATACACCCTGTAGAGTAGTATAGAACCTTGTATACAGATACACCCTGTAGAGTAGACTAGAACCTTGTATACAGATACACCCTGTAGAGTAGACTAGAACCTTGTATACAGATACACCCTATAAAGTAGTCTAGAACCTAGTATACAGATACACCCTGTAGAGTAGACTAGAACCGAGTATGCAAATACACCCTGTAAAGTAGTCTAGAACCTTGCTTACAGATACACCCTGTAAAGTAGTCTAGAATCTAGTATACAGAAACACCCTATAGAGTAGACTAGAACCCAGAATACAGATACTCTGTAGAGTAGTCTAGAACCTAGTATACACATACACTCTGTAGAGTAGTCTAGAACCTAGCATACAGATACATCCTGTAGAGTAGACTAGAACCTTGTATACAGATACATCCTGTAGATCAGTCTAGAGCCTAGTATACAGATACACCCTGTAGAGTAGACTAGAACCTAGAATACAGATACTCTGTAGAGTAGTCTAGAACCTAGTATACACATACACTCTGTAGAGTAGTCTAGAACTAGTATACAGATACATCCTGTAGAGTAGACTAGAACCTTGTATACAGATACATCCTGTAGATCAGTCTAGAGCCTAGTATAAAGATACACCCTGTAGAGTAGACTAGAACCTAGTATACAAATACACCCTGTAGATTAGGCTAGAACATAGTTTACAGATACACCCTGTAGAGTAGACTAGAACCTAGTACACAAATACTCTGTAGAGTAGTTCTAGAACCTAGTATACATATACACCCTGTAGAGTAGTCTAGAACCTAGTATACAGATACACCCTGTAGAGTAGTCTAGAACCTAGTATACAGATACACCCTGTAGAGTAGACTAGAACCTAGTATACAGTTACACCCTGTAGATTAGGCTAGAACATAGTTTACAGATACACCCTGTAGAGTAGTCTAGAACCTAGTATACAGATACACCCTGTAGAGTAGACTAGAACCTAGTATACAGTTACACCCTGTAGATTAGGCTAGAACATAGTTTACAGATACACCCTGTAGAGTAGACTAGAACCTAGTATACAAATACACCCTGTAGAGTAGTCTAGAATCCAGTATACATATACACCCTGTAGAGTAGTCTAGAATCCAGTATCAGATAAACCCTGTAGAGTAGACTAGAACCCAGTATACAGGACCTGGTATTCAGATACACCCTGTAGAGTAGTCTAGAACCTAATATACTTATACCCCGTAGAGTAGTATAGAACCTAGTATACAGATACACCCTGTAGAGTAGTATAGAACCTAGTATACAGATACACCCTGTAGAGTAGACTAGAACCTAGTATACAGATACACCCTGTAGAGTAGTATAGAACCCAGTATACAGATACACCCTGTAGAGTAGACTAGAACCTAGTATACAGATACAACCTGTAGAGGAGTCTAGAACCTAGTGTACAGATACACCCTGTAGAGTAGACTAGAACCTAGTATACAGATACACCCAGTAGAGTAGTCTAGAACCTAGTATACAAATACAACCTGCAGAGTAGTCAAGAACCTAGTATACAACTACACCCTGTAGAGTAGTCTAGAATCCAGTATACATATACACCCTGTAGAGTAGACTAGAACCTAGTATACAGATACACCCTAAAGAATAGTCTAGAACCTAGTATACAGATACACCCTGTAGAGTAGTCTAGAACCTAGTATACAGATACACCCTGTAGAGTAGACTAGAACCTTGTATACAGATACATCCTAAAGAATAGTCTAGAACCTAGTATACAGATACACCCTGTAGAGTAGTCTAGAACCTAGTATACAACTACACCCTGAAGAGTAGTCTAGAATCCAGTATACATATACACCCTGTAGAGTGACTAGAACCTAGTATACAACTATACCCTGTAGAATAGTCTAGAATCCAGTATACATATACACCCTGTAAGGTAGACTAGAACCTGGTATACAGATACACCCCTGTAGATGAGGATAGAACATAGTTTACAGATACACCCTGTAAAGTAGACTAGAACCTAGTATACATATACACCCTGTAGAGTAGTCTAGAATCTAGTATACAACTACACCCTGCAGACTAGTCTAGAACCCGGTATACAGATACACCCTGTAGAGTAGTCTAGAATCTATTATACAGATACACCATGTAGAGGTGTCTACAGCCCATTATTACTCTATTAAAACGCGCCAACACTTTCATTGTTAACTGTAATGGATGCATAATCATTACTCAGCATCCTTCCAAGTTTTTTTCATTGATAGTACTAGTATGAAGAACTAGATGCGCCATTAGATTTTTAATGTCTTTAAAGCAAGTAAAAACATTAGAACCTTGCTGATGTATGGGACTTAAGCATCAGAGTCCTTAGAATAATGCTACACGTTGTAACTATGAAATGTACAAAATTGTTAAGTCTTAAGTCCGAGGATAAAGTGTTCTTATTTGTATTGTAAACGGAGTAAACCCGTATTGTAAAAGGAGTAAACCCGTATTGTAAAAGGAGTAAACCCGTATTGTAAAAGGAGTAAATCCATATTGTAAAAGGAGTAAGCCCGTATTGTAAAATGAGTAAGCCCGTATTGTAAAAGGAGTAAACCCGTATTGTAAAAGGAGTAAACCCGTATTGTAAAAGGAGTAAACCCGTATTGTAAAAGGAGTAAACCAGTATTGTAAAAGGGGTAAACCCGTATTGTAAAAGGGGTAAACCCGTATTGTAAAAGGGGTAAACCAGTATTGTAAAAGGGGTAAACCCATATTGTAAAAGGGGNAGGAGTAAGCCCGTATTGTAAAATGAGTAAACCCGTGTTGTAAAAGGAGTAAACCGTATGGAAAAGGAGGGGGGGGGGTTCAATGCAATTGTGTACAATTTAATAAAAAGAAAAGGAAAAAGAATATAATAAAGCCATAACAAACTTTTCTCTCCAAAAATGTCCTTATCCAATTCTTCAAACCTTCCAATACCAGGTGGTTTCAATAATGGGGTCGGACAGTTATATTGATCACATTTCTGATTTTGAAATATTGCAGATGGTTAGCAATCTGATCTGACATTATTATCTACACAAATACAATTGTATAATACTAACATTTAAATAAAATAATTACTCGCATAGACAAGTTGGAAATATTTATTTTTGAACGACAAGATACTTGTTAATTTGTTTTTAAGAACTATAATATATTCGAGATTTGTTGACCTCGCTTTTATTGAAAACAAAGTTTAAGGGAGTGTTTGCATTATTTTTACTGAAGCTCTGCTGAGTTCCTACCGATCCAATTTGAACTATTTCAGAGACAAAAATGATTAAAATTAAAAAAAATAAAAATCCAAAATAAAGCATACTACCCTTTTAATGCTCAACCATTGGTCTCATAAAAACCGAAGTTTTCTAAGAAAGAGACCTGTTGTTCATTTGAAAAACTCCGAAGCTCTGATAATGATAGATTGAGACAGGACTGAATGAATAAATTATTGTATCTGAGCAGCCGATCTATCAGTTCTAACGCTGGGTAGGAAACCTGCTCCTAGTAGTTCGGGTCTCTCCATCAGGGTTCGGAATACAGTCATAAAATCAGCAGCTAGCGCTTCGTCGATATACCTGGAGAAGGGATTGATTACTTTAGTTGGGATTAATAACAAACTAAAGAAATAGATAATAGCTAAAGATTCGTTACAAGCTCTAAGATTCATCTGGCTGAACATTACACACCCATTACATCCGAAAAAATGCCACACAACAAATTTGCCACATATATTATCTAAGATCATAAAGTCTGCCACAAATAGTATAAATTGAAGTCTCTAGATGAACCCCTACGGATAAGTAATTAGTTGATAGGCGAATCTAACATGGAGAGAATCATATATTCCAATACTAATGACACGGGATTACTATGATTCCTAATAAGATCCAGATATTACAACTGAATTAAATTTTGCGATTTTTCCGTTGCTCTCAATATCTAATTTTCTCGCTACAATATTTGGATTGATTGTTTATTTAAAACAATGCGTTATTAATTTATGAATTAGAAACTTTACCTTCTATCAAATGAAAGGGTTGATGTCATCACGGTTTCAGGTTTCATTGTATCCGGGTTTATTACCATCCTACCGCCACCAACCGCAAGGATTGCCGCCTGCGGAGAATTAATAATCGCCGTGAACTCTGTAATTCCAAACATACCAAGGTTGGATATGGTGAAGGTTCCTCCCTGGAACTCGTTAAGCTTAAGTTTATTCTCACGAGCTCGTCCCGCCAGCTCCTTCACCTCCCCGGATATTTGCTGAACCGCTTTATTGGCCGCGTCCTTGATAATTGGTGTGATAAGACCAGCCTCGGTCGCAACAGCGACACTCACGTCAATGGTTGGCATCTGAACCGGTTCATCCTTCACTATATTTAGGTTCATCTCGGGAACATACAGCAGAGCTGTTGCAACAGCTTTGATTACAAAATCATTAATGGAAACCTTGAATCCGGACTTAATATATTCCTGGCGTAATTTTGACACTGAATCTATGCAAGCTGTTGCAGAGCTGTAACCATGTGGTGCTGTCTGCTTGGAGTCGGTTAAACGTTTAGCGATAACCTTTCTCATTGTAGTTAGGTCTGTATCTGTGTATCCACTCCTAGGTTTTATCATTTTGGGTTTCGCAGTCTCCTGGGCTTGAGATTTACCAGCTGCCTGGGGCAGAGCAACCTGTTGAACCTGAGCGGTCAGGTTGTTGGCAGAAATATAGTTTAGAACATCCGACTTTACAATATTACCCTTAGGTCCGGAGCCGGAGATTTTACTGGGTTCAATATTGTACTGGGAGAGGAGAAGAGCAGTGGCAGGACCAGTCTGAGCAGGATGAACAAACTCATGATGAGCAGAAACTGGAGTAGGAGCAGGAGTAGCGCTTGGAGCAGGAGCAGATGCTTGTTGTTTGGCAGGAGCTGGTATACCTCCTGCAGCAGGAATAGCAACATCTTTCCAATCCTGGCCTTCTTCTACTGTCAGAGCAATAGCTGTTCCAACCTTAAAACAATAAATCATAAAATCATAAATTTTGACAAAAATATAAAAGTACTTTAGAGAGGCAGCACATTTATCCTACAATCTTGATCTTATGTTAGGATAAAGAGTTAATTGCAAAATAGAATCCCTCTGTTTATGTGTTATATTATATTATAACAATTGTATCTTTATTATTTCATGATTGTCTGGGTTTAGTGTCAGCAGCTGAGATATTGAATTTAAAAGCATGTAATTAGCTAAACTTCCTTGCAACAAACCAGAAATTTCAGACAGAATTAAAAAAGAAGCAGAGATTAGCAGAATTCTGAACCGATTAACAATAGATAAGAAGAATATACAGACTATTTTGAATACCAATTATTTTGAAAATGTCAAAAATAAATGTTGGGGTGCTGTTTCACACTTGGAGTTTTCGAGGTCTTGGGACCCCCCCCCCATCCGCCCCCCCCTTAAGGCGGGGAGGGTCCCTTGGCCCCATCGAGATATTAGTAATAGAGGGGGCATCTGGAATTTTAGACTTCTTATTGTACAGCCACTGTACACAATGGCCTGATCAGAAATTCTACCTGGGGGGATCATAATTCGTAGATCAGTGTTTTAAGACATTATATTGTTTGAAAGTGAAGCCTACAATATTCAAGCAAAGAAAACAAGGCCATATGATTTTTGTATAAAAATGAGACATGACAAATAGAGAAAAAAACCAGCATATCCTGGTTTTCAAGTAACACAGCAGAGAGGGTCAACACATAAATAATGAAGAACGTTTTTGTTTTAAAAAAGATTATGATTATTTCTGGTTTCCCTTATTTTTTTCTCACTTATTTCACAAACTTTGATTACTAAATCTTTCGACTGATAAATAAGTCCACCTCGAAAAGCTGTTCTTTGCTTAGATTCTCTCTTTGGTATGAATGGTCATGCCTTGCGACCTGTAATGAGTTTTTCACACAACCCATTTCAAATATAGAGGGAACTGCGCCATTTCTTGGTATTTTGCTATCTTTGTTTCTATAACAATTTTTGTCAAAATGTTCACTGCATATAAAAATTGGGTGTTTTGTCTTCCAGATAACTTGTTCTATCCACTCTTTTCGTATGTTATGAAAAATTTCTGAACCCGAAACATCGTTGTTTACACAATTTTTGACACTACAATATCACATTGTTGAAAAATATTAAAATTAACTGTCCACACAATACCGTACAAATAGATGTACTTAGGATTAAACCCACTGTACTCTATGATACCAACTCAGTCATAAGGAAACATTTTTCGACAAAATTCACTGTACAGTATAAACCTAGCCAGGCAAAATTAGGAGAGTTATGCCCGCCCCCTGCTTGGCCCCAAGAATCCCAAAGTAGGAAAAATTGAAATACTTAAATACCATTAAAAAAATTTTGTACAATTTTGCAATTATCTTTAAAAAAAGAAATTGTTAAAAAAATAACAATTGTATCTACTGTGCAAATGCGCAAGCGACTTTGAGCAAAACCAAACTTAAGAATTAAGAAAGGAGGCGTTGCATCTTAGACATTTTTCATATCTCAGCCAAAAATGGTGGCAGCCTGTTCTGATTTTGCATGGTCACTAATTTGGTGACCTAGAAACAGGATGTGAAGTAAAATCTTCCATATCTTCAGTCGGAGTCTGGATTTATAGGATCTGGCACCTCCGACAGCTCCGATTTTTTATCTCTGAACCTATTGCACTTAGAGCTCAAATTCAAAACTCCAATACCCAAGGACCTATATAATAATGTATAAAAAAAATGTTGTCGATTTTTTCAAAAAGGTATTTTTGGGGTGATCTGGCCAAAAAAAATGAAAGGAAAAGATAATACAAAAGCTTTTAAGGGTGTTCTAAATTTTTTGTTACTACTTTTCGATATTGAGTAACCAATCTGACATTTTCTTGGGAAATAATGAAGGTAGCAGGTGGTCATTTGATATGATGATTTAGGAACAGAATATGAGGTCTGATCTTCAATATCTCTGGTCGGAAATATAGGTCCTAAGGTCCGGAGATAAAAAAAACGGAGGCGTCGGAAGATTCAGTCTCCGACCAGAGATATTAAAGATCTGACTGCATATCATCCTGTTCCTAATCATGATATCAAATGAGCACCTGCTACCTCCATTATTTCCTGAGTAAAGATTAGCTATATCTATAAGTAGTGAATAATATTTTTGAAATTTTTTTTCCAAAAAAGTTTACTTATAAAACATTTTGTAGTATCTTTTTCTTCGTTATTTTTAGCTAGATCATCCCAAAAATCAACTTTTAAAAAACTTTTTTTTGACACTCTGTCAGAGTAAGAAAGAAATTGAAATTAGAATAAAAAATTTTCTTGATTTATATTGGTCTTAATGTATTGCAGTTTTAAACTTGAACTCTGTAGTTCCTATAGCTACGGAAATAAGAAATCGGAGCCGTCGGAGGTACCAGATATATTCAGACTCCGACCGGAGATGTGGAAGAATTGACTTCATATCCTGTTTCTAGGTCATCAAAATAGTGACCATGCAAAATTAGAACAGGCTGCCACCATTTTTGGCTGAGATATTGAAAAATATCTCAGATGCAATGCCTCCTTTTCTGACAAATGAACATTAACAACTGACATCTACATTAAGGTTAAAAGGGCACAACTGTGAATTGTCCATACCCTTTAACCAATACAAAACCTACCGGTATTCCTGATGAGCCCTCAGCGACTAGAATCTTAGCTAGGATACCCTCATCATCTGCCTCCATTGATACAACAGCTTTATCCGTCTGAATATCACAGAGCAGATCTCCAGCTCCAATCTGGTCTCCTTCCGCCTTATACCATTTCACAATGGTTCCCTCGCTCATGGTAGGGGAGAGACTAGGCATATTCAAGGATATTCCAGGTACAGATCCACCGGTCATCACAGGTTCACCTTAAATACATAAATAAACAGGGGGCAGATGATTAGCTGTCTACTTTAAACCTGGGATTTCGGAGGTTTAGAAGCTCAGTACCCAAGTTTATATTTTACACAAAGTCAAAAACAAAGATTTACGAATTATAAAAGGATTTGGATTAGGTTAAGTGCTCCGGGTATTTCTAATAGAGAGAAGATGCTTTGTAAACCTATGGTTTAAGGGCCAGCAGCTCCGAATTGAGAAGACACTGTATGTTTGGGTTTCTTGCTGCTCGTTAAGCAGCTGCCTAATATACCTGAGGTTGTAGGATCAGCTGTGTTAGGTTCTCCTGCTGGTCTAGGTTTAAGAGCAGCTGTATTTTATACCCGAGGATGTTGGAGCAGCTGTGTTAGGTCTTCCTGCTCCTCCAGGTTGAAGAGAAGCTGCATAATAAACCTGAGGATGTAGCAGCAGCTGTGTTAGGTTCTCCTGCTGCTCCATGTTTAAGAGCAGCTGTCTTATATACCTGAGGATGTAGGAGCAGCTGTGTTAGGGTCTCTTGCTGCCCCCGGATGGGGAGCAGTTGCCTGGTTTACCTAAGGTTGTTGAAGCAGCTTCTTCTATTGCTCCAGGTTGAGAAGCAAGTGTCTAGTATACCTGAGGTTGTAGGAGCAACTGTATTAGATTTTCCTGCTGCTCCGGATTGAGGAGCAGCTGCAACCTCCTTCCAGTCCTCTCCTTCCTCTGCCACCAACGCTATCAGCTCTCCAACCTAATAAATTGATGAAATCTTATCATATCAACAAAATGTAAACTAACGCAAAAAATAGTCAAAAACTGAAGTTTTTTTAAAGGGCATCCAATACAAGCGGAAGGAGTATCCAGAACAAACCTTGACAGATCCTGAATCTGCAGGAATAATAATCTTCGCTAGAACTCCCTCATCATCAACCTCCATGGAGACAACAGCCTTGTCTGTCTGAATGTCACAAACAACATCTCCAGCTTCAACCTTCTCACCCTCATTCTACAAGAGATAAGGATCAGTATCATCATAAATATTATCATCGTTATCATAGTAATTATAATCATTATCATCATTGATTTAATAGTGAATATTTTTGTGTTGTTATTGTTATCAGTTATTATTATTGTTATCATTATTATTGCTACAATTGGTATCAATGTTAACATTGTTATCATTGTTATTGCTATTATTGATATTGTTCCTATTTTTGTTATAATAGCTGTTTTGGTTTTTATTGCTTTTATTGTTGTTATGGTTGTTAGTGCTTTTAGTGGTTTATTGTTGTTATTGCTTTTATTCTTGTTGTTCCTTCAATTTCCATCTGTTATTTACTTGATCTCTCTATCCACCATTGAAGCTTTAATTGTATCTTAGGTCTGATATTTACCTTGAGCCATTTAACAATAGTTCCCTCAGCCATGGTTGGAGAAAGGGAGGGCATCTTGAGTTGTAGAACAGCAGCAGGAGAAGAGGTGTGAAGGTTGGCAGAGAGTAACGTTCTACTCATCTGCAGAGTACTCTGCCAACCTTTACAAACTCGTAACATTCTATCTGAAATATATATTTAGTTTCCCATCACATTGTTAAATAAATAATCAAATACATAAACTTTATAATTTTTACAATTTTGCAAATTCTGGGGCTGCACTGGATTTATCCATTTGTGACATCGCTGCCTTCATCAGATCCTCGGATTGAAGCATGACCATGTTGTATCGTGCAACATGATCTAATCCCTCCTCCGTGGTGTGTTCACGAGAGTAAACTAAACTCTGTTTAGTTCCTTGAACTGCTACAGGAGACTTGCTTGCGATACTCTTCGCTAGTTCTAGAGCTCCTGCCATCAACTCTTCTCTGGTCTCATAAACAGTGGATACAAGTCCAACCCTCTCCGCCTCATCCGCCTTCATCTTCCTGGCGGTTAGACAGAGTTCGGAGACGAGACTTTGACTTCCCAGAACCTTGGGGAGACGTTGAAGGGTTCCAACATCTGCTGCTAGTCCCATATCGACCTCTTTAACTTGGAACCATGCATCCTTAGAACATAATCTGATATCTGTAGCTGTTATAAGATCTACTCCACCACCTATACAGGCAGAATGAATAGCTCCGATGACAGGTTTGGGACAGGTTTCAAGTTTTGTAAACTGGTTCTGCAAAACCCGGATCTTATTGTACATAAGAGTAGTTTTCCTTGCAACGTCATCATCTCCGTATACAATACTAACTAGAGAACTCAGGTCTGCTAGATCGATCCCGGAGGTAAACATCTTCCCCGCTCCACTGAGAATTATAACCCGACAATCTCCGTCCTGACCCATCTTGTCGAATACGTCTCCGATCTCCATCCAGAGTTCGTTGTTTAGTGCATTCATTTTCTTCGGTCGGTTCATTTCTACGCTGAAGACGAACTTCGAAGGTTGGGTGACGTTCAAGTGTGTGTAGTTGTAGGATATTGCCGACATGTTTCTCAGGATTGTTCTGTTAGCTCCGGAGCCAAGTATTCTCCTGGCGAGTAGACTACGCACAGCCATGTTTACTCTGGAAGATAGGACATAGTTCAAGTTTAATTTTTCATTTAAATAACTCCAGGAAACTAAACTAGTTTTTACAATTTCTTATCAATATTAATTCAAAATTTACAAACTCGCCATCATTCAGAGGATACAAAATTCGTATAAATATTTGAGAAAGTTCACAGTTTTTTAGGAGTTTTGGGCATCCTGACAGGTCGCAGGAACGGATTATCTATTACTTCAGATTCTGCGATGGATTCGTTCAATCGTCCTCGATCATCATCATCATCATCGTCGTCGTCTCGATGCGTGTTCTTTCGTCGTTTAGGACGTCGCTCAACCTCGTCCTCCTCAAAGACCTGGTCCTTAAACACCAGGGCGTCCACGTAGGCGGGGAGCTTGAACCCCTCCTCCTCCCTGATGCAGGATATCAAGGGGAAAAGGTTAGAATCTTCGGAGTTAAATAAATTATGAATCTTCCCGGTCTTTGCAATAAATCTTGTTAACGCTCTCTCAACATCTCGCTTCTGACTCGCAGCTAAAAAAATCAATATTTATTGCAAAGTTAAGAAAGGTATAAAAAAAAGCAAAATATTCATGATGTAAAGTGTTTCAAAGAAAATGACGAACAAAATGTAAAGGATTAACAAAATGAAAATGATGAACAAAATGTAAATGATGAACAAAATGTAAAGGATGAACAAAATGTAAAGGGTGAACAGAATTATAAGGATGAACAAAATGTAAAGGATGAACCGAATTAAAAGGATGAACAAAATGTAAAGGATGAACAGAATTAAAAGGATGAACAACATGTAAAGGATGAACAGAATTAAAAGGATGAACAAAATGTTAAGGATGAACAAAATGTTAAGGATGAACAAAATGTTAAGGATGTACAAAATGTTAAGGATGTACAAAATGTTAAGGATGTACAAAATGTCAAGGATGTACAGAATTAAAAGGATGAACAAAATGTTAAGGATGAACAGAATTAAAAGGATGAACAAAATAAGGATGAACAAAATGTTAAGGATGTACAAAATGTTAAGGATGTACAAAATGTTAAGGATGTACAAAATGTCAAGGATGTACAGAATTAAAAGGATGAACAAAATCTAAAGGATGAACAGAATTAAAAGGATGAACAAAATGTTCAGAATGTATTTAGAATGAAAAGGATAAACAGAATGTAAATGATGTACAGAATGAAAATGATGACAACAAATTGCAAAGAATGTAAAGAAAAAGGATGTAAAGAAAGTAAATGATGAACAAATTGCTAAGGATATGTAGAGAATGTTAATGCTGAACAGAATGTAAATGTTGTATAGAGTGTAACAGATACAGATAGCAAATAGTTTCCATAGTACTTCATGTTAGGATGTACAGAATGTAAGGATATAAAGAAAGAAAATGATGAACAAATTGCTAAGGATGTACAGAATGTAATGGCTGTGCAGAATGTAAAAGATACAGGTCGCAAATAGTCTCATAGTACTTCATGTTAAGAATGCACCTAAAGATAGGGTTTTAATGAATTTGAACAGTTTAGTCTCAGAAGATAGATCTATTAATCTATAAAAAAAATAATCTGAAAAGAATCACAAAATTGACCCCCCCCCCCCCCCACTTTTGGGGACCAAATATTCAATATAGTAAATACAGTTCCAAAATAGTAAAACTGTTCTTACCCTTTTCTCTGACACTCTCATAATCCGTGACAGGTTGTCTGTGGGTAGGTGTGCGTATATAACTGTGACTGTCTGGCATCTCAGGCATATGTTCGGGAATGTACGCAGGGTGACGCTTCTTGTTTCCAGTGTGAAGGATAGCTGTCTGCTTGGCAGGGACCGCCTGATGACAATCATTATTGATTGTTTATTTTTCAAAATTAGGGACGCATGTAAAAGAAAATATCAACAATATTTTGCAAAAGCTGGAAAATTATGCTATGATAAATTGCAGAATTGTAATAAACCAATAATTTTTTATCTTAAAGTGAAAATTATAGTTTTACACTGGAATTTACTCGAGCAAGGAGATAAGCTTGGATTAATCAACACCCTGTCATTAGTTAACCCAAGAGAAAAGAACTAACCTGAGTAGGTTGAGATAATGAGACTCTAGTTCCTCGTTGTGAATACTCAGACAACCCCTCCAGCGGTATACCCATCTCTACCAGAGCTAGAACTAGATCTGCTACTACAGGTTCAACCCGTCCTGCCAACTCACAGTATGCTCTTGCACTCCGTCCTAACTCCGTCACTAAACTCAACGAGAGTTCGGTTAATGTTTCTAAACAAGAGTTCTCCGCGGAGTCAAACCCAACCTCTGTACATAGGGCGGATACTCCGACCTTTAGACAATGTCTGAACGGATCAGCTAACTCCTGCTCCGACATTTTTCACTAATAGCACTCGAACTTATTAAATAAATGGAGACTACTGTGTACACTCTACCACCATAGTGTACACTGCACACTGAATCAAACCGGAGAGTTAAATATGAAACCTTTAAAAACAACACAATTTTTGAAGTTGTAGAGAAAAAATAAAGATATTTTGAAGCCAGTTGTTTATGAATTTTATCAACAGTAAATTTTAAATTTTATCTTACTTATTCATTCATAATCATCTCATATTTTCAAAATAATAATAATTCTTATTTAAGTTCTATTTAAATGGACCGCTGTTCAAAATATCCTCTACATGTCTGCTCTTCGATCAAAATATATTATTATATTAATATCTTATTTAACAAATTAATACAATTTATTCAGTAATAATAAAAAACGAAAAATTTAAATGTGACCTAATTATACCGCTATTATTGATTTAAAATATATTTCAGTTTAAAGATGAATGAATCGAAAAGTTTAATATCCTTGGCCAGAAGATTTAACAACGTTAATCTAATAGAACTCCAGAGTACGGGATATCTTCCTTTCAAGTTCGAAGAAACAAGAATCGGAACGATTTCTCCGTTAGTTTTAGAGGAGATGAAACCACATCCAAGTATTTTCTCCATAACCCCGGAATGTGTCCGACTCAACCAGGATCTAAAATGCTATGATGAGAGGAGCGACGAGTTGCGGAAGTTCATGGAGGAGATGAGAGAGAAGAACTTGTTTACAGCTCTGGTCGGATGGAGAGATGAATGCTATGAGACCAGGCTCAAGTTTGGAGATCCTCCAATCTTTAAGGTGTCTAAATTTATATATGTTAAATTCAGGGGTTTATATTTTCTGGCATCATTCCCCCAATTTATTTTATTATTTTTCCTTCAGTTTCAATTTTTCTATGTTTTATTTGATGGAATGGAAAAAGGGTGAAATAAATTGCCTTTAATAATAATGTAAGAATTCTTAAAGTTTTTCAATTGATGAATTTGCATTATTTGGAAGGATAAATAATTTTTTAGGGAAGTCGTCTAAAAAGTTGATGCCCCATTTATCATTAAAACCTAATAAAACATTATTATCTGAATCCTAGGTTGAAAGAGCTGGAACCCCTATCCTAGGTCTCCGGCAGTACGGAGTTCATATTAACGGATTTGTTAAAACATCAGAGAAGGGAAGATCAATTTGGATTCAGCGAAGATCAAAAAATAAACAAACATATCCAGGAAAGCTAGGTGAACAAATTACTTAATGGGACTGTCCTCCTAACTTTAAGTGATCCTCCATTAAGTCCGACTTACAACAGTACTCTTTAAACATCAAGGATGAGTGAGATATCCGGCATTTCTCTCTGAAAATTGATGATTTATGCAAACAATTTGTGATCTGAAAAAGTTCTCCGGGGTACCGTATTTGACCCATGACGACGTTACTTTTGCTAACTGTTATATTTTCTTTTTAGATACATTCGTTGGTGGAGGGTTTGCAGAAGGTTCTGGTGTTCTCCAGACAGCTATCAGAGAACTTGAGGAGGAAGCAGGACTGATCCTTCCTCCACATCTTAAACTTAAACCCTGTGGAAGCGTTTCATTTTTCCATATCTCCGAACGTGGACTCCATCCTCAAACAGAGTTTGTTTATGATCTCGAGCTCCCGCTGGACTTTCTACCAGAGAACAAGGACGGAGAAGTTCAAGGGTTTGAGTTGGTTAGGTCGGATCAACTTATTAATCTCATCCAAACCGAGGTAAGATTTTCAATTTTCTTTTTACCCATGATTCTATTTACAAATTGTATTTTTTTAGGATTACAAGACGACAAGTATTCCTGTAGCTCTGGACTGGTTAGTGAGACATGGTTTCCTCTCCTCAGAAACCGAACCTTATCTTCCAGAACTGATAGAGGAGCTACACACTCCGCTTCATATATTCTACAATTAAATTTGAGAAAATTTACATAAATATGACAAGCCCTTAAATACAGTATTAAGTTAGATAACTCGAGGATCTATACCAGAGACAATTTCTACCCTTCTTTCATCATTCCCATCTTATTAGTGTGGATAATATAAAATGTTAGCAGTCTTAGAAACTTCAAAAACTAAAAGAAAAACTAAGAAAATAAGATTTTACTGAAATTAAGGAGTTATTTCACACTATTGGCATTTTCATTCCGACAAATTTTATCATAAATTGAGAAACCTGGTAACGGTCCTGGACGAACCTAGCAATAAAAATAATTACGAACTTCAAGACGTCAAATTTTCTGAAAAAGAAAAATGTTATCTTGAAAATTCTCTTTCCCTTTTTTTTGCTTACCACCCCCCTCCAAGCTGCTCTAGTTTTTGCCCTAAACATTTTACAATTTTTATGTCTAGTTTAACATCCAGAATTTCCCGCTGAACATGATATTTTCTTAATTAGTAGAAAACGAAATGCAAACGTCAGAGTATATTATTCTGTTTGAAAAACCAACAGTTTATACAAAATGACACTTTAGACAATTTACAAATTATCTATTTAGAGGGAAAACCTTGTTTATCACATAGTTACCAAACCAGATGTTTAATTCCTTTTTTTTCTATTTTGTTCGCTGAACTAATGTTTTAAACTTTAAACAATTCCTAAAAATATGTAGATTATATATTTCATAGTAATGTAACTAGTAAGGAGTTGAAAACTGTTAAATGACGAGCTGATTTATATCGATTCAAATACCTTCAGCTATTTTTTTCCTTTCTTGGAGTTCAATTGATCTTTCATATGTCAAAACTTATTTTAAAAGTTTCCAGCTTAATCTATGTAATTATGTAATTATGTAAGAAAATTTCAAATTTAGATTTTATTTGATGTTAAGAATAAATTTATTTATGTTATTCTGTTGTATTTTTTTCAGAGAAATTGTAAAAATGAGAGCTAGGATACTAACTTCTTTTCAAACAAAAATGTACGAACATACAAATTTTTTTTTAACCTCTTATTAAACCTTTTTTTTAACATTTCAAGGTTTGAGAGAGGTTTCAGCTCTGGAGCTGATCTTAGTCCCTTAAAGGGAGTCAGGTGAGGTCTTTGAGTCGAAAGGTTTCGGATGTTTTCGTGTTGAAGCGTTACCATAGCAATGATAAATATTGTTAAAGTTAAAATTTAGATAAAATATAAAATCAGAATCCTTGAAGAAGAAAGATATGCAAAAGGTTTTTGATTATTAAAAAGAAGAAAATAAAAATAATTAACATAGTCTCTACAAGATATGTAGTTGCACCGTCTCTAACAAGATACGTGGTTGAACTGTCTCTACAAGATACGTGGTTGAACCGTCTCTAACAAGATACGTGGTTGAACCGTCTCTAACAAGATACGTGATTGAACAGTCTCTACAAGATATGTAGTTGCACCGTCTCCAACAAGATACGTGATTGAACAGTCTCTACAAGATATGTAGTTGCACCGTCTCTAACAAGATACGTGGTTGAACAGTCTCTACAAGATACGTGGTTTAACAGTCTTTAACAAGATATGTGGTTGAGTCTCTACAAGATATGTGGTTGAACAGTCTCTACAAGATATGTGGTTGAAAGTCTCTACAAGATATGTGGTTGAACAGTCTCTACAAGATATGTGGTTTAACAGTCTCTACAAGATATGTGGTTGAACAGTCTTTAACAGGATACGTGGTTGAACCATCTCTAACAAGATACATGGTTGAACCGTCTCTTAACCTGGCTCAAATTCATTAAATCCGGTCCAAGTTTGAATTTTAACATCTGAGATTTAACAATAACCAAAAATTAATACTAAAACAACAAACTTCTTTAGATCCAAGAATGTAATGCAAGGAAATATAATTTCAATTGCGTTTACTCTGCGTACATATTGAAACCAGTTTTCTCTGGGCGGAATTTCTAAACAAGAATAGATGCCTCAGTGTTCTTTTAGTATCCGAGGAGGTTAAAACTACTGAATTTTGATAATTCACATAATAGTTTCCTATGAGCAGAATATTTCATTGTTTATTTATGTGAAAGATGGATCCCATGTCAGGCTTCGACATCCGTCTTGTGTTTACCTTACCGCCCAGTGACAGTACAAAAGATGCGTACACCTCTGAAATAACTTTCCTTGCATTAAATCCTTGTTTAGATCTTGGGGACCTCCATTTCTGAGCTCAGGTTCAGGTTCAGATGTCTCTGGGAGAGAGAGTACATACTTCCTTAGTGTGAACAGGAACAAAAAGAGCATCTGTGTTGATATGAACACTGAGGAGGGACGGACAATTTTAACCGAGTTAGGAACAGAATATATTTACCTTAGGAAAACTTTTAAACTTTTAACTCCAAACCTATTCTTTACATCAGTGTTATGACCTAAAACTAAGTTAAACAGGGCTATGTAGATGTTACTATTAAAATGTAAATACGGGTTAAAGAATAAAACTAAAAGACCTTGAACCAAAAACGTTTTAAATACCTCATAAGGTTGAATTCGGCAATAATTGTTATATATGAAACGCTTAAAACTGCTTTGCAATCCATGATCTGACTGCTGAGAACCATAAATATATGAAACAACACTGAATAATACTTCCAGATTCCTAAGTCTCTCCCTGTACCTACACTTTAAGATTCATAAACCCTCTATTATGATTTTATCTTATTAAAATATTTTGGCTAAAGCTGGAGTTAGTGATGTTCTTGTTGAGAACTATATCCCTGGAACACTGGATAAGAAAGGTCTAGGATATACTCAGCTCAAGGAGACAGCTCCAGGACTTATCTACTGCTCAATTACAGGGTTTGGATCTAGTGGCCCATACAAGAACAGGTGATTAAAATTAAAACAACATAATTCATGATGAAAAAAAATGTTGTAAAAAATCTTTATTATATTAAAAAATAAATTCAAATATTTCTTTTTAATAGATCATAATTTTGTTTTGAAGATATTTAAATTATTTAGGTATATTGTATAATGTATAAGCGTAACTGTTTCTAATCACAAAACATTTAGAATGATTGATCTTGAAGAAATCATTCTAGAAATACCACATTCTCTTCTCCCTCTCCGTCCTCCGTAGCGTCGTCCTCTCCCTCCTCCTCTTCTTCATCGTTCTGTTCTCCCTGCTCATCCTCCTCCTCTTCATCTTCTTCCTCTTCTCCCTCCTCTGTAACCTGGGAGAGAATCTCCTCTCCCTGAAGATCTCTATTCTTGAGATTACCCATCCAGAATGCATCTCCGCAGTTGTTTGCTGCCATCATGGCCTGGACGCGGTACACTACCGCTTCTAAGGATTTCTTGAGGAACGGAACATGGTTTGCCAGGGCGATATCATGATCAGTTTTAGTGGAACTACAGATATAGTGGAGATATCTGGTGGAAGTTTGCAACGTTTTGATGATATTTATGCAGTCGGTTCCCTTCCTTTTAAACATGCTCTCCAGTAAAATCATACCATGCTTCAAGAAATGGTCGAGGAATGGTTTGGATAGTTTCAACACTGCCATTAGGATAGATCTGTTTCTCCAGGTCTTCAAAGGGTTTACAGCTTTGTGAAGAAGATTAGTAGTGGTGGCCCACTGCTCTAGTTGTTCATCCTTATCCTTGGTTACCCCATAAGTAATTTTCTTCACGTAAACAGAGAGTTTCTGCAGACACACCCTGTAAATGACTCCTAGGGATCCACGAGATATTGTCTGATAAGTTTCATTATTGTAATCCTTGCCTTTATTATCAAAGACGTCTTGAACCCCATTGTCGAGTATCTCCATCATCTCTTTGAGAATGTTCTCCGAGTATTCCAAGTAGATCGAAAAGAACTTCTCCACCTGCACATTAAACAAGGCGCCCTTCTCCTTTCCCTGAGAGGTTTGCCAACAATTCTTAGCGTATGTAGTGGCAGCTTGAGCTACGGCTTTTCTTGTCACCTTGGAGTTCCCTGCAACCCGCACCAGTGCGTCCAAGAGGGTAAGATGACTTCCCGCAACCTCAGAGCTCACAATGTTTTCCGTGAATGTCATTAGATACTGTACAACCTTTTCCGCTAGCGTTGCAATCGAGACGGAGTCTGACATTCCAATATCCACCCTCTCAACTAAACCTTTAAGACAGCTCAGCAAGATACCGGACTTATCAGCAGACTGAAATCCATTCCAGGAGAAGAACGAAGCTGTCATTTCAAACCCAAACTTGATACATTGAGAAAAAAGGTCACATGACTCATTGTACATATTGATACAGTCCATAATACCGTCATTCAGTCTGATCAGTCTCTGGAAATATTCTTTCAACACATCAAGGTTAGCAAATATCTTGGGTAGAACACAAGCTATCTTCTCAACAAAAGCTGCCTCTGAGAGCGACATCAGATTTATATTTCCAGTAGATGCAGCACAAAATCCTTGACCTGGGAAACCTTTCTTTTTCCCTCCCGACACAAGACGTCTCTCAACCTTTCCTGCAATATCCTTGAGTAGAAACAAGAGTTCGGCAGGACGGAGTTTAGGATCTAATTTCTCTTCATCGTAGGTTGGTTCACTCTCTGTAGTAACTACAACGTAGCTGAAGATATGGAGAGTAGTTAGGTCCAACTCTCTGAAAAAGGGACGGTAAGGAGATAAATCAAAGAACAGTTTAACTCCTGTGGTTGAGTTCTCAGCCAATGAAATGTTCCCAATCAAGGTAGATGATGCAACAGGTCCAGCAACCGAGGTTTGAGTGTTGAGATGCATAGTTCCGTTCATAGTTGCATCAGTTAGAGGTTTGCCTTTACCCTTTCCCTTCCCTCCTTTCTTTCCTTTCCCCTTCTTTGATTTAGTTTTATCCTGAGCTGATGTAGGAGGAGTCCAATCATTTGTATCCTCAGAGAAGAGTACCGCAGGAGGGCGATACTGAGGGTTCCGACTCAGAAGACCTTTTAATCTCTCCTCCAGAAAAAGGATATTCTTCAAGCGGACTAGGATCTGTCTTCTTGTTTCTGTCTCCTTGAACACAGAGAAATAGTTTACAGTTTCTCTGAACCAGTTAATGCTCAGGAAAACTATATCACAAACAGAATCAAGGTCTTTTTGACCCAAGTTCTCTTTACCATCAAGATATCCCTCTGGAACAACTAATACTCCACAACCTAAACAAAAGTTAGAAAAATATTGTAAAATATTTTTATTATTACTTTTTTGTAGTTTTATAAATTAAACAAATTTTTTACAAACAAACCTAGTAAAGCGTCTATTTCTGATTCCTCGCTGTTGCTCTTTTTGATGGCACCCATGAGCCTGAAATGAGGGATAAAGCGAAACATCTCAGTTCTTAAAGCAAGTGGATTCTTCTTGGATTCCAAAACCCAGCGAGATATTGGAATTGCAATCTCTCCCGAGTCATCGTCCATTAAATCTGCTTCCGGTTCGTACTCGTCAATCTTGAAATCAAGTTTGATCGGGAGCTGAAGACCAGCATTCTCCGTCTTATCCTTAACATAATCCTCAACAAACTCAACCTCAAACTTATCCTGAAACCTAGAGGAGCACTCAACCGCTATCTCATCTGGCATCTCCGAGATAGAAGCCGGAGAAGCTAACTCGTCCATGAACAACCCAGCGGCCTCTGGGAACTGTTTTGTCTCAGAGATGGTGAGGTCTATCATTTTCATAATAATTTTCGCTTGCTTGGAAATAGGATGAGGATTAGAGGAATCAGTGGTTGTGTTAGATAACCTTGTGGTATTCCCTGGTACATAGGATTTCCCCATTGCTCTCACCGCGTTCACCACCGCTATCACCCCCATCTTCTTGAGAACTGGAGACTTGCTACAGATCTGCTTCTTGATCATGATATTGATATCAGTTTGTAAAGATCCAGATTCCGAAGTATCCGGTTGCCATGCTAAGGTGCAGAGAATATGCATTAACTGCCGGAACTGTCCCAGATTCATGTTCTCCGTGAAGTCCATCATTGCTGTTATCATTGTTGTAAAGACGACAAGTTCCTTGCTATGGTTCTCCGCTAGCTTCTCCAGGGTTCTTAGTGCACCATCAGTGATCAATCCTCCTCCTCCCGTCCCAACCTTACTGATTAGGTCTCCAATAATCTCCTGTTGATAGTAAGTGTCTCCGGATACGAAACAAATAAAGGTTTCATTATACATACTGATTGCATAGTTTGATATTACAGATTCCGGGGATCGAAGTAAGGTGTCACAAATAGAGATCAGAGACGGGAAATATTTCTTGATGACAGAGGTGTAATCAGTGACAACCTGACGAAAGAGAGCCTCTGTGAGCAGACCGTTCCTAATTTTATTTTTGAGAATATTTTCTACGGACCGTTTCTTGCTGAAGATATCATGAAGGCAAACCAGGACAAGGATATCTAGAGGTTTTTGATTATCCGGATCTGTTGATCCATCAATACATTTCAACCAGGCATCACATAAGGGTTTCTTAGTGAGTGCATGAAGTTGTATATTCTCCATGATGATACACTGTATATCCTTGGCTTCCTTTTTCCTACTCTGGGTCCTTAAATCGTTCTGAGTAGAGGTGGGGGGAGAGATATCCAACCCGTTTCTCAAATCCTGACCAAATAAAAAGTTATTTGAAAGAGTTAAATTAAAGTTATTAATAAAGCCATCTTAATTTACCTGAACAATGGTCATCAAATCTGCGTCACTTTGATTTGAGCACAAGATGAAATCTACTACTGAGGGTAGATCTTCAATTCCAACCCTGTAAAGACGTTTCAAAACCGTGTTCAATAGTTCCTTCATTATATCCCTACTCAGACTCATACTGGAGAGAGAATCAAGGATAGTACAAGTGAGGTGACGGGTATCGTCAAGGATATCCTTCAATGGTCCAGCGATGTTCTCGTGTTGTGAATCCTCAACTATCTCCGGTAGAGAGCTGATGATCTCCTTCTGTATCTCCGTAGGACAAGCTTGAATTATCTCAACAATCTTCTCCGCTAGTCCTGCTCCGTCTACGATGAACGGAAGGAACCGAACTGCGGAGAGGATGAGTCGAGGGACCGGAGATTCCTCTGCCTAAAATAGTTTCACGTCTTTGATGTAAAAACTTTAAATAAAAAATTCGATACAGTGTCTTTTTAATGAATTATTGCTGAACATATCAAAACTAAAATAAGTTTTATCCAGATTAATAAACTTAACATAATATTGGGAGATTTGGTCATGATTTAGCATTTGTACCAGATCAGAGGTTTAATGGTGCATTGAACAAAACCGCGACAAATATGAATTATTTTGGATATTTGTTTTTGGTTAATTCTTGTACAGAAGAGGGAGTTCCACCTTCATTATTAAATTTAAGTGACTCTCCATATAAAAGAGGGGCATAACCGATTTACAAGGATACCCTTGTAATCTTCTTCTTGTAAATAACGTGGAAGATTTTTATCGAGCTTAAAAAGTGTTTAATTCTAATAATTTCTGAAGAAGAAAAACTGCGCAAGTCACCTGTAGAAAAACCACAGATTAAAATAATCAATTTTTTAAAAACAATAACACGGTTGTCTAATTCTGGCAAAGCTTTTAAGGGAACCGTTATGAATCTGACATGTCACTCTATCAATGGAGGTTCACTTTAAAGTACGTTTACAGGCCCTTTAAGATTAGATCCTCATTTTTGGCGGATGCGGTTATTTATGAGGTTTATTGAACGTGCGTAGGGTCTATTAATAAACCCACACTGGATGACCCTCAATAATAATTGAGGATAATTTGAGCAGAAGAGCAACAGCCTGTTCTCAGGAAATTGACCTTATTTAAAAAAACCCTGAGCAAGATTTAAAATAAATATAAATCATAGCCATTGATATGTTTTCGCCAGTCTACAAACCTGTAGGCTCACAAAATATCAGTTTTAAATGATTTAATTAAGTTTTTAAAAGTGATTTAAAAACAGCAACTCATCAAAAAGACACTGAAGTTGATTAACCTAATGATCAACTGACCTGAGATGAACTTATGTTGGAGTCAATCCCCTCGTCGAGAGCAATCTCTGCCAATATCTCCAGAAGCCGAGACATTAGTTTAGTTTGAAGGTCCGGGACACACAACAACAACCTTTACAAGATGTAGGATACATTACATTTATCTTGATAAGAGATGGTTATAAAGATGTATCTAGGTCTTCTATTGAACTTCTAAGTTTGTTCTAGATATGAGTGACTCAAAATCTAGGAATTCTAGATATACATAATACATATATTTTGGTTTTCTGTGTGTGTCCGATAAACGTAAAAAGGACTGAACATTAACATATGACCAAAGGAAAGGTTTATTAACGTACGGAAAATAATATAAAACATTATTTGACNCCCCCCCCAAGTAAATATCTGATTTATCTTGTTATTTTGAAGAGAAAATGTTTGTAAACAATTAATAAAATGTTCAAATGTGTCAGTGTGGAAAATTTTATTGTTACAGCCAAATTTAATATATGTTAATTCCTGAACTTTTCAACTTTTTTCATTTCTAGACTTATATACAAAAAAAACAAGTGTTATACAAGTGCCCTAATCAATGAACCCTTTTCTCCTTTTTAAATATACCTGAGCACACTGTCCTGAAACTCACTCCTGGCTGAATCACAGTCCGGAGAAGTTTTTGTGAGGTTCAGAGATTTACGGAGAAAACTCACATCTTCTAGGTATTCGAAGAGGGTCTCCAACATAGTCTCAATATTATTAGGATACTCCAGATGAGTGGACACGTCCTTAGATAATGTCTAAAACAATGTTTTAAAGAATTTTTTTCTTGAAAGGAAAGTCTTCGTGAATTTAGGAGACTTATCAACCCGCCGCGGTGCCATTTATTTTATTCAAACACGGGAGATGGAGATATTTTGGTTTCCAAAGATTGACTGTCAAGAGTTTTAGAAAGATGATCATGATAAAAATAGGTTTACGGCATTGGAACTCGTTTATTAAATCCCCAGTTATTGTTGATTGCTCGGACAAAATTTACCTTAATGAAGGTTGCTTGATCTACTGCAAGTATATGAGGACTATCTCCAGAGTGCAGGAACAGCTGAGCATCGTTGAGTGATTTGATCAGGAGGGATCCGTCCTGAATACTTGTACTACCTGGAGAACAAAAAAATTATAAATTCTTGATAATCTTTATATTTTCTCCTTACTCCATCTTGTCTTTTCATGTTTCTCCTTAGTTTACCTTGTTCTAATTTTCGTGTTTTCTCCTTATTTTACCTTGTCCTAATTTCCATGTTTTCTCCTTACTTTACCTTGCCCTAATTTCCATGTTTTCTCTTTGTTTTACCTTGTTCTAATTTCCTTGTTATCTCCTTACTTTACCTTGTTCTAATTTTCATGTTTTCTCCTTATTTTACCTTGTTCTAATTTCCATGTTTTCTCCTTATTACCTTGTCCTAATTTTCACATTTTCTCCTTATTACCTTGTCCTAATTTTCACGTTTTCTCCTTATTACCTTGTCCTAATTTTCATGTTTTCTACTTGCTTAACCTCTTCTCAATTTTAATGTTTTCTCCATACTTTACCTTGTCCTTATTTCCATGTTTTCTCCTTACTTCCTCGTCTTATTTTTTCTCCTTACTTTATAATGTTCTAATTTCCATGTTTTGTCCTTACTTTACCCCTTCCTAATTTTTGTGTTTCTCCTTACTTTACCTTGTCCTAATTTCCATGTGTTCTCCTTACTTTAACTCTTCCTAATTTTCGTGATTTCATATTTTCTTCTTACCTCTACCAGATTTTCTTTTCTTCTGAGTTGAGGCAAGGCCACCATCTGCTGACCTCTTCCTACTCCCCAGCATTTTATCTGAAATATGTAGGGGTGGTTACGACGTGATAGCAGCGAGCTTGGGCGGACTGAGTCACGTGACCGGGGAGAAGGACGGAGGACCTATGAAAGTCGGGGTTGCCATGACAGACTTGGCTACTTCGTAAGTATTTTTGGGTAAAATTTTGAAGAAAACAGTTTTTAACTTGCTTTTTATCCTTATATCTTTTATCTTTGCTCTTTGATATTTCAAAATTTAAAAAAAAAGTTTCCATGCAGGTTCTAAATATATAGCAGTCAGAGTTAGTGGCGAGTTATTAGTTAATCAAAAATAGTTGAATAACCTAATGTCATTGATATTTCAAACTGGGAATAGTAATACTGCCAGATGACAATTAGTAAAAGTTTCAAATAACGGTTAACAACATCAGGTTCTAAAGATATATGGATTAGAAAATTAGAGTTGGTGGCGAGAAAGGATTTAATAATTTAAATATAAAAAAGAGATAAAAATTTTATTTTTATTTTTTAGATTGTACGCTCACGGTGCTATACTTGCTGCATTATATCAGAAAGAGAAGACTGGACTTGGACAAAAGATTGATTGTAATCTACTCTCAACCCAGGTTATTAGTGTGAAAAAACATTAAGGATTTTTTAATGGCGCTATCCTGTGTTCAACAAATTTTACAAAAAGTTAGAATTGTACTTCGACCAATGTTAAATTTTTTTTCTTCCCTAAAAAAATTGTAATCAATTAAAATTTCTAAAAATTTAAATTCAATTTTTTTGCATCTAACGATTTTTTTTAAGGTGTCAGCCATGGTTAATCTGGCGGGTACATACCTAAACACAGGTTACTTAATATGGTTAATCTGAAATAGTTTTAAATAATTAATCTTCTGATCTAGGTCAGATCCCTGGTAGGTGGGGTACTGCACATGCCAGCATAGTTCCTTATCAGACATTTAAAACTGCAGGTTAATTAATCTATTAAAAACAGGAGGTTCAAAACTTAATCTATTTAAAACAGCAGGTTCAAAACTTAATCCATTTAAAACAGGAGGTTCAAAACTTAATCTATTATAAACAGGAAGTTCAAAACTTAATCCAATAAGAACAGTAGGTAAAAAACTTAATCCATTAAAAACAGGAGGTTCAAAACTTAATCCATTAAAGACAGCAGGTTCAAAACTTAATCTATTAAAAACAGCAGGCTCAAAACTTGACATTTAAAACAGGAGGTTCAAAACTTAATCCATTAAAGACAGCAGGTTCAAAACTTAATCCATTAAAAACAGGAGGTTCAAAACTTAATCCATTAAAAACAGCAGTTTCAAAGCTTAATCCATTAAAAACAGGAGGTTCAAAACTTAATCCATTAAAACAGCAGGTTCAAAACTTGATCTATTATAAACAGCAGGTTCAAACCTTAATTTATAAAAAAATATTCTTGAAAAGACTGTTACCCTAATTTCAAATCATCCTCTATTTATGGCCTGTTCCCAACGGTACCAATCAAAGCTTTGTCTGATCAGGATTAAATAATTTATCCCGGCATCTCTCTTTTTTAAAATCTGGTTTCTATTTAAAATTGACTTGCGAATTTTTGCTGCAGAAACAGTTAAGGAATTGTCAGTTTAGGCTAGAAAACAACGTTATTTTCAACAATCAATATTATTCATCAGATTAAGGTTTAAAGAGTACACTTTTTCTATTCTTTACCCATGGATTTTTTAATACACTTTTAATTTTTACAGACGGTTACTTTACAATTGGATGTGGAAATAACTCGCAATTCAGGTCCATAAATTTTGAAATACCATTAATGGCTTTATTTTTACTAAGTAGTTATTTTACTGAGAATATAGGCATTAAAAGTATATAAAATTAAAATTGTTAATTTTAGAGAATTTAGTGAAAGAATAGATAGAACTGATTTACCGGATCATCTTGCATTTAAAACTAATGAAGACAGGTCAATCAATCAATCAACTAATTATTAAATCCATTAATTCATCCATTAATCGTGATAAATTTTTCTTTATTATCTCAGGGTTCAGAACAGAGAAAAGTTAGTTTCAATTCTGTCGGAAATATTGGGTGAATATGGAAATGAGCATTGGAACATCCAGTTTGAGGGTTCCAGTTTTCCGTACAGTCCTGTCAACAATCTGGAGCAGGTGTTTAACAACCCTCAGGTTCAACACAACAACCTCTGTCAGACGGTTCAACATTCAACACTTGGAGAGATTCACCAGGTTAGATTTATGAAGCTTTAGTTTACGGACATCGTTTGTAATTTTTGGCGAATTTATGAAAGTTTATATTTTTAGGTTGGTCCTGCTGTACAGTATAGTTTAGCTGAAAACCGGATTCGTACTGCACCTCCTGTACTAGGAGAGCATACAGACGCAGTTCTAACAGACATTCTTGGTTACTCCGTTCAAACTATTCAGTCTTATAGAAAGAAAGGAGTTATAACATAGATAGATATTAAGCAATTATTATTATGTAAAAAGTATGTAAATTTATTTTTCTTGAGGTGTAATAAATCTGAATACATTGTCAATGGCTGCTTGAGGAGATTTTTTAAACCACATGAAGTAACCTTGAACTTGTGCTGCAGATATTTCAATACCAAGCTCACACACTTTACTTGCAAATATCTCGGCTCGAGCATCATTTTCCATTGGATAGAATCTTGAGAACATCTGTTTAAGTTGCTGCTGCGAGCAGTATCCTATATATTGTATAATATCCACCCGTCCAGGACGGATTAAAGCAGGATCAAGTCTTTCAATATAGTTTGTTGTCATAAACAAAATCCGTCCTTCCGTTGAAGTTACTCCATCAATAGCATTAAGGAGTCCTGAGAAGGTTAATCTGTTCAGACCTTTGTACGCTTCTTCAAGGTGTTTTGAATCCTCACGGCTAACAAATGCTGCGTCTATATCTTCCAAAAGTATAATAGAGTTCTCAGGGGCATCGGCTAATCTGTGAGCAAGACGATCATCACTCATAGAACGATCGGAGAGATTTAGCACACAAATAGAATATTCTAGTTCTCCGGCCAGAGCCGTAATAAATGACGTTTTACCACAGCCGGGGGGTCCATGGAGTAAATATCCTCTACGGTAAGGGATACCTCTCTCTTTATACCAGTCCTGACTAGTCATAAAATCTTTTACATCTGTTAGAACGGTTTCTGATACTCCGGTGTCTAGAACTACACTGGAGACTGGTCTACGTTGTCTAGGATGCCCAAACGGTCTCCAGTCCGTCCCAATCACAGTATACATCACAGTCTTTCCTTGCATGGCAGACATTGCTGAAACAAAGAAACAATTTTTAAGTGTGTTCGTAATACCTCAAATTCTGACAATTACTGAATAGAAAAATATATGAATATATAGGTATAATAGCTTTGCTTAAGCAGTTTAGGTTTGAGTATACGGCTTGATAATTGCTGTTTTTGATTGCGTTTAAAAACTAACCTAACTGTCTTGACTCTTCTAGGATATCAACGAAGAGCGCCCTGTGCCGGCCAAATGTTGTCAGCTGAACCGTCTCCCAGGGTTCTAACATTCTTTGTTCCCTAGTTCTCTCAACCCTGATCCAGGTTCCCTGATAGTTCATGAAATGGGTTCCAACACTCGGCTGGAAATCATATTTTGTTGATATTTTGCCGCTGTCTGACTCTACGAAACTGGTGTCTACGGAGAGGTGCTGCGTCTTTCTAGCTCCCTTCTGGGATATCCAGCCCAGCAACCAGCTGTAGGACTTGTCCTTACACGTCACCTCCACCGTCGTCATGTAGTGTCTTCGGAACAATATCATCCCAACCTGGGCTCCCTTTCTCATAGCAGTAGCTCCCAACCCTACTCCCATGAGACCGAACCCTGCTCCGAAGTAAGGATTGTCCTCTACTAAGGAGAGGAGCTGAGACATTTTAAAATCTGTAAGTTTAGAAATTGACTAGAGATATAGAACACAAATAAACACGCTCAAAAGTAAAAAATGTAATATAAATATACATTTATTAAGATCTACCCCGTCCTAGGACATTGGTCCAAGATTGAACCTTTTCAGTTGCAGATATTGCACTTTTCCGTTTTATATTTGATCGTTGACAGCTGAGTTTTCGGGAATCTTTGTTCACTTTATTCTTAAATTTTCTATAGTCCAAACTAGCCTCATAGAGTAGGATTGATTTCTGCTGAGATTGGGAAGAGTTCTCTTGGTTCTCTAGATATTCTTTATCATTGGAATATTCCTGGTTATCAGCATGCTCATTGGGAATATTTGATTTAGTCTCCGACACTCGAGATGTGTGTCTGGAGCTTGTCAAGTGTCTTTTTAATTTCCACTGATTATTAGTTTTATAATCACATGGAATGCAGGAATGAATGTCGTTCTTACACGGTCCTTCTTTCACTGTGTTCCATCGGCCCAGTCTGATAAAGGAATAAAATCATAATTTCATTAAAAAAAATTTAAAAAAAGCATTTAAAAAATATTTTTTGTTTGTTTAAATTTCCAAAAAATAATTTTATCCATTCCTGTCTCGAATTTGGTTTTTAGTTTTCCTAACATCTGTCTGTTGCTTGCTAGGTTCAGATTCAATATTTTGCTCGAAATCAACGTCTTCGCTCACACTGCTTTTCTGAAATCTTCCAGGACTTGGAGAGGGTTGATTTACCGGTAACAATTCTCTAAAAATTGTAATTTTAGATCATGGAAAACTAAAATTGAAAAAATATTAAGTTTTTAAACCTACCCTGATTGCAAGGATGAATCCTCGTCCTCAACCTTGATGTTTCCAAGCATCTCTATTTCATCAGCATCCATGATATTATGCGGACCAGGCCAGCGAATATCCTTGCTCACTTCTCCGTCCCCTCCTCTCAGTTCAAGGTTTAACTCCGGAGCAGGAAACACAAGATTCCCAACCTTTCCTAGTTCTAGCAAAACCTCAGCTGCTCTCTCCCAACTCTAAAAAATTAATAATAATATTAAACCTTGATATCTCGATATCCTGCTAACCAACCAGTGAAATATGGCTAGCTGGCTAGCGTATAAATATATATAGGCTTGAGATCTACAAGCATTTTTTGATGTTTTGATTATTTTTTTTTCGATGGTTTTGAATGTTTTTTTTCTATAAAATTTGACTGATCTCATAAAGGAATTTTCTCTGATTCCTGGTTTAATTGTTCTTATATTTAAATAGATGAAAAGTCATTCAATTGCAACTACGTTTGCAAACAAACTCTTACTTACATATTGCAGTTTTGTTCAAGTTCGCAATTTTTAATTTAATTAGGCTTGCAAAATTATTCGATAAAGTTTTTGATTAAACCTTAATCATTGGAGAGCTCTGCGAAAAGCAGCTCATTACAGCAATAGGTATGAAGATAAAATGAGAGAATTTGTCTCTCAATTTCTGCGAATAAGATATAGTATTGTTGATTCATTTTGATATTGGATAAAGTTGATAAGAAGAAGAAATAACAGTATTTATTTTCAAACACAAAATACAAAATGATAACGTATGATGGTTCAACGCTTAAAAAATATCTAATATGAACCCAGTTGATTAATTTTGCTCTGATAAATATTTGTATTGCATTATTGAAATCACAACTAAACAGTGAACATACATTTATTTTGCATAAAAATATTATTAGTCAGCTCTCAAATTATCAAAAAGGATCCGGATCCGCATCAAAATTAAATGGATCCTAAGCACTGATAAATATTATCATTATTTTATTCTGAAAGGGTATCCGTTCTACCTGTCTTGATCGTTTGCTGAGTCTCCACCATCTGGCTTGAATTCTCTGGGTTAGGTTGACCGTATCCGCCAGCTCAGCTAAACTCTCCTGAACCCGTCTCAGTACAGTATTAGTCCACAACACTAAAATGGTATTTTCAGATAATTTTTAACCACTTTGTCTCAAAAAAGCATGATTTCAAAATAATAATAAAAAACAGGTTGCAATGACTGAGATAATCATTTCTTAACATAATAATTTAGCTATAATTATCAAATTCCTAGTCTTGACGCTATTAGACCTTATAGTACTCCACCGAATTTTAATCTTTAAAAAATGTCGAAATACATTATTATTTTTGTTAGTGAAGAGGAGCTTATTTGGAGATGGAGGGGGAGTTAATTGTACACACATTAAGGACCTATATAATGGTTAAGATTTTTTTTTTCAGTGGCCATAAAACGGAAGGAAAAAAATGAATATGTTTTAATGATAAATCGGTCTTGCGCATTGCTAAACTCGGGTGAAAGGATTCAAAAATAGATGATAGTTAATTGACCATAAATAAAAATAACAATTATTTCTCATATTTGTGAAAAATGAGACTGCCATGATTCAGAAAACTGTGATAGAAAAATGAACCTAGAGCAACTGCTGTGGCGGAGTCGTAGCTAATGAACTCTGAACCGGGAGATTTGATCTCGCATGTTACCAGATGACTAAACAAGCAAAATTTTACTATATTTCTTGAATTTGAATAATATCTCTTTGAAAACCTTTTGAACTCCTCTAGAACGTGAAAGACGGATCGACAAAACCCGCAGACTAGGACATGGAGACAAGCAAACTGTTCACTGCTGCCCTGGTCAGGACAGTACCCGGAGAGAATATCATTCCCAACCTCGTTAACTTCAGATACTCCATCTAAAAATAAAATAGTTTTAAAAAAATTAGGGAATGCACACTTTAACATACCTATTAGACAATCTTCTATGAAATTTTCTCTGACGAAGATGGGATCTATGACGGGCATGCATTGCGGAGTCATGTCGGAGTTGTCCGCTTCGTCCGCCAGAGGGGCCTCGGACCACTGGAAGGGGACGAGTCCAGGGCTAGGGATTGAGGACGATACAAGGCTAGGTTCGAGTACGTCCAGATCATCACAACAGAGAAACCCCTCGTCCCAGATACAGTCTGATATCTCCATTTTAATTTTACTTCTGAAATATCAACATAATCGAATTCTCCATTTAAGGAAGACACGAATTTATGTTTGTCTTTACATGAAACGCCATGAACAATCAATCCCATGAGCGGTTTAAAATCCAGATATGGGAAATTCCAATGCTTTTTTTTACTAAACATATAAATTCAATTTCAAGTCCATTAAAAGTTATTTTATCATTTTCTTCATATCATTTTTATCAGACTATCAAAAATCCTTTAAAACCAAGGAAAACAAGACAACAGAATGTAAAATATTTTATTCATAATATGTTTACAAAGATTATTTACCATCATAAATGTTAATTTGTTTAATAAGTTGTATTTGAAACCTGAACGGTACACAACTCAGCTGTTCCGTTTCGTTGATTGATTTCAAACTGAAAATACTACGAAAGACGACATTCAGAATTGAAAAGAGTTTCATCAAGTGAATCTAAATGTGAAAAAAAGATACGACATGGGTTTTTCAATGAATCTTCCTTGACAAGTGCAAAATTATCACAGAAAATCTATAATGAGAAGTTTAATGTTTGTGTCTGATTTAGGACACAGTAGTTCTGTCCTCAGATCTCTAAATGTATATTTATAGGGTGTCCCACGAAACATGACATTTAATAATCGTTACTTTTAGTTAAACAAATCTTTTGTTTCATTATCTTTTACTTTGAAAGCAATTTTAATATAGCAATCATGACTCCCATATAATATGTTTATTGATCTTTGGTATCAAACAACTTAAAACCAATTATGGAAAAAGACATTCTAAACTATTCACCAACTGAGCCCGTTCTCTCCATAATAATGTTTAAACAGTGGTCGTGTTGTTCACGTACTTTGAGGGACGATAGTTTGGCCGCTAGATGTCTCTCGTAAGAACTATCTATCTATCAGATAAGAATTTTGCGTGAGACACCTAGCGGCCAAACTATCGTCCCCCAAAGTACGTGAACAACACGGCCACTGTTTAAACATTATTATGGAGAGAACGGGCTCTGTCATGTTTCGTGGGACACCCTGTATTTAGAGTTCCCGATACGTTTTATGTAGTTTGCATCAACTACAGTGATAACCAAAAAATTGTAGAATAGGAAAACGACATTAAAGCAATTCTGACGTGCATTTCATGCTGCTGCGAAGCAAATAACTTTACTAGTAAGTTATTAAATCACTTATAAAGGAAAATGGGTCTGTTCACACTGCACAATTGCAGTGCCTGAAGTCTGTTTATACTGCACAATTGCTGTGCCTCAAGTCTATTTATATTGCACAATTGCTGTGCCTCAAGTCTGTTTATACTGCACAATTGCTGTGCCTCAAGTCTATTTATATTGCACAACTGCTGTGCCTCAAGTCTGTTTATACTGCACAATTGATGTGCCTCAAGTCTATTTATATTGCACAATTGCTGTGCCTCCAGTCTGTTTATACTGCACAATTGCTGTGCCTCAAGTCTATTTATATTGCACAACTGCTGTGCCTCAAGTCTGTTTATATTGCACAATTGCTGTGCCTAAAGTCTATTTATATTGCACAATTGCTGTGCCTCAAGTCTATTTATATTGCACAATTGCTGTGCCTCAAGTTCTTCACGTTTGTAAGACTATTTAAAGTCTAAAAGTAGACTTCATGTTCCAGATATTTGTTTATCAATATATGAATTCAAGGAATCTGAATAAATTATGAATTCTCTAATAAGAGCTTTCCATCAACAGTTTTATTTTAGTCAAGATATAACATGCCTGCATTCTTTCTGAGCGATAACGAATTATTTCACCTGACAAAAGAAAAGAATATCAAATTGCATTTTATTTTTCTTTAAACAGAAATTAAACATATGGTAGTATTTTAGTCAGAGCTAGCAGGACTGATATAAAAATACATCTTTACATAGAAAAGGCACCAACATTCATCCGACAAATGTTGGAACCCATCCATTGTGCGAACCCAACTTGATCAGAGATGGTTTAGCACTTGACAGCAGCGCGAAGAGCTTGATCAAGATCCTCAATGATATCATTGACGTCCTCTAGACCAACACTGACACGGATTAAGTTCTCCGTGACGCCTAGAGCAACTCTCTCCTTCTCCTCGATGGATGCGTGAGTCATCAAGTACGGAAGCTCAGCCAAGCTCTCATACCCACCCAGAGACTCAGCCAGAGTCACCAACTAGAAAAAAATGAAACATAACAAAAACAAATTCAGAATCAATGATTTAAGAAAATAAATGATAAAAGATGCAATAATCATGATAACAAGTGATAACAAATTTGCTATATAATTAAGAAAATTAGCTGAAAATATGTTTATGATCAATATAACATTAAGATCTCTTCAAAGTGTCTAAAATTTAAAATGTTTGAGTTCAATTTAAACATGCAAAATGCAAATTTTGCTTAAATCTTTTCTTGAATGAATGTTTTTCGTGATTAAAAAAGGTTGGGTTGAAAATTATGGAAAAGATTTAATAAAAATACATTAGAATTTATATAGACTTAAGAATAATTTTTAAAACGCGTGAGATATGAATTCATGTTTTTTTCATTTTTTATCATTTCTTTTATCAATTTTAACAATTGACCAGAAGAACGCAAGATTTTATCTAAAAAGACGAAGAAAGAAGAAAAAATTTAAGACAAGAAAAAAGAGAGAAAAGAGATTGAGAATACATGATATTTGATAAAAAAAGTCTTAACCTTTAGAGAGGACAGAAGTTTCCTGCTCTCCGCTAGTTTCCCTTTTAAGTAGAAGGAGATCATCCCTGAGTGTCCGTAGCACTGCTTGAGCACTATATGATGCTGGGGGTGGCTGGGTAGACCAGGATGAAGAACGGATTCTACAGCAGGATGTTTCTCCAACCAGCGTCCAACCTCCAGAGAATTCTTTTGATGCTGCTCCATCCGAAGACGGAGAGTTTTCAAGGATCTACAGAAAACCAAAATCAGAATAAAATATCGAGGATCAAAAAAGAAAAACACGTCTTGCAACACCGGATAAAAATGAAAACTTCGAAATGTAGAATTGAAGGATGAAGAAATTACAATAAAATGTATATGTAGAATAGAACACAAATTGATCAGTATAGTCAGAACTTGTGCTGTAAATCTCGGGAAATAAGCACTGATCTCAATCTTATACTACGGATTAATCTAATACTATTTTACTACCACGTGATGGTCATATCCTACAGGAATAACTTGGAAAAGAGTGTCCACATTGGATATCGATATCAAATGTTCTAGATCAACAATAACCTCACAAAAGTTTCTATCTCTAGAGTTAATTATTATGATAATGATTTTAGACTTGAAAGTTCAGAACTAAATACTACAACCATAATTTTTATTCCGCATCTATTTTATGGATTTGTAAAGAATACAACATTACTTCACCCGGAAAATGTAAACGGAACCTATTGCTATCTGGTGCGAGTCTACCACATTTAACATATTCTTTCACTTTTAATTCTTTCACTTTTAAGCGTGGTTTAAATATAAATCATAACATTTATTACAAATACTTACTAAGCGACTTTTTTACATGTTCATAAGAAGGTTGGTCGGCTACAAAGTTTATTTATGATTGGTTAATCATCTAACATGTTTTGAATCCTTCTTTTCTTAAAAACATAGATATTTAAGTCTTAGAAACTATCTACCTAAAGAAAAAGCCTTAATCCAAGTATAAAATGAACCGCTTTCTTCAGTTGGGTTTCGTGTGATTTAAACAGTTACATTTGATCCAACTGTTAATGTACAGTCAGAACCAGAAAACTGTGGAAGAGGAAGACTTTTAGATTAAAGTTATAACACACAGCAAGTGTGAAGCGTAAAAACACTTCAGTTTTGCTAAAAGTCGTCTACCTATTCCACATTGTTCTGGTTCTTACCGTATTTAAGGAATTTTGTAGTAGTAGAGCGGTTGACTGATCTAGTAAAGATAAAAAACCTGTTAAATTTTACATTTTTCCATTGAATAAGATCTAGAACTAACCTGTTGACTAGATAACAATCAAACGGGCTTGGTACAGGTCCAATTGCATTCTGGAGATACCTCAACCTCTCGTGCAGATCATCAGAGTTTGTTGTCAAGGCTCCCATGATCACGTCGGAGTGTCCGTTCATGTATTTAGTAAGACTGTAGTAGGATATATCAGCTCCTAGCTCCAGGGGGCGCTGGAAGTAGGCGGACTCGAATGTATTGTCAACAACAAGGAAGATATCCTTGCGATCCTTGAGCACATCAGCCACAGCTCGGACATCAACAACCTTCAGCGTTGGGTTGGTCGGAGTCTCAATCCAAACCATTTTAGTGTTGGGACGGAGGGCAGCCGCAACCTTGGCAGGATCAGTAGCATCAACAAACGAGGTTTCAATATTCATCCTGGAGGCAACCTTGCGGAAATACCGGTTGGTTCCTCCGTATAAATCGTCCATAGAGACGATATGGTCCCCGGCATTGAGGAGGTGGGTGATGGTTGTGGTAGCCGCCAGCCCGCTGGAGAAGGTGATACCGTGCTTGGCTCCGTCTAAGGATGCAAGACATTTCTCTAGAACATCACGAGTTGGATTTCCACTTCGCCCGTACTCGTACCTACACAACAACAAGGTTTAAACTAATATTTCTTTTCTTGGAGCTATGTAGAATACTTGTTTTTAATTTTAATTTTCTTAATTTTTTGTAATATTTTCTGAAATTTATGTACCATACCCATAAAATGAAACAAATAGAAAAAGCTGTATCTTTACAGTGGCAGGAGAAATCCTGATTGAGGACCGTAGCGATTCTGACGTGCAAATCGATCGTCGGAGCTGGGTATAGGGGCGAAAGACTAATCGAACCATCTAGTAGCTGGTTCCTGTCGAAGTTTCCCTCAGGATAGCTGGTGCTCATTAACGAGTTTAATCCGGTAAAGCGAATCTGTTCATTGAGGCAAATTTTTGAATTAATTAATCTTTACAAAGTTTGGACTCCGATTCATACGGCCAAAAATATCAAACAAAAGAAAAGAAATTGTTTTGTGGAATTGTATTATAATGCGATATAATCGACTCTTCTAACAACCCCCCCCCCATTTCCTCCAACATAGCTTAGACAATTTAGGAAAAACAAAAGAACGCCCCGATTAACAGGGTTTGATTTATGATAGATAATTAAAAATTGAACTATTAATCAAATAATGCAGTATTCCAATCGAAAAATCAATAAAACAAAAAATAATTGCCGAATACTTACTTCTTGTAGTCAGCAGGTCCGTCCTGTTTAAAGGTGGTGGACAAGGAGATGGGCGGGACCACGGCCATGCTGGTCCACTGCTCCGGCTCCTGGCCCACGTGCAGGGCCTTGGTGGAGAAATGTTGATCGTTCTGTCTAAACGCCATGATACTGCCAGTGTCTGTATGTCCTGTATGTGTGCTAAGTGGAGTGAAGCTAAAATACAACTGGACTGGAGGGCCGGGGGGTTGTCTCCTGCAGCTTCTGTGGACGTGGTAACAATAATAAATGCGGGAGGTGTGAGTGTGTGTGAGTACACAAGTCACAAATGTTTAGAGTTCATACGGCACCCTTTAATAGAAATACAGGGGGATCCCAAAAACCATTATATTTGTAAGTTAAGTGTTTACTACCACCATAAAATATCCCTTTTAAATATGGAAAATTCTAGCATTGTTTTATGGAATTTAATTTGTAAAATGAAATATTTAACATTTTTGTTGAATTGTCATGAATGGATTTAATAAGGAATTAATATTGAAAGTTTTACACAATCTCTACTGCGGGGCCCCATTAGATTTTCTCCTCTGGAATCAAGTTTAAGATTTTTATCAGAAGACCTAAAACCACATTCCTCCATGTCTGTAAAACCTGATCTATAAAACAAGCCTCCAATTCCTCGAATATTCTTGAGAAAACAAGAAAATCTATTAATCTGAAAATAAATAAACTCTTCAACAAAACATTGGTTACAATTTCTTTTAACAATTAACAAATAAAAAACATCGGGGAATTATATGATAAAAGTAATTTTTAATTTTACAAAATGAGAAATTAACAAACACATTAGTTATCTTTTTTTTAAAATCAATTCACAATTCAAAGATTATTCATGTTTTAACACTAAGATTTAGATATTAACAAAAAGGTCTCGACTACATCATATTTCATATTTATTTAATAAAAGAAAAAGACCATCTTCTCTCTAGATAAAGAGAATTCAAGATTATCTTCTCTCTAAATTAAGAGAGTTTAAGATTATCTTCTCTCTAGATAAAGAGAGTTTTATCTTCTCTCTAGATGAAGAGCTTTCAAGATTATCTTCTCTATCAAGATAAAAAGAGTTCAAGATTATCTTCTCTATCAAGATAAAAAGAGTTCAAGATTATCTTCTCTATCAAGATAAAAAGAGTTCAAGATTATCTTCTCTATCAAGATAAAAAGAGTTCAAGATTATCTTCTCTATCAAGATAAAAAGAGTTCAAGATTATCTTCTCTATCAAGATAAAAAGAGTTCAGGATTAGCTTCTCTCTCTAGATAAAGGGAATACCAGATTATCTTCTCTCTAGATGGAGAGAGTTCAATCCTCCCTGATTCCTTGACAATCCAACCCTAGAAATAGAACATGCATAAAAATATAACAAAGCTGTACCCCGGTCTCTAGAAGTCGTTCTAGAACCCCATTCCCTCCTTCTGAAAAAGAGCAACCTCCCAAGATTATTGAGATACTAAGATACTCATTACTCACGAAAGAATCAAGAAATAACCTTAATTTTTGTTATCAAAGTTTCAGAAACCCGAAGATTGAAATAACAGAAATATTTAACTAACCTAGGCGGTCGGTTGAGGAGTTGCATAGGGTTTACTATCAAATTCCTCTCTACAATCTTCTCTTGATTTTTCACATATTCCTGGGACGGATAAAGCTCTGGGGTTTGCACTGATGGGTTCTGCTCAATTTGGCTTCTTATAGGATAAATTCGTCCCATGTCATCTTTGTCTCTGTTTAGAGTTTTTGGGATTTCTAAACAATTCTTTCCCTCAATATGAGGTGTGTTTTCAAAGATTTTAGTAGATTCCGAGGCCAAGGTTTCTTTCATAAACTGTTCTAATTCGTCTAGTTTAGTTTTTGCTGTTTTGGTTGAACCCAGACAAGTTTCTCCAGAGATTTGGACTCCGGAGCTACCAGAACTTAAAACCAAGAGTTCTTCAGATTTTGAGTCGACGCCAGAGGTTTCCAAACTGGCAGAGGATACTGGAGCTTCTTGCACAATCTGATTTCCAGCAACTTGAATATCATGGTTACCAGCATTGTTTCCTGTACCTTCAACACCATGGTTTCCAGTGTCTTTAATATTATGGTTTCCAGCATATCCAAGATTATGGTTTCCAGCATATCCAAGATTATGGTTTCCAGCATATCCAAGATTATGGTTTCCAGTATCTTCATTGGCATGGCTTACATCATTAAAAACATTACTACTTTTATCTAGTCTTGGAGGGTGGCTGCGTTGAGCATTTATCTCAAACTCTGATTCAAGGATTTCAGCTTCCAGGAGAATTTTACTTAATCCGTTGCTATCTGTCTTCATTGAAATCCTGTCCTGTAGATCATGCTTACTCCGTCCTGGTTGACAAGAATTGTTCTCACTCCGGTCAGGTTGATACAAACTGTCCTCAATCCGTCCTGTCTGATTAAACTTTTCCTTTTTCCGCTCTAGATGATTGTGGCTTCTCTGCAATTGATAACACTCGTCCTCAACCTTGGCTGGTTGATTGTAACTGTTCTTACTCCGCCCTGTTGGATAAAACTTGTCCTTATACTTACTTTGTCCTAAAAATTATGAATCTATGAAGAAAAATGGTAACAGCACATTGTCATGAAACGATCTTTAAGGTTGACCTCGCGTAACTAAAAAGCAACTCCAAAAAATGGAAAAATGGAAAAAAAAATATTGGAAAATGTCAAAATGGGCTCAAGAAACTGATAGTCTGTAAGTGGTAAAATATGTTTAAACATTTTTCACATAGATTAAAACAAATCAAGTTTTAAAAATATCTACTTTAATATCACAACAATTATTTTTTTTACAATCAGGAAAGGATTTGAGTTTTTGCAACTAACCCTGAGTTTCTACTCCCTATATCTTTGACATAGATATTAGATATTTCGAACAATGAATTCTGATAGATCAAAAAAGTTGAGTTTGAATTATCAAAGGATCATCAGGTTGCAAAGATATAGGGATTAGAACATTTGAGTCTGTGGCAAAGACTCAATTCCTTACCTGGGACAGACACCTTGTTGGTTATAATTCATTTGAAAATGGTTTGCAACTTTCCTGACCAAAATAATAATTTTAATAAACATCTTTATTTATTTAGAGGCCGACCCTGTTATAATTTAGAGGATTAACCTTCTTTTATCCCATCAGCTGTAATATCTTGAACCAGTTTTCTCATTAGATCCCGACTGCAGTCAAAGGTTAGAGGGATCATGTTCTGGTTCTTGAACTTCTCTTCATCCTCATCTAGATCTCCGAACCCATCCTCATCCTCATCGTTGTCATCTCTGGATAAATCCTGGCATTCCGTATCTCTTTGCTTCAGAACTAAGCCAGATTTTTCTTCATCTTCATAAAAGGTTTTAAATGGATTGTTAATATAATTTATTGACTAGGTAAACCTATATTAGTCTCGAAAAGGTTTCTTGTGAGAATAGAAAAAAAATTGATATGAAACCTCTAAATATAGTTGTAATGATCATCATTAGCAAATTTTAAACTTTTTATGCCTGAGTAAAAACTTTCTTCCGGATACATGTGACGATCATTCATCTCCTGCAGTTCTCCCTTTTCGAATCCTAAACCAAGCTCCGAGATGGTTGGGACTACTCCAAACTCCGGGGACATAGTAGACATGTTTCGAATTATGGGGTTGAGCTTCTTTTTTACTCCTACATTGATTCCAGTGCTGGTATTTCTGTCTGGAACAATTCTTAATTCATTCTCAGCATCCTATTCAAAATAATAATTAAGTTCACCCTTAAAAAAACCTAAAATAGAATCCTCATATCTAATCTAATCTAATCTAATCTAATCTAATCTAATCTAATAATTGTTTGATAAATCTGTAAAGTGAATTTAGATTCTAATCAAACCTCGTTAAACGTCGCTTTCTCTCTGTGCTGAAAGATGGGTTTCTTATTCTCAATCCAAGTTTCAGGGATCTGTTCAGAACTCAGTTTAGTTTGTTTAGGTTCACTTTGCTCCGAGTAGGGTTGTTTAGTAGCAGCAGATCTTTTTCTATAGGTTTCATAAAATCATTTCTTATATTACCCAAGAATCCCAAAGTGGGAAAAATTGGAATATTGTAATACAATAAAAAAAATATTGTACAAGTTTGTAATAATCTTTTATAAAACCTTAAAAAAAGTGATTAGAAAATTTGAGTTAGAGGGAAAAACTCAGTTTCTTTCATAAAACGGAAAAACTGTTTTTTTAAATGAATAGTTTTTGTCCATGAAAATTTCTGTCTATAAAATGTCCCATTAACGGCAATACTATCCTACCATATATATTCAACATTCTACATAAATATTTCAACCTTGGAATATTTTTCCACAATATTATTCTCTACATCTGTTTGTGAAGTTTATTCTGAGTAAATATTTGCCTTGTATTGATTTTACAGTTCAGGTTCCATTAACCTCAACTACCTCGACAAAGGAACTGAGTTCTCGACACAAAATCTGATTTTTCAATCTCTATATCTTTGCAACCTGGTGTCGTAGACCTTTAATATTTCAAACTTAAGACCATTTGATCTAGCAGAATACATAAATTGAAATATCAAAGGTCTACGATATCCGGTTGCAAAGAAATAAAAATTTGAAAAAAGTTTGTGGCAAAAAAATCTGTTTGTTAATCTATGAAAGAGGCAAGAGCTCTGCTAAGATGTGAGAAAGAAGCAAGGAAAAGTTCATTTTTTGCGGAATTACTATTGCAACTTTGCAACCTTGTATCTTTCATAGTTTTTATTTTTAAACCCAAGAGTAAGAAAAGAATTTTTTTGACTGCATGTTAGGATTTTGACATCTTTTTCAATTAATTTTAAGTAGGAAAAATGTAAGAATTTTGATCTGAAATTAAATGAAAATTAGTTTGATGTGTCATTCGGAAATTTCTCTTTCAGATTTCTAATCCAACTTGGTTTCACAAATATGATTTGAACTGAAATACTAAAAAAAATTCATGATTTTATCCCTTTTTCTGGTTGAGTAGGACGGAGAGCAGTCCGAGGAAGAATCAGGAGTCAAGGCTCTCATCATCAATCCTTGAGTTTTCACGAAGTTAAAGTTAGGACTTGGCTCCGGTGTAAGACACAAGGTTGGAGTCTCCTCAAACTCAGATTCGTTCCCCGGAGAGAAGTCAGGTTCGTCCTGCACAAACATGCTCTTGAAATCCTGGGATGGTGGAAGGGACAGGAAGGGTGAGATCGGAGAATAGTTGGATTCAGAATCTGAACATTCAGTTTCATCTACATTATCCACTATAAATCCTTCTATCCCAGGAATAAGATCCTCCTTAGCTTCCTCCTCTTCATGAGAGTTGAAGTGAATATTATTGGTTGGCGCTTCTCTCTTCTTCATGGAACTATCCTCAAAAATCCTGACTCTCAAATCTTCTACTCAGATATGAATACTGAGTAAATAAAATATTTTTACCGACTCCATTTCTAAGTTATTTTTCATCGCTCATTCCCATAGTTCCGTAATTCAGACTGATTCCCTCAGAATTACGCTTATAATGCGATATTACAGGGTTAACCCACAATAGATAAGACTTGTTTCTCTCTTTCCCCATTCAGTAAATAAGCCAGAAAGACTTAACTTAACATTGGGATCGTCATATTTTAAGTTTCAGGTAGTCCTTTCAGTCTCGTTCTTTGTGGGTAACCCTGTATGATAAAACCTTTAAAAACGCAGTGCGTACAAGTTGGCGTCTTCGTTCAGTCTTATAAACTGGAAAATCCCCTGCCAAGTTTCTAATTTTAAGTCTGACCGAAGAAGACGATCATTCTGCATTAACTACAGTTAAATGTATTCGTAAAAAAAATTTAGAAAAGAATAATTTTGTGAGGGGAAATAAAAAATTTACAGAAAACTCGGCTGTGAAATTTTCTCTTTTAATATTTAATTCAAGGCCATTTGATCTATGCACCTCATAGAATAAGAAAAACTTGAGCATCATTTGAGTTCCAATCCCATTTTTCAAAGCTCCAAAAGTCAAGATTAAAAAATGATATGTCCAAATTTGAAAAAAAATGCAAACTACAGTATAAATTCCTTCGTCTAATTCATCCAAACAATCTTTATTTTTAGCAGGTTGTAAGTTTTCTCCAGACTCGTGTTCTTTTGCATATTCGAAAACTTTGATTGTTTCTGAAACTTTCTCAGTTTCATCTTCAACGAGTTCAGAAGATTCTAAAATTTCCGCAACTTCTTTAGGTAGCTCAGGCAACTTTTCTCCTTGTACATATTGTTGCATGTCATTCTGATGAAAAATCATGTCAGAAGTGCCTAGATCGACGTCGGACACTTTCAGGTTTAACTTCAGTTGCTCTCCAGACTCTTGTTCTTTCACCTCGTTATCCTCAACCCTCTTCTTGATATCTTCATCCTCGTCACCCTCAACCCTCTTCTTGATATCTTCATCCTCGTTACCCTCAACCCTCTTCTTGATATCTTCATCCTCGTTACCCTCAACCCTCTTCTTGACATCTTCATCCTCGTTACTCTCAACCCTCTTCTTGATATCTTCATCCAGGGACTTGATCTTCATGACCTCATTTTCTTTAATTGCCTTTTTTTGCCTCTTAAGATTCTTCTGAGTAGTATCATCTATTTCAATCTTCTTCTCTTGGCTCTTATGATTCTGGGGAAAATTCTTGACTTCTTCAATCTTTCTCTCTTGGCTCTTAAGATCCATTAGAAACATATCATCTAATTCAATCTTCTTCTCTTGGCTCTTAAGATCCATTAGAAACATATCATCTACTTCAATCTTCTCTTGGCTCTTAAGATTCTTGAGAAAATTTTCATTTTCTTCAATGTTCTTCTCTTGGCTCTGATGATCCTTTAAAAACTTCTTACTATCTTCAATTTTCTTCTCTTGGCTTCTTAGATAATTGCGCTCGTCCTTCTGTAAGGTCTTGTCCTCATTGTCCTCCATAAATATGTCCTCGTCTATCATCATGTCCTTCCTCAAAACCTCGTCCTCATCTGTTAGTACGTACTCTCCATCAAGGTTGGGAAAAAGGAAGTCAAGGTTACCCTCTAAGATTTCCTGAGCCGCTAAATATACCTCGTTTTCTTCCATTTTAGTTTATTTGTCTGAAACCTATTAAACAAACTGATATTTTATATGATCATGAAACAACAAAAACACATGAGTAAGTATAGGGCACAAATTTAAAAGAATCTAGATTAATAACACAAGAGCTGATAAGAACCTCATAATAAAGTAACAATAATAAAAAGTTTACAAGTACAGGTGACACGTGTTTTATCAATACATTACATAACCATTCAGCTAGTAGTTACTTAATATGTACCTGTACAGTGTACACTGCACTGTACATAAGGCATGTGTATAACTTCCCTAACCCTATACAGTGTACGGTGTGCAGCAATATATGAATCACAAAACTTAAAAAACTAGAATCTGTATTTTGTATGTTTAAGGCGAAGCCCCTAATGTGAAGTGGGAGGAGGATTAGAATATGTAACTTGAAACTTTATTCTCATAAATTAACTTCACAACACAAAGAAAAGTTTAAATTCACAAATATACAAGTACATTACAACTAGGATATGACAAGACAAAACAAATAAGAATACAACACAATGGACTAAAACAGTTGCAGTCTTTACATCTGCTACAAAAGAAAATCATATACTTGAAAGAAGTAAAAATCATGTTATGATAGTACAAAGAGAAGTATATTATGCTACTTGTTTGTGAATTATTTGTACAAGAAGGGGAAACATTTAAGACTAGAAACCTTGACGTTTCGTTCAAAGGGTAAATTAATCTATAACTTAAAAAGTTGGACTGAGAACTCAAAAATGCTTAGTCATGATCTATTTCATATTTATGTAGAATTAAGTTGTAGTAAAACTCGATTACGGAAGAACGAGATTCTGTTCTGCTGTTTTTTTTATTTTTTCTTTTCATAGGACGAGTTTAGGTCACTCTAAAGGACGAGTTTATATCCTTTTATCTTAGTAAAGGACGAAAATTTATTCATTTATCTTGATTACGGATGATAATTTGTCTCAAAAATAAGGAAGCTAATTTACTCCTTGCTCTTGGTAGAAGATTACTCATCCTTTCTTTTTTCTTTTCCCGGACGCAAGTTCATCTTTTAATAATATATAGAATACCACAGAAGATTCTGGAGCATTCTTTATGGATCAGAACTTAAGTATGATTGTTGGCTGAAAACTGTTTAACCGTATAATTTAGTGAACGACGACCTGATGGTTACCAGTCATCCTAAAGATGAAAGGATCCCTGTAAATATGAGGATATTTAGTTTTTTCTCATACGACATCTTTTCTGATATTTAGTTTATCTGTAGCAATATTACTCTAAAACTAAATTCAATGAGAAATAAATGAAGTTGCTGTGAAATCAAGCTTATTTTCTGTCTGAAAGAAGGGTACGTATTGGTTCAATAATTTTGGCAAGTTAGATCACTTCTAAAACTAAAAGCTAAACTTGTTATAATCCTTTCAACTATTAAACATTTGGAAAGTCATCTGTAAAATATTTAGTTTACAGATGAACTCAAATAAACATCAATATCTACGAAACGCAAAAAAAGGTTTCAAAAATTATCCTTAATGTTTCCAAATATCAAAATTTGTGATTTATAGTAGATTAAAAACTTGGATTTTCTACAGAAACTGTTTTTTACCCAAATAAAACCCACCGAGAATTCTTAAAGTAATTGTTAACGTTATTTTGAGTGACCCTTTAAATAAGTTATTACTGAATTCAGAAACGAGTATTTCACAGATTAAAAAATTACACTAAGCACAAAATGTCAACCTTCAGCTAAAATTTTAGGATATTTCAATCATCGATGCTTGTACAAAGGTTTTTAGGGTAGCATAATACATTATTTATGGCACTTTTTAGATAAATAGACACAGTGAAAATCATTTTAATTTTTAAAAATTAATTCCTGCCCNTACTGCTCAGGGTACATTATCCTTTAACTTTCCGTTCCCTTCTAGTGTACTGCTCAGGGTACATTATCCTTTAACTTCTCGTTCCCTTCTAGTGTACTGCTCAGGGTACATTATCCTTTAACTTCTCGGTCCCTTCTAGTGTACTGCTCAGGGTACATTTTCCTTTAACTTTCCGTTCCCTTCTAGTGTACTGCTCAGGGTACATTATCCTTTAACTTTCCGTTCCCTTCTAGTGTACTGCTCAGGGTACATTATCCTTTAACTTATCGTTCCCTTCTAGTGTACTGCTCAGGGTACATTATCCTTTAACTTTCCGTTACCTTCTAGTGTACTGCTCAGGGTACATTATCCTTTAACTTTCCGTTCCCATCTGTTTCCTATAGTGTACTGCTTAGAGTACATTTATCCCTCAAATTCCAGTTTCCTAGTGTACTTCACAGGGTACATTTATCCCTCAGCTCGCTGTTTCCTATAGTGTACTGCACAGGGTACATTTATCCCTCAGCTCCCTGTTTCCTATAGTGTACTGCACAGGGTACATTTATCCCTCGGCTTCCTGTTCATTTCCCGTGTACTGCTCAGGATACGCTAGACGCAGATAAACACTCCATCTTAGAAATCTCCTAAAAAATTGATTTGAATGAATGTTCTACGTAGTTTAACTGCTTCTCGCTATTCGCTATTAGCTACTTTTATGATTAAAAAAATGTTGTCTGGGGCCTGACGACCGAAATGTAAAATTAGGTTTTTGTCTTAAATAAAATCTTTTAAAGGTGACCTCAATGATTTGGAAGTAAAAGAAAAGGAAACCGCTGAAGGAAATACAATGAAAAAGCCTGAACAAGTTCTGCAGTCATCTCTTAAGTTTTATCCTTAGTGAAAAACCCTGTACATGAACAATGTACACTGTAACAATGTACACTGTACATACCTGTAGGCATCATTCTGAAGTAGACTCACAACTCGTCGCTGAGCAGTATCAAAAGTAGAAACATGAGGAGTTATCATTGCTAACTCAGTCACCTAAATAAAAACCTGGTATAAAGAAATTTAGTCAATGCAACAACCTCAAATTTTCTAGTCCCTTTATCTTTGCAACCTGATGGTGTAGACCTTTGATATTTCAAACTTAGATTATTTGTTTTTAACAGATTTCAGTTTGAAATATCTAAGTTAGAAAATAGGAGTTTGTGACACCGACTCAATTCCTTTAACATCAAAAACATTTAGTTTAAACACTCTTTGTTCTTCCCTTTATTTGAAGTATGTCGCAAAGTTGAACCATCAGTAATAAGTAATGTTTTAATTTTACCTTTTCCCACTGTCTAGTTTGTAGTGCAGTGATTGCGTTTTAACTTAATAAAGAATTTATTTTTCTAATCCTTATATCTACTAGTTTCAGTTACAACAAAATATTTATTATTCTAATATGATAAATATAATATAATATTGGGTTTCAAGATAACAGACGGACAAGTACACATTTTTGTATATTAACAACACAAGAATACACTTCTATATATTTACATATCACATCTATATATTTGCTTTGTTTGTTTTCGATAAATGTCCGAAAAAAATCTATGAAAGAGCAAATATTTAAAGTTAAAATCAAAGATGGACGGAAAGCGTACTGGAAGCCTAGCATATACATATATATACATACATCTATATATGTAAACTTTGTATAGTCTGGTGGTTTGTTTGTACGTTTGAATCTAAAAACGTCAAAACGGCAAAACCATTCCGGCCAAATTTTTTTGTAGGTCCTCACATGACCCCAGGGAAGGTTTATGGAATATGGATGGTCAGAATTTTAAAAATTTGCCTTAAAAAATTATCTATCAAAATCCACGACATTTCTTTTTGTTTGATGCTATTAGAGAAATGCAATAGTTAGAACTTAAAATGGAAAGTGGATGCGAAATGTCCTTGCAGGTCTAGTATAGATTAGTTTGCCTGTTTTCTTGAGTCAGTTTATTCGCATCCAATAAACAGATCGGACCAATTTTGTTTGTATTTTTTTTTGTGGTAACTCACATGACCTGACATGGATGCCGAGCAGAAATTAACAGTTTGGCATAAAAAAAGGTTGTTCACCCCTTAACAACACAAAAAATTATCAAAATCTTACATACTGTGCTCCAACTCGACCCAAAAGGTCGACCTTGTGTAACTTTAAATTTTTTTTAATGGTTTAGGGGTCAGAATCTTTTACATAAATCTGAACACACATGGGGGACCCAAGAAATGCCCCCAAAAATAGGCCAAATTTTTAAATGTTAAAAAATTAAGGGTCATCAACTATAGTTTTATATCAAAGAAGAGTTAATGACGAATATAAATATCTATTCCGTAATATGAATTTTTATTTTAGCAAAACGTGAATTAGCGGTAATATATAGTTTTAAAGCCAATATATGAAGTTAATAACCACAGGACTTCAGTCTTTGCCACAAACGCAGATTTTCCCTTTATCTTTTCAATCCAATATCGCAGATCTTATATATTTCAAACTATGAATTTTGTTACATAAAATTATCTGAGTTTGAAATATAAAAGTTATACGCCATCAGGTTGCAAAGATATAGGGATTAGAAAATTTGTGTTTGTGGCAAAAACTCAATTCCTTTTACGAATAATAAAGGAGGAAAATTGTTAATTGACAATTTCAAGAAATGAAACATAAACATAGCTAAGAATTAAGGAGAAAGAAGGTGGAATCTAAGATTTTAACAAATGAGTTGGTTGTTTAACAAAAGAAAAATATCAAGAAAAATTTCATGAGACTCCAGAATAACAACAATAAAAAGTGAAAGTGCGGATTACGATTTAAAAAACTTCTCTTAACTTCTTTATTAATTGTATTTTCAATTTTTACTTTATTTGAAATATTTTTATTACTCCCCAATTTGACTTTTACTCTCACATTGATTATTATTAATAATCTCCCATATCATGTTTTATTTTCTCAATTCATATTTAGATTTTCAAATAAATTAATAAAAATCGGCGATAACTTGAATTTTATAAGACTTATTGTAAAATTGAATTTCGATTACCCCAGTTATTTTTAGCTTATTTTGGGGGGTCGGAGAAACAAGATTTGTTGATTAAATAAATAATTTAGGCCATTTTTTAATTTAGAGCATTTTTGGGGTCATTTTTTGGTGCCCCCCAGTGTGTGTTCAAATTTGTGTGAAATCTGATTCTGACCCCCTTAACCATTTTAAAAGTTATGGTGAAGACAATTTTTAAGTCACACAAGGTCGACCTTTTGGGTCGATTTAGAGCACTGTGAAATTTAAAAAAATGCATGAAAAGTGAAAAAAAAGACGAGTGAACGTCTTGAGTGTACAAAACGAGTTTACAAGACGATTGTACAAAAAGAGTTTACAAGACGATTGTACAAAACAAGTTTACAAGACGAGTGTACAAGACGAGTGTACAAGAAGAGTTTACAAGACGAGTTTACAAGACGAGTTTACAAGACGAGTGTACAAGAATTGTACAAGACGAGTTTGTTTACAAGTCGAGTGTACAAGAAGTGTAGAAGACAAGGTACAAGACGAGTGTACTGTACAAGAAGTGTACAAGACAAAACAAATGTGTAAGGGAATCCAAGCATTGTAAGAGAGCAAAGAAAAAACCCTAAACACGTACAATTGAAGTCAATTCTGTTCTTAAATATCATAAAAATGTCTTAATTTTAAATTATTACCTTTCTAGAAAGAATATCCAGGTTGAGTTCATGATGAGCTCCAATAGCGATATATGTCCTGTAAATCTTCCATGCTTCACGTTCACGCTTTTTGGGTTGAGATTCTCTGTATCTCTCCACACGGAGAACAAAGTCTAAATTTTCTTCTGCATACTCTTTCTGAAGAAATGCACGAAACAGCGCTGTTCCGTAAGATGATTGAAGAAGTTTGTCCAAGGATGAATCCCATGATCTAGCTTCTAATGAGCTAGGCAGAAGATTACTACGTTTACCTATAAAACAGCAGTTAAACATATCCCCGCCATTTTCTACACACATCACGACAGTGGCATTCCAGTTCAACGTGGAAATATTCTAGTGTTTTATTATTTGTTCTTTATGAAGTTTTTTTTTTGAGGATATTCAGAACATTTCCTGGTTTATAGGATATTTAGAATATCTCATAGTTTCAGGAACTTTTAGAGGTTATCCTGGTTTCAAGGATATCCAGAATTTTTTCCTAGATATCCAAAAGTACTACTGGTTTCAAGGAGTTACATAATTTCCTGTTTTCAAGGATATTAAGAAATTCTCCTATTTTATTTCTCCTATTTTTAGAAGTTCTCCAAGTTTTAAGGATCTCCTGGTTTTAAGGATATTCCGAAATTCTCGAGGTTTCTAGGATATCAACAATTTCTTCAGAGTTCACGTGACTTGTATAGTTTTCTTTAATACCCTGAACAGGTCGTTCGCTGCAGAATGAACAGCATTTAATAGATAATATTTTCCTCTTTAACACTCACAACAGCTACAGCAAAATTATCTTGACAACCCTTCTCCTGGTGTGTAGTTGAACTGGATCAAAATAGGATATGTTAGACAAGACTAGAAGCCCTGAGATAACTAAAAGATAGAAACTTTGTAAGGTTTCTCTTCTCCACTTTTCTCTCTTCCTCCGATAATTATTCAATACACAGGGTGTAAATTTCACAAGAACTGGGATATCAATACAGGGTGTTATTAATAAATTAAAAAAACTACAACATTATTACTTAAATAATAAAATGTCCATGCTAATAAACAAAAAATGCTGTTAAGTGCACGGCAAATAAAAATGTGGGTGGGGGGCAAAATTCTACACCTGGCTTGCTAGAAAAAAGATGAACTGTTTTTAATTTTTTTTCAGTAGAAATTGCAAAAAATCAGATGGCAAATAAAACTCTACTTTCTGAAATTAGATTCTTACCAATAATTACGATGACTCTGAAAACCAAAATATTCATTATAAAATGCACAAATATTTTGTATACAACAGTTAAAGAAAAATACTAAGTTATCATATCTTATATTTTAATTCTTCTTCTGTACTTTTTAGAAGACGTTTTAAATATTTAAGGTTACGGTTCTCCCTCCGAGCAGCATAATACTCTGGTGGGTTTAATATTCTTGTTTTAAATCCTAGATGGTTTAAATAATTCATCTCGATCTTACATCGTCCCATTACTTCACCCTCATCTGATATAGTCTCAGATTTTCTAGGAATAATAAGAACCAATAACTCAGACTTGTTTTTCTGCATAGTAACGTTGTTAACCGACCATGATATAGGTCCCGGGGAGTGTTTTATTATTATACTTTTAAAGGTGGAAGAGGGGAGAGGGAAGCCGTAATAAAAAGAGGATTTGTTCATCAGGAGATTAAGATCTTGCAGAACGGATTGAGAAACCCGACTATGGCTTGTCTCTCTAGAGTCATCCCGCTGGAAATAATCAATCAGGATTAATCTCTTCTCAGGATCAAGACTCGTGCTCATCTCTAGGTTAAAAGCTTGTCGGATAAAATCCAGTTCTAGAACCTGGAACAGGGAGTTGGTACAGAGAACCCGGTTCCGCTGGAGGAACGGAAGAATATACGCGGCATCTGTTCCGACATCTGTTAACAGCGGAATATTTAAACGGAAAAGGAAATCTATTGCGTTGGCGAGTCCAATATCTGAGTCTAGATCCGACATATCACAAGCATTTGCTTTCTGAAATATACTCTCAATACTGGCAATATCATAAATCTGTCCTTTGGCCAGATGACAAGTTAAATAAACGAAGGATCGACCTGATCTTACATCCGACCAATCACATCGACGCATTGCGTCCTGGATCTTGAGGAATATGGGGGGAAGGATAGTGGTATCAGCCAGGTGTAGGAGACAGAACGTTAGCTGCTCCAGGTCTTTGAGCCTCAGGTCTTTAAGATCTCCTATATCACAGATAAGTTTCTCAATAAATGAGTTCCGCAAACTTGCATTTAGTCTCGCAGAAGTGCACATCTGAAGCAATCTAAAAACAAAGATAAATAGGAAAATGTCTCCTGATATAAACTGACAACTTTACCTTAGTTTGGTGTAGCTCTGCAGACTACCAAGATGTGGTTCAAATTTCTTTATAATTTCACTGATTACCGATGTGTTAAACGCTCCACGTTTCTTCAACAGCTTAGCAGTACTGGAGATCGCCAGCTGATCCTTCATGATGTTTATCTCTGGGAACTCCAGGATTGACTGGAGAAGGAGATGACGTACATTGCTATGCTCTGTGGTGAGGTAGAGATAGGTTTGATGAACACCATGACAAATTATCCCAACCTCGACACTTGTAAGCTTCGGTAAAACAATCTCTAAGAATAAACATTTAATGTAAACGACCTTTAATTAAATATCTATTGAATTAGTAAAACGCAAATAGTGCATCAAAAAGTTCCCACAGAAGACGTATGGGCAAAGAGTTAGAAATGAAGCAATAAAATTTAATTTCACAAAAAAGCCATTGGTTTATAATATTACTCATATCTAACTTCCGCCGTTTGTTTACCCGCCCTTGGTATTAAATTATGATTTTAGCCGAGATGCCCGTGGAATTTCAAAAATTTCAAAACAAATTCAGCCTATGTTACCCCGAAAAGCCCAATGGTACCGTCAAAAAATTTCACCCAATTTGGTCCTGCCGTTTGGTCAGCTATAGAGAGCTTTTTTATTTAGATGTAAACACAAATAAATGTTAAAATCTGTGGATAGGGTTGAGGAGTGGCATATTAAAAAACACTCCATTTGTTCACGTTTTATACTGTTTCCTATTCCTCCAAATATCCATTCTTCGACGTCAACAGAATTAGTTGGAGATAACCAAGAAACAAACGAGATATTCAAAGTAAAGAAGGAGAAAGAAATGCATGTTGGCTGGATGAGAGTTGGCTTGGGCTAGAGGACAACCTAACCCCCCCCCCCTCTCTATCCATCCTAAGAAAAATGACGCAGCAGATTCAAGTAAAATATGAAATGAAGCAAAATGAAAACAAACACATATTCTAGGAACAGGTTGTCCAAATAATTCTAGAAACATGGTTCTACAGAGTGTTTCTCTACAACTGATATTTTGATTTGTTTATATTTCAATTAAAACCTGATAAGCTTGCAATAACCATATTATTAGTTAAACTAGATTGGGGCATTTACATTTTAAGCAATGAACTTTTCTAAGTTGGTTTAGCTGTGACTCGAGACAGGCTCCATTGAGAAATATAAAGGCCCTAACGTGATCTCTCATGTAGCTGACACACTTTCTGATTTCTGCAGGTTGCAGGGAAACAGCAAAACTCTTCCACAATCATTTTTTGCTCTTCAACAGTAGCAGGTTGAGCAATGCGAACCTCTTAAATCGCCTAAAGTCTCAAGCTCATTTTGAAGTTTTCCATTTTTCAGGATAACTTCAGTAAAAAGGGCTATTTTTTAACCATTCTATCAACCAGACTAAAAAATGTCCCTTCATGCTGGTCAATTTCCCGGATTTTGAATCCAGATTTGCGAATTTTTCAATGAAATTTTAGCATATCAAAAATATCAGTTGTCGAGAAACACCCTGTATATTGGTGGTTATGGGGACGTCAAACAAAAATTTACTTTAAAAAATTAACCAAGATCATGATGGAAAGATGAATTACAAGGAAGAAAATTGGAGAACAAGAAGTGTAGTGCCGAGAACGATGTGTGATAACAACTGTGACGAGGGAGGGAACCCCCGGACGCCATGAGCCTCCGCTATGTAGACAAGAGCCTCCCAGAGTTGCTAGGCAGACCAAGCCTTCGCTTTGCAGAAATGAGCATGCGCAACACATCAAAGTGTGCCTGTGTAATACATGAGGTTTTTTAACTGTTTTAGTTTTAATTTTAGGTTTTTTTTTTTAGACATAGTGGCAAGATGAGAAGTATTTATTAATTATCATAAATAGTTCCTTATTATGACTAATAAAGTGGTATCTAAAACTTTAAACATTTTTTACACGAGAAGAATAATATTTAGAAAAAAAATTTGAATTGAATTTCATTTCATCTTTTATAATCTTTGATTTTAGCGATACCTTTTTTGAAGTTCAAATTAAATCTAAAAAATTTGTATTTATTATTTAAATCTTAACATTTTTCAAAAAAAGGTATTGTTTAAATCAAAGATTACAACAAAACAAACCAAGTTTACTCCAGAAATATTTCTCCAAATATCTTCCTTTCTGCGTAAGAAATGTTTAAAGTTTTAATATAAATCTTATAAACCACTTTATGAGTCCATATATGTTTCTAACCATGACAATCACTGAACAACTCTAATCTTTAGTAAAATTTTTATTGTTAAAGGTTTTCATCACTCATAAAAACCAAGATTTAAAAAAAGCTGTGCTGTATGGTGGAAGCTCGTTTACTGCATAGCGGAGGCACTGTCTGCATAGCGTAGGCTTTGTCTGCATAGTGGTGGCTCGGTCTGCCTCGCGAATCTGTGAGGCTCGATGTCTGTATGGCAGAGGCTCATGGCGTCCGGGGTTCCCTCCCTACTGTGAAAGGGTGAGTGCAGACGTGTGAGCACCCTGTATAATTGAATCGACCATCATCTTTTTTATTTAATCCAAATTGTAAAATAGAAATTTAAATAAAAAAATAACGTTAAAAAAAATGTTGAAATCTGGCTCTTACCTAGTTTTGCGATAAGAGGGTCCGGTATAGGAAACCCTTGAGTTCGTGTTGATTCGTAAGGAAGGTTTGGATACTCCCTGGAGACTCCAGCTAGGAAGAGACTGAAAACTACTTGGGACGGACTTAATACATCCAAGTGTCGAGTGAGTAGGATTAAGATCAACAGCTTGTTATGAGCACCCGTAAGATCCCTAGATGAGATATTACTCCGGTATGGAGCTGAGAGAAGTTGCCATCTGAGTAGAATATATCCAACCTCGAGATATTCATTCAATTCTTCCTAAAAACACATTTGATAAATAACCAAACCACTTTTTCTACACATACCGAGTCATTTAAATTTTGAATTGAGCCCAAACCGGAAATAATCATCTCCATGTTTGATCCTGTAAATGTCAAATCATGAATACCATCTACATTTTAATTCAGGATAGATTTACTTTTTATAATTCTTTTCCTTATACAGGTTTACTCAAGAAAGATGAGAATTCAGTAATACGGAACAAAAATTATTTCTTACGTATGATTGCAAGCAACAGTAAATTTGTTTCTTTGTTTTTTAATAATTTTAAAGGCATCAATCTTGTTATTTTTGGGAACCGTATATCTTAACAATTTTCGAAAAATGGATACGTACAAAAGTGTTCTGGAAGATCTTTAAACCATTGTACATCCTTGACTTTTGTCAGATTAACTCAATTGGGAATTAGCCTATACCTATCTATTAAGGTATCCATCTTTATTCTGTACCTGAGAAGGAACCCTGTCCTTGTTCCTGGAGTCCAGCTTGTCTGCCAGGCATTGATCAAGGCAGTTGGCCAGCTGAGAGAACCTTGAGTGCTGTGTGTGGAGTAGGGTTAAAGAGTACGCCACATCTCTCAGCTGTTGATAGCTCAGGGTCTCCAATGAATACATGACTCTGGTGGAGAACCTGTCTAAAACCTCAGCTCTATCTGATCCTGATCCTAAAATGAATAAAATAAACAAGATGGAAACCTGAAGTGCAAGAAGATTGATTTTCTAATATTTTAAGTATCTTTGTATTAATCCAATAAATATACAGACTCGTAACAAACAATACCCCCCCCCCCTACCCTTCATAACATTTTCTAGTATATCCAAAAGAATTGTTGACCTCTTAAACAGAATGACCCCTTCCCCATTTCCACTACACAATTCCTCTCTTATTTGATACTAGCTTGGGAACCCTGCTTTGTCTGGAATTTTTTTGGCTACAACTCAATTTAGAACTTCTATCCCATCTCAGAAGATTCCCGTGGTTCTACAGAATTTCACAATTAAAATTTGAGGCGAATCGGGTAGGAGTTCATGCGTTATGATCGGACAAACAAACAATCAGAGAGTACTACTTTATACATCGTTATACTAGTTTGGGAACCCAACGCTGCTAAGGTTAATAAAAGTTACTCCCGCCGTTTACCCACCTCGAACGATTTTAAGGGAAAACTAAATTTTTGCTATTGAAGTCGACCCATTTAACTTAGCACCTCAAAACCAAACTAAGCACATTCCCGTGAGTCTCCCGAGTTCCCAATCAAAATTTGAGGCAAATCGGTCCAGTGGTTCCTGAGTTATGACCGGACAAACAAACATACAGACCAGACAAACAGAGATAGCAATTTAATATAAATAGATGAACCTGTTATATCTGCCGCTAAATGATGCCATGCTTCAACAATATCCGCCGGATTATCCGTATTCCTCGAGAAATTCAACCAGAAGTTTCTATTTGTTGAAGGAGTAGACGAACTCCGGGAGTAAACACTGGATAAAAACAATATAATAGAGTAGTATATTCTATCTCCATCCTGTGCTCCAATATAATGGTAGAATCAATAATATGTCAAGAGTCAAAGATATAGGAATACACTAGATGGGACAGCAAGTGTATAAACTCTATCACAAGGTACATCTATAACCTAACGGTTAGTAGAGACAGACATTCTTTGATATTGAAACCAAATAAAGTATGAATTAGATGTCCATTTTTTGGTTTCTTTAAACTGTTTATTTTCATTTGTGGTTTCTCCGCAGAGATTACTTGTGCATTTCTTGATTATAAGAAAAAATGAAAAAATTCACAGAAATAAACATTTTTCGAGTCAGAAAAACGACGGTATGCTCCTTTAAAGACCCTTGAATCATACACTGCCTTCAATATTAAGTATTATAAATTTAAGACACGACAGTGAAGAGAAAAATAGTGAGTAAGGGAAGTAATGGAATGAAAAGAACGAGAAGCTCCGACCAAAACTGATCACTGTGTAAATTTGTAACCCTCATTTGAAAAGGGCCTTTCTCATTCAAAACGGTTCCGTTTGGGTCTTTATCTGGCCAAAAATGATGGTGTTATCCTTTTTCTTTTCGGAAAATTTATCCTTTATAACATCTTTTTCAGAGTGAAATGAAGATATGTGCAGAAGAAGACAAACGAAATTGACAGAATTGATATATCTTAAATTTTAGAAAAGCGACGATATCTGCCTCATCGACTCTCTGATAAAAGTTTAATTGTGAAATGATAATGACATTGTGTCAACCGTCAACCTTTAAGTATTTCCTGTCTAAACCCCATTTTTAAAGCAACATGAGCTGGTTCTTTCTACCTGGGAGGCTGGATCTTGGTGAATGAATAGTTTGGTAGATCTCGGAGCATAGTCAGGGTTTCCTGAATACTCCGGTAGATGTGTCTCCGAGTAAATATAGGAGTTCTCCTCGCATCTTGGACAGGCGGAGACGTATCCAATAAATCAATGCTGTTTAATGCACTTCCAGTCCTTCCAGGAGCAGTTTTAGGAAATATTTTATTTGGTTCAATATTTGTATGTATAACTGCAATTTTAGGTCCAAAACCAACACACAGACTGCACTTTCAAGAAATAAAGAAATTCGACTTCCATTTTCACAATCCATTATTAATATTTAAAAATTCTCACAAAAATTAACATCCTAAGGATTCAATAACATTATTCCAACCATCAATTGTAAATATTGCCATTAATCCCATTTAGTAAAAAAATTTATGTTGCTACGTCTTAATCGGAAGTATTGATGAAGAAAAAAATGGTTATCCTTAAAAAAAATACTCTCTGTAACAAACACCTTATCGTAAAAAATAAAAATACACATTTTCTAATAACAAGCAAGATAAATAAATGTAAAACACAATATGTATATCAGTGAAAACGCTAAATCTTGTTTTTATTACATTTTTTCATTAGAAGTGTTTCATGGATGCAATCTTTAGCATTATCTTTATACTTTATTCAGGGGTGTCAAACAAATTTGTGTGGGGGGGGGGGGGATTAAAAATTGTTTTCTAGAGAGGGCTCAGTACCCGTTGGGGCCTAAAAACCAGATTTTCTAATATGGGCGTGGTTGAGCCCCCATAACCCACCCCCGTGTCCACCTTTGATTGTATCCAGGGGGTACACTGGTTATCCGAGCTTATAATTATAATTGACGACATTGTTCTGCAATTTCCTTAACTGTGTGTCTATACCAAAAGAGTGTGCTTGTGAACTCGTCTGCAAAGCAGTGCGACTGGCTTTCTCATGCCAGACCAGCGCCATTACCCTTCACTTTATTATTATTCCCTGCTTGTATCACTTAGATATTAATTTATTTAAAGATTTTATTTCTTTCCTAGTTTTTTTCTGAAGATAACATTTGCGTCGTAACACAGTTTTGCCGTATTCTTTGTATCCATACATAAGAGTACATATTCTATCGATTCTTATCATTATCTGAAAAAAATTAAGAAAACTAGTACAAGGCGAACAAATGTATATTATTACGGTTTATAAACTGGATGAATTTGAACCAAGAAAATAAACAAACAAATCATTTTCTCAGTTGTGATAAATTTTCTAGTTCTTCTTCTTCTTCCCCTTAGGATCAACGGTTTCCTCCTTCTTATGGAACTCGTCTAGAACTGCTTCCTGTGTTTCCGGACTAGCGGGGGAGTACCGACAGTACTCCATAGTGAACTCACCTATTAAAAAAAGTTTTTATTTGAAATACATTTTTCAACATATCTTATCATTTGAAGGCATTTAATTATTTTAAGGAGGTAGCTCTTAAATTATACATTTGCTTTACCCGAATTAAGACTCTATAAAAATTACATTTATTTATTTCAAATTTCGAAATTGCAGAACTAATATTCCACGTTAAATAATTCGCTATTTCATATTTAAAACATTTTAAAAAATTACCAGAAACCGAAACTATTAAAATGGAGAGGTCGCTGAACACCTGTCATATCGACGGTTTAAATCCTAGATAACCTATTCAAATTCTCATGAATCTTTAACTTTAAATCGGTGATTAAAGCTTTGAACCGGCGGTACTTACTTCAGCAACACGGCTTAAATTCATAAAATTCGGTCCCATTCTTACTTTCAAACTTATAGAAAAAGCAAAACATTTTTAAAAAACTCAAATATATGATCCTAGATGCTCAGCTCAGACTAAGTAGAAAGGTACAAATATGACTTGGAAACCTTGAATCCTAACTCATTGAAAATAATAAAACAATCCCTAAATAACACTAGGGATTACCTTTTCCTTGTGTTGACCCTCTCAGCTCTCCTGAGAATCCAAACATCTTGTTGAGAGGAACCTCGGCCTCCACAGTGAACCAATCGTCACGGCCGTCCTGTCCCGTAATTACAGCGCTTCTCTTGTTCAGTAAACTGAAGACGGACGATGTAAACTCACTAGGACTGTTCACTTCAACTGTCATAATTGGTTCCAAAACAATCCATTTTCCGTCCTCGCAGCAGTCCTGTAACAATATTTGTAAACATCTTAGATTTTTTCTATGTCCATTGTCCAACCTTTTTTGTTAAGGCAGCTAGACGTTCTTTCGATTATTAAAACTTATTCTTAGTTTTAAACGTAACACACAGAATCTCAAAAATTGTCTCAAAATATTTACATTCATAGGGCGCTAGGACAAACTCCTGAAGAGACAATTAATTTTAAATAATGCTGACCTGGAAAGCAAACTGTGTCGCCTGGTAAAAAGCCCACTCTGCTGAGTCAACCATATGATGAGCTCCATCCTTCAAAGTCATCCTAACTCCGATAACCTTCTGACCCGCAAACCCTCCCTTCTCACAGGAATCCAGAAATCCTTTCTTGACTCCGGGAACAAATGGTTTAGGAACGTTGGTACCAGTTGTCACGTCTCTAAACTCCACCATGGTGTTCTCCTGTGCAGAAAGAGGTTCCATGAGACCGATGACACGAGCGTATTCTCCTCGTCCTCCCGACTGCTTCCTGTGCCAGTAATCAAAAGTGACAGGTTCAAGCAAGGTTTCTCTGAACGCTACTCTAGGTTTCCCCATCTCCACCTTGCATCCATACTCACGTTCCATCCTCTGAGCGTATATCTCAAGATGTAGTTCACCCATTCCTGATGCAATAGTTTCCTTATTCTCGTTGTCAAACCAAACTCTGTAAGTGGGATCCTCTTTTGTAAACCTAAAATATATGGGTTTTTTTTTAAATATTCTAATCAACTATATTTATCATTTTTCCACGAAATCATTCATTTTTAACAATAACTTTCCAAATTTAGAGGAATCCATTAAAACACCAAACAACTTTGAAGAATTGTTACTATTATGTACATTAATTAATTGCATTGTACCTAGCAACAGCTTTAGAAAAATTTCCTTCATTCTTCTTCTCCGCAGGTTTAATTGACATGGATATAACAGGATCAGGAACAAAGATGGACTCCATACTCAACATGAGATCTCGATCAAACACAAAACTGTCTCCGGATGCGCAATCAACTCCAAACACTGCGCAAATATCCCCAGCGTAAACTTCTGTCACGTCCTCCATCTTATCTGAGTGCATCTGAACAAGACGAGAGAGACGAGTCTTCTTTCCGGTTCTCGTGTTCCATACAGTGTCTCCTTTCTTCACACTCCCCTGGTACACCCGGAGATAGGTAAGCTGACCAAACTTTCCCTGCTCAAGCTTAAACGCCAGTGCGACAAAAGGATGCGTGTTAGATCTCTCAGGATTCATCAGGACCTTGGCCAACGCCGGATCTTTTGCTGCCGGGTTCAGCGCAAAATTTTGAACCTCCGTCGGGTTCGGAAGGTAATCAATAACTCCGTCCAGTAGAGTTTGAACTCCTTTGTTTTTAAGTGCAGTTCCAAGCATCACCGGAGTAAAGTTCTGCGAGAGGGTAGCTCGACGGATAGCGGCGTGAATATCCTGAGTTTCCGGAGTCCTCTCCTCGAGGAACATCTCTCCTAAGGTTTCATCTGCGTTAGCCAAGTGCTCAACAAGCTCCAGCCTAGCGTCCGAAGCCTCTTCCCGCATATTTGCTGGAATCTCGTCGTATACAATCTCTTCTCCGAAACTTCCGTTGTAGTAGATAGCTCGCTCATTCACAACATCCACCAGTCCCTTTAGGTTGGACTCTAGACCTATCGGCAGCTGAAGGAATGCTGCATTGTGTTTCAATTTATTTCTTAACTGTCCAAGTACACGTTTAGGATTGGAACCGGTTCGGTCCAGTTTGTTTATAAAAGCAATACGAGGGACATTGTACCTAAAATAAAGATAGTATAACAAAAATATTATTTACTTTTATTAACCAAGATCAAAAAAAAAGATTAGAGATGGACGGTATTTGACAACCAAAACACCATCTCATTTGCACTATCTGTATCATTATCAGTCTGATTTCTTTTTACCTTCTCATTTGACGATCAACAGTCATAGTTTGGGACTGGACTCCTCCTACAGCACATAGAACTAGAACTGCTCCGTCTAACACTCGCAGCGCTCGTTCGACCTTTAAAATACAAGTCTCGATCCTTTTTCATTAATAGTTTAACAAAAATTCAATCAGTGCCCTCCCCTACCTAGTTTTTTGTAAAAATAAAGGTTATATTGATAAGAGAATATGGCAACCAAACACAGGTTGGATATTTTATTTAAGAAAAGAACATTTTACTTTCATAAATCAAAAACATCAGTTACCTCTATTGTGAAATCTACGTGACCAGGTGTATCAATGATATTAATATTAGTATCCTTCCATTTAGTGTACGTAGCCGCGGACTGTATTGTAATTCCTCTTTGTCTCTCCAGCTCCATACTGTCCATAGTAGCTCCGACTCCGTCCTTACCCTTCACCTCGTGAATAGCCTCAATCCGTCCTGTGTAGAATAGGATTCGCTCAGTCAGGGTAGTTTTTCCGGAGTCGATATGCGCGGATATTCCTATGTTTCTCATCTTCTCAACCTCGATTGTTGCGGAGCTAAGCATGCGCGCAAAGTTCACAGGCTGAACCTGCCTCTGGGAGCAGGTTGAGCTCCTGGAGTAGACCAAGCTACGGGAGGAGAACCGTCCCACCGCGAGCATTCTGACTTCTGAAAAAGATTGGGATTAATACCACCAGGAGCGAATAATTAAAAAATTTTAAGAATGTAAATTATATTAAAATAATATCTTTATATCTTTCGTCGAATTACTGACGAGAATCAAGAAATAAAATTAAAAAGAAATTCAGTTTATAAATAAATATTTGCCTATCACCAAAACAAAACAAAAAGTGAACTAAAACTTTAAATAAAAATAGAACTATTAAAATCAAATAAAAATCAAATCTTGGACAGTACATCAAATACTAGCAAAATGATCTATTATAATTTACTCCAATCCAAGTACAGAGTTGCCAACAATGGTTGAGACTTCAGCATTTATTTAGTTCTGACATATATGGATACCCGCAGTTGAAAACTTGCCACGTCATCATTGCCATAAAATACGATATACGACAGAAAATACAGGGTCGTCATATTGGTTGTCATTAAGTCTTATCCCTTGTTTGTAACTCTGTATTATAAATAATAAACCAATAATTTTACAACAAATTCTCGGTAAACACACGCTAAACAGTCCAATTACTAAGTTACTATAAATGAACGATATATTTCTATACTATTAATATTATGAAGGAAATAAACTTTGTACTTTCAAGCAAACCAATACGATCTAACCAATAATATTGTCCCCCCTCGGAAAAGATAAGATATATATATATTATCGATTTTTGGGAATACCACAGACATTAACATCTAAACATATTCACCGCACAAGGATATAATATTTATTTAAATCCCTTAATATTTGAGAGCGAAAATAAATAATCAGACGTTAAATAACAATTTTTTTCTTCTATTTTTCGCATGTTTCTTCGTTTCTTCTCAAAATCAGTAAAATTTTCCCCATTTTCCTAATTGTTCGAAAAATCGATGCTTTACAATAATTTTCAAAAAGCGGGATTAAAAATGAAATATGAATACCCTTCTATCCACATTATGATTAATTATTATCAAAACAATAAATGCTCAGAAAGAATTTCTCTGGTACATTACAAACATTAACAAAATTTACTTATCCTGTGGAAATTGTACGAAGGGTACACAATGTACAGCTCGGTAAATACTGTTTTCTGTACGGTGTACACTGGACAGTTTTCTGTACAGATGTACAGTTTTACGTACGGTAGACACTGTACAATTTACACAGAATTGAATAAGAATCACATTTTCCTAGTTATTTATTCTCTTGCCCCGACAGCAACATTCACATGGAAGTTGGTTCCGTACACGGAGAGGAGAAATATTGAAGATAAACCTAGAAGAGCAGTTGACGACATTAGATTGAAGTAGTTTGAATATGTAAATGCAGTGTACCACAGGAATATAAGTCCTACTCCTAGGATAGGGATGAACAGCTCCGACATATCTAAATCCTCCTCTATTTCATCCTGTTCTTGTCTAGGTGGGGGCGGGGCGGTCTGGTTACTCTGCTGGTGGATTAAACAGTGGACTACGCATTTATCAAATATTCCATAGCTACGCAATGTTTGCGTATCCTCCCGTAGTACCTGGCCGTTGAAGATTAACCGAACATTTTTATCCTCAGAGATTTCTACGGTGAAATTTCGTCTCTTGAAGTTTCCGATATTTTCTAACAGACTTGCCTCAACTTCACGATGCGTATCGTTTAGAAACTTGAGACGAATTGTTACTCTCTCTTCCTGAGGAATGGGTTCAGCTTCAACTACATCAGAGGGAACAGCTTCGGGTTCAAAGGTCTCATTCACTTCCTCAGTTTCAGGAGCAATCTTTAATATTCAGTTCTTAACAAACTTATTACTTTAATATTTTTATGGTAGAATTAAAATGTACAAATTTTGAAAATCTATGAACTGAAATTAGAACAAGATTAGGTAGATTGCAATAAGCTGGAAGATTAAACCATTATACAAGCATGGAGAAGTTAGCAAATAAAATGGGATTAACGAAAGAATCTTAACATTCCTGTAAGTTTTCCTCTTGTGGACTAGGTACAGAGGATGAGGTCGAAGTTGAGGATGAGGTTGATGATGAGGTTATGACTGTGGTTGTGGTTGAGGATGAGATTGAGGTTGACTCCGGGTCTTGAGAAAGCTGAAGATATTCGTTCCTTCTCTCCTGTCCTACTCTAGTTCTGGACCTAACAATTCATAAATTTTAAAAAAAATCAATGAGTAAGAAAATCCCTTCTTGGAAAATATCATCGTACATTTAGGAATCCCATCAATAATTCACGACAGTGATCCCCTTAAACCTTGAGCAGTGAAACTTTAGAAAGAAATTTTAAATGTAATTAATAATTTTAGACGTGATAATTGTTTTCAGGGTGCTTGTTCTTTGAACTAAGGGACACTCAGAATCATATAAACAATTCCTTCCAGATTATGCAGATTATCAAAATATAAATTAATTTAATATTTAGTTTGTTTTCTCACCCTATACGCCGTAGCTCTGTCCGTTCTACCAGGATAACTGATGAAACCACGGGTTCAACCACCTGGGTGGAGAACCAGGATCCAACCAACAGGAGCAGACAGGAAACCAGGAGAAAGAAATAGAAAACCTCGTTCCCGACACCTTGGATAAACTCCTCGGGAGTGGAGTCCATCCTGTCTGAAACTAGAGAACAGAGATATAAATATTTCTCCAGGTTAGACCCGGAGTAGAGATGAATACATGTTTACAGGGTTTTATACAAGAAAATACTAGAGATTAAATCTGGAGACGAGCCCTTGTACCAGGAGAAAATATTGCACAATTAATTCCCATCTATGATATTAAAGATAACTTTTCTGAATAACATGAAAGCTTTTTAAATTCAATAAAAAATTAAATTTTCATCCGCTTCGTTCCTAAAATCAAAGAAAATCAGCCCTTTCTTGAAACAACAGAATTTTGTCATTTTTGTCAACATAGGCTTTCTATAGAAAGCACTTTTACCAGAGATATATCACATTTTATAAATAGAGAAAATAGATAACAAATTAACTACACGACTTCTGATGTTAATTATCTAAATATAGAATAAGTTTGTTTTCTAAGATGACATGAAGAGCATCATTAATTAACTATAAATAACAACTACAGGGATACAGGGGAAACATATAGAAAATAATTTGGAACTAGAAACTACATCATAAATAGAAATATTCATAACTTGGTGAAAACTTGCATTTGCTTCAAGTTTATGAAATAAATTAAATCATTGGCAAGAATCATAATTGCATATTACCATTAAATTAAACAATAAACTAAACTAAATTAATTAATGAAACTAAATTAATGATATCTAGCCTGATAAATATAGTAGATCTGACACGGAACAGTAGAATACACAACCTTGAGCTTAAAGGAGAAAAGAACAAAGTACAATGATTATTTATATCTAAGGAGGCTGGAGCTTAATAGTTCAGCATATTAAACTTAAGTCCGGCTTAGATAAATCAACTTGTTTGCTGAAGAATGAAGATGGAATGTATCAAAGCTTGATATTGAACACAAGGTTTAGAAAACATTCTGAATAATCATAATGGTGCAGGTTACAGGTATTAAAATGCTTCATGTATTAGATAAAATAGAAAGAAGGGTTTATAAATGACGTTGATTACTTTCCCGGTAGAAACTTTCGTAATGAAAGTTTTTTCAAATAATTGAAAATAAATTTAGGGACACTGCTACTTTGGAAAGTATCAACTCAACAGAAGTATAGTTACAATGCGTAATACTTTAGTTCTTCATTGAACCAACCCTGTGGTCAGGAATATACTTTTGTACACAAGCTCTTAATATAATATTGTTAATTCTTGAGACGCTGGATAGGTTCTATAGTGTGGCAAGGATTCTAGTGAATCCTACAGCTGCATGTATGACCGTCTGCCCAACCCCCCACATCATCGCATGAGTCGGGAACATGCTGAAGCTGCTGTGCTTGTAAACAAATGCAATTGCTGCGGATGATAGTAGGCCTAGGGAGCAGGGTATAATCACTCCCATCAGTAGAATCATAACACTGTAGAACTTTCCGAGTTTATGGCGCCGGAGCATGGTGAAAGCGATGATGCCCGCAATACTGTAGATAAATACAGACGAGACGAAGCACCACATAAATACACCAATCCTGAAAAAGAAGATTAAGATAAAGCTTTTGAGTTATTTATCTCGGGATCAAGAATTGATCTCCAACTTATGCAGGCCTAGGGATAAACTTATCCAGACCTAGGGATAAATTTAACTCCTTTTTGATCCCGTAGTTGTCCTACTCTGCAGGAGTAATATTTATTCGGGGATCAAACATTTATTCTCAAATATAAAAAAGCCGACATTGGGTATCAAGATCAAGTGTTCAAGGATAACGATGCTCCACACAAAAGTTCCGACTATTGGGTAAAAAAACAGCTGATTTCTTAACTATTTTTCTTTTTCAACAGTTATTTGAATCGTTAAGTAGAATTATCCAACGCAGACGAGAACCTTTGAATTTAAGAATTATGTATCAAATGTTTCAAGATTTAAGCCGGCGCTTAATTTAAACCGGGTTTTGGCGGATTTAAACCGCGGCTCAAACTCTTTAAATTCCATCTCAGTAAACATTTAACTGCTGAGACAATGATTAAAAATTTATTTAGCTTAACTTCCATGTTCAAAAGTTTACGCTAACTTTAAAAGAGTTGAGAAAAGTAACTTAAAAATATCATATTTAAAATTTTCGGGATTAGAAAACACAATTTTCATAGTTTTAGAAACATTTAAAAGTGTTCTTACCACATTTCCTTGAAGAGGAGAAGGGTTGGATTGGATGAGAGGGCGAATACAGTTGAAACCCGAAATTCATTCTGATTCATCTCGTTCTCTACCTAGAGACAAATGGGTTTACACCATGCAACAAGTTTTAAATATAGGGTAGATCCATATCTAAAAATTAGACTAAGAAATTCAAATTCTTTTAAAATTTGTTGATCTTAAATTACAATTTCGACATTATCAATGTGAAAAAAAAAATATATATTTTGTTTTAGTGGAATTAAATATCCAAGAAATCCCTATTCAAGTTTGAGAAATGTTTGTCAATATTGAGCAAAATTTATTTGTTTATTTTGTTTAATCCATTTGTTTTTATAAATTTATCAAGTCTCGATATATTTTTTGTTCTAATTTTGAAAAACCTTTTACCTTGTTAACGATAAGTGAGTCTGCAGATAAAACAAATGCGGAGAAATATGATGTTTTACAAAATATAAAACGCAGATCTCTTCTGTCCCGTCTCCGCTCATCATTATGATTATTCATTCATCTGAAACTGAACATGGTTCAACATTCAACTATTATCAATAGGAGCAAGACTAGATTTGGCGGAGCTTTAACAATTGGAAGATTTTATTTATCAAGGGCAAATAAAGCTACGTTATAATCTCTAATTAGAAATTGAATTCTTTTCGATGACAAAAAAGGCATCATTCTTAATTGTTAATATTTTAAAAAATCTTTCTTTAACTTTCTTCTGATTTTAATTGCTAAATATAATTTCATACGTTACAACTTTATATACTCCTACTTAAAAATTTGGTGGATTAACAAGATTCTCTATTTTGCAGCAGCTTTAATGTGACTAATAACATTTTGGACTACATCCATGGAGGTAGCTTGTCCTCCAAGATCCTCGGTTTGAATCATGTCAACATTAATAGTTTGCCAGACAGCGTCATGAATTAGCTTAGCGTGGTATCGGAGGTTTAGGTGTGAAAGCATATCAGCGCTGGCATTCAGCATGGCACAGGGGTTCGCCTTGTTTTTTCCGATCAGGGTGGTTCCAGTGTTTCTGGTTCCAGGTTCGAAAACAGCATATCTGGGTCCGATGTTGGCTCCAGCAATTACTCCGGGTCCTCCAATGAGTCCACAGATCAAGTTGGTGACGATGGTACCGTAGAGGTTTGTCAGGATCATAACATCAAATTGCCAGGGGTTGCTAACCAGCTGCATACAACAGTTATCAATGATCATGTTGTCGTGCTGGATCTCAGGGTAGTCCTTGGAGACCCTCTTGGCAACCTCTAGGAAGAGACCGTCCGTGATCTTCATAATGTTTGCCTTGTGGATGAGGGTGACCTTTTTCCTGCCGTTGGCTCTGGCGTAATCGAATGCGTGTCTACATAATCGCTCAGTGCTTGGCTCTGTAGTGATTTTTAGGCTTTCCACAACCCCCTGTACGCTTTCATGCTCCAACATTGCGTATTCACCTTCGGTGTTCTGACGCATAATCTAGAAATAAATGTTTGACTCAGTCTCTGTACAAGCAATCTCATTTTCTTTAGTTAATAAGATCATTTTTCCCATGTTTAAGATAAAATCATGTTTTTAGCGAACGACCTTTAAATCTGTTGGTTAAATTATATCTGGTACATATTCAGGATTTAGAAAAGTTTTAAAGATGGTATTATACAAATATCAGAAAAAGGAAGCTAAACAAATTCAACATAGATAATTAAGGGGCGTTTCATAGGGTAGGCTCACATGGATAACGTAGATGAAAGTATATGTTTGGGCATAAGTGAGCATATTTCGAGTATTTAGATCTAGATGGCATAAAAAAGCTTTAATTTTAGGTAGGTTAATGGCATTAAGTGACATAAATGAATGATAATTCCACGATTAGATTTGGTTTTGTAGAGAAACTACATTTAAAAATAATCTGCTTTTAAAATTAGCTAATTCATCATTAATCAGCAAAAACTTCTAATGGTACCATTGTGAATCGATCTTTGAATTGAGGGTCATTTGGAATTACGATTACAGTCCGTTTAAGCCAACAAGTCAACATTTGTCTACATTCAATTAATTGCTTAAATACGAATTATGATTGACTTTCAATATTTATGAAGAGCCACCTTAAAGTCCTAATATTTAATAACACAAGGGAGACTGTAAAATATGAATGCGGTTCTTTTATGAATTTCAGTGTTAATGTGAAAATACTTACCACGATATCAATATCGTCATGCCTGGTCTTTACACCAGGCTGAGACTTGCAATGTATCGTGTTAACAAACAGATCTAGCTCATTTCTCATCTCAACATTCCTGGACTTGATGTCAGGACGGTTCATCTTGGTCTCGATGTTCCCCTTGATCCCAACTCCGTTCCTCTTCACGGAAGAGATGGCGTTGTATAGATCGTCGTAGTTGTCGGTGGTAGGATCGAGAAGAACCGTCTCGAAATCTATCGGAGCTCCGGCGTATCGGAAAACTTCCTTGACGTATCCCATCATTTCTGGACCAATACCGTCGCCGGGCATCATGGTAACGGTGTGCCTGCCACCGTACTTAGCAATAGGAATGTTTGCAGCTTTCAAACTGACAGAACGGGTTTGAAGGCTCCCAAATCTGCTCAAAGAGGCCAAGGGTTTCATCAGATTTGTGGCTGCCATTTTGTCTGGAATTTATTTAATGTCATAACTAATAATGAAAAATAAAATTTAAGTATTCCTTAACGAATGATATGTAAAATAAACAACCAGATTCTGATCTTATGTACAAGGTGGCATGATGGATCGTGTATAGCTCTGCAGATTGCACAGATAAAATAGGTTATTTTGAGTTAATCTTTGTATATTTAAACGCCGAGGCTTAAATATAATCCAATATGGTATGAATCCAGGAGGGGTGTAAACGGGCGGAAGTCCCTACCTCCCCCCCCCCCTCTCTCTATTTTGGCATCAAATTTAAGGAGAAATAGAGTGCTTTTTATGGTACTAGCTTGGGAACCCAACGCTACCCGGGTTACTAAAAGTTACTTCCGCCGTTTAACCTCACTTGGACATTTTACCGGGAAATTAAATTTTCGCTATTAAAGTCGACCCATTCAATTTAGAATCTCGAAACCAATCTAAACCCAATCCCGTGAGATTGTTCGATTGTAAGAATTGTAATCTTGTACCAAAATGCGCTGGTTTCCATCATTAAACAAAAAATACATTTTACTCTACAGCTAAAATCTTAAAAAAGCTTACAAAATTTCCGTAATTTTTCACACTATTATTACACAAGCACAAGACTTTTCCCAAAAATTGAGGAAAAATGTGCAGAATACCGCTGAATATTCAGAATAACTGAATGTCGTCTTTTATAAGTCACTTCTGGTCCGTCGCCATTTAATTTTTGATATAAGGAAAAGAAAGGAGTTCTCCTTGTTTTCCCATATTCAGTATTCACAACAAAAGCAAAATAAGATCCTGGATAAATTGGGGTGGTGGGGGGCGTTTTATATACAATCTTAAGGAAGCTCAACACGCAGAGATTCATAAAAATTATACAGGCGAAAGCAAAGGACACCCCAGGAGGGGGGACTGAGCCCCCCCCCTTGGACCAGTAAAATATTTGGTGTCCATGTTCCGAACCCTTGACTTCCCCCCTGGAAAAATTCTTGACTTCGCCGCCCCTGATCTGAGCCTGTTTTCTTCAAACAGATGAAAGAACAGTGGTCGTACTTTGAGAGGACGATAGTTTGGCCGCCAGATAACTCATGCAAACCTCTTTTCTGATAAATAATTCAGTCGACCAAAGTTCGACCACAATTAAGAGACGTCATATTGTCGACAAATGTTATGATAGAAGGAATGGCCTCCCGAAGGAATACCAGATCTGGTGGGGTTAGCGTAATTCTTGTTAATTATATAGTTGGGTTTTAGAACAGTTACAAATGCAAAATGTTCAATCTTTGCGGTGAACATGTAGGATTAATTTAATAGTTGTACTACAGTATTAAAGCTTTATCATAATAAGTGACAGAAAAGTATTATTCGATCGTCTCTTTCTATTTAAATCTGTTTCTCTAGTTCTCTGCTTTAAATAAACACTATGTGCTGAGCTTCATTATTAGTGCAACTTCAATACATATTATAAAGCAAGATCAATGATTAGTGATTAGATACCACAAGGTTCCATAGGGACCAGGAGCAGAACTGAACCTAGCTCCAGATATAGGGACCGAGTACAGGTTTAGGTTGAAGACCCAGATGTTTATGTCTGGGTTGGAGTCTAGTTTGAAACCAGAATCTCCGTGAGTAAAATGAAGGTTTAGCTCCGTGATTACATGGGTCTACCACGTCCTCGTCCCATACCTCCACCCGGGGGCATCTGTCCCTCTCCCTGTCCACTTCGGGGGTTCTTTACGGTCTCATCAACACTAAATAAGATTTAGATTAAATAACAAAGCAAAACTGACTGTTTTGATAACGGGATGGTTTAAAATAATTAAACCAAATAGACAATATAAGGAAAGAATCTAAAAATCTATATATATCTTTAAAATCGGGCATAAGGTTGTCAGATATGGTAAAGATAAAGAGTATATATATCTATAATAAAATCGGGCATAATGCTGATATATGGTAAAGATAGAGTAATAATTTCTCTATTTTAAAAATCAAAGCCGGTTTCTAAAGCTTTGAGAAAAATAGACTGAAGCAAATAGATCAAGTACAGTAGTATATAAAGGACATTTTTTGGCGAGTGCTGCGAAAAGTAGCTTAATATGACATCATATAATTTTCAATAATATCGTTCAGTATGATGTATATTTTTCAAATATTGCTTTTTAAATTTTTCTGATAAATGTGATAAGATGAAAAAGTACAATGAATGGCAACGTAGAACTTGTACACTTTTAGTGCAATTGTATTCTAGCGTCACAAGTGTCAACAGTTTTATGTGTCCAACAAAATTATTAATACTAGTGCTTATCTTCCAGAGAAATAAGTGCAATTTTGTGTTCTTTTTTTCTTTTTCTACACTTCTTTTATCTAATCTTGTAAAACATGTCAACAATGGCAGAAAAATGTTGTCTTCCTGGCTATATTTGACACTTGTGACGTCATGTAAAATTGGTCACTTTCTCTGTTTCCCATTATTATACTTGATAATCAATTTGGACTGAAGCTTTAACCAATTAACAGGTAAGGAGGCAAAAAATTAATGTGAACATAAAATATTTACTTATCCTCCTATAAACAATACGAATGTTTAAGTCAAATATTAATCTAAATAATTATTGCATCAATATAAACTTTTTTATTGTTTTCTGACTTCTTACAAATCAAATTAAACAACATGCAACCTTGGAACAACAAAAAACAGATCATACCACTAATACAAAATAACGAAAACTATTTAGGTTAAATTTTAACTTTAAATACCTCGAATCGACCCCCCCCCCGTTGTGAGATGGTAAAAAGATAAAGAGTATATATATAATCTATAAAATCGGGCATAATGTTGTTAGATGGTGAAGATAAAGAGTATATTTATCTGTAAAACCGGGCATAACATGGTTGGATGGTGAAGATTAAGAATGCAGTATTAAACTAAATAATTCCACTGGCCGTAAATAGATTAATAAACACGGATGAAATTACGTCAGCAGTCAATTTAACTTCAAGATATGTAATCCAAGCATCCAAATGTTTATAAATAGCCTTTTCATGAATTTTATGCGATTTTATGCGATTTAAAACTTTTAATTGGTCCCAAAAAAAATAAAAGCTACTAAAGTGAAGCGTGTGAACGAATAAGTTAGATTTATGCGCTGGCGAGAATACTAAGATGCACTACCTGAGTAGAAGACAAGTTGCCTCTGAAGCTGCAATAATTGCATTGGATTTTACAATGGATGGTTCCCAAACACAAGCCTCGAAATTATCCGCGATATCCTCGTTCATCACATCAACACCGAACCAGATCTCGTCCTGAGCGTGCTTCTGTCGAAGTTTGTTTAGAATATTAGTCGCGTCGAATCCAGCATTGTCGCACAGCTGACGAGCTATCACTTCAAAAGCCTTGGCCATGGCGCCAATGATGAGCTGCTCCTTGCCAGCAATGGTTCTGCTGTAGTTCCGGAGATACTTGGAGAGCTCCATATCGATTGCTCCACCTCCGGCAACAACGGAGTCGTTCTTCATGGTTCTCCTGAACATTGATTACATCAAAAATGCTTTCAAGTTTATAATATAAATCAAAAAATACAACTTTTCAGTTTTATAATACCATAAATTGAATTATCTTTATTATTTTAAGATAAGTTTTAGCAAATTATTAAATGTGAGCATTTTGCGTACGTAAATATTCGAAAATTTTATTTTCCATAAAACTAATAATGAATTTTTGATATAAAATCAAATAAAAATTTGAGCTATTGAATTCGTGATATTTGGATATATAATCAAATCTATTTTGAGATATTGGATTCATAATATTTAGATATATAATCAAATCAAATAAAATTTTAAGCTATTGAATTCATTATATTTAAAGAAGAAAACAAATCAAGGAAAGTCTTTCACCCCGTTGTATGCAACAATTTGTTTTAAGAAAATGAATGATATATCTTAAATGATGCTTTAACATAACGAACCTAACAATCATAATAGCGTCATGAAGAGATCGCTCCGTCTCCTCCATAAACTGCTCAGCTCCTCCACGAAGGATAATGGTGCAACTCTTTGACTTGGGGCACCCGTAGAACAGATTGAACCTCTCTCCACCAACCTGCTTCTCCTCGAAGGTTTCACATGTACCCAGAGTAGAATCATCTAGATCATGAACTGTGGATTGAATAGCTCCACCACAAGCCTTCATGGTTCTCTGTAGGTCTTCGTCAACTACTCGACCAGCGCAGAACATACCCCGGTCAGCAAAATACTAAAAAAAAAAATATTCTAAAATACTCTCACAATCAAAACACGACTAACAAATTCTCATCTAGTTTTATTCTTTATAAACACAAAAGTAACCTGTGTAACCTGTATTCCGGTTATTTTTCAAAATCTAATAAAACTAGTTAATTGGTTTACTCGTGCTTACCTGGGTTGCAACGTCTCCAATGGGAAGTTTTGAGAGGACAACTTTAGCTCCGCTCTTGGTGATTTTATCCAGTTTATCATACAGAATATTCCATTCGGCATCAACCACCTTCTGGTATTCCTCTACATTGTCAAGACGTACCTAAAACAAGATCAGTTAACCTCTGTATAGAACTAGACGCAAATAGGTATCTTCTGGAGTGTGCAAAGTATTTATTCATCAACATTTAACCAAGTGCTTAGAATCTATTTATTAGATGCGGATCCGGATCCTGGATCCTCACCTCTCTTTATTCAATAGTTCAGATTATGGTTGAGAGTAACATTTTTTTGGCAGTTTTTGGTTGATATTTTGCCCTTTGGATCCCCATATTTTTGCTGATCCGGCTCCAGGAAACCAAAATCTAATTTCTCTATTTTAAAAATCAAAGCCGGTTTCTAAAGCTTTGAGAAAAATAGACTGAAGCAAATAGATCAAGTACAGTAGTATATAAAGGACAACTGAAGAGAGAAACCACAATTTCTCATGCATGAAAAAAAACTTTTCAGGGTACAGTTTTGAATCGGACAAGCCTTTATAGAAATGGGGTCACTTGAAATACCGTCTACAATCCCTTTAAATACAGTGTTCTTCCTACCTCTGCATTGTCCTTCTCAGCTTTCAGTTCAAGTTCAATATTGAGGAGAGCAATCTTGGGATTGGTGTATGTCTTCTTCTGCATCTCAAACCCAGCATAGCTGAAGGTCTTCTTGAAGGCGACTCCAGGTACTAGAACGGTGTCTTCTAGAGCTCCTCCCTGAACCTTCTTGATCCCGATCATGTTGAGGGGAAGGAGTTCGTCGAGGGTCATGACGGCGTCGACAACCATCTTGCTGAAGTACTCCTTCTGTTGATGGATGAGTTTGCTGGACATAGAGGTTGCTGCACACTTCTCCAATAAAGATCTATATTCCTGAATAAATAAGATTGATACAGAAGACGGATTATCAGAAAACTAAATTTAGAGGTGAAAGAAAAATATAAGCCATAAATGAAAAAAAATTGGATCCATTCTGAATCGGCCAATCAAGACACACGCCCTTTTAGTATTATTTGATGGTTAGGTTAGATTAGGACAATTTCTTGGCCGAACGCTGCGGCTAAGGGGTCGAGCGGAGCGGCGAGAACATGCTAAGGATCTTTGCGCCGCGGGTCGGGCAGATTTTTTTTAAGTTCAGGGGGGAGTTTAAAATCACTCAATCTCAGAAAATAAACAGATTTTTACTACTATCAAAGTTTAGATTCCTAATATGAAGCCAGTTGATATTTATTTTCCACAGGACAAGAAGTTTTTTTTAGGTATCTTAGCAATTCCACAGGATTTTCAGTCTTAAATTTTGGCTATGTTAAAAAGCTTTTCCACCCCATAAAAACCAGCTTTTTAAACCCAGAAATATAATTTGCCATTCCCATGTATTTCATTTTTAAACTTACCACCGGGTCATCCTTGTTAATTTTAACAGCTAGTTCAGCCATCCTTTCCAGAGCTAGTTTAGTTGCTTTCCTAAAATCATATTTTGACTAATTAATTATTGATAATTATATATATACAAATACAATACAAACATAATTGTTAAATTCAACGCTTTGAAAATAAAATAAAAAGGGACTTCAAGATGAAAGTTTTTTTTATTTCCAATTCACATTTTTATTTTAATTATTTATTTACTTTTCTAAGACGTAAAATTTTTGAATGTAAGAATTTTCAACAAATATTTTAAGAAACGAGAATTTCTTGTTGAAAAAAAATGTTAACTCTTAAAAACCTCCGAGAAGCTAGAATAAATCAGGCTTCAAACAAACCAAACAATGCTGTGATTATTAATCTATTAAGAAAAATTTTAATATGAAATCATCCACTCTGACCACCCCTTCCCTTAAAAGGGTGTTTTGCAAATTTTTAATCCTTAAAATTAAGCGTTTGGTGATTACATAGAAAACTAAACGGATTTTATTTAAATCACAAGCGAACGTCCTGTTTATTATTCTCATAAGCATTGAACCCCCCCCCTGCCCTCAACACTTCAAACACTGGTCCAAAACAATTTCTCTAAGCTTTATTTAAATTTGATTTTTTAAAAATATAATAAAATAAAAAGAATTATTTGCCCAAAAAACTTACAAAATTTCGATAAACTTTGCAAGAACCACCCTTTAATTCGGGGTCGTCAAATTTTCCTTCAATTCNCATAAAAATGAAACTATCGACCTCAACTAAACTTACTGCATTCTGTTAACGATACTTTCTAATTAAATGTGTTAAAAAAAACAACTTTTTAAGGCAATTTAGATCGACAGCAAATATGTGGACAAATTTCTTAATAAGAATTTTATTAAAAAATGAGAGTAAAATTTAGGTGTGTTAAATTTATCTTAGGAAAGATACCAATTGCAGAAAGATAGGCTTGATCTATGATAGGATAAAACTTTCAGATAGAACAAGAAATGGGAAATGATTTTGGATGATCTGTTAACAATATTGTTAGTTTCCTCTAAAAAATCGATAAATTTTCCCGATTCATCGAATACAGCTCTCATCATACCTAACTTTTCAGGGAAAATGTTTTTCAAAAAAACAGGGATGATTTTACAGGAAAATATTCACCCCTGAAGGATTTGAGAAACAACTTAATAAATTATTTGTAAATTTAAATATTTTGAACCTGCGACTTAGCAATATCAACCAGGGTCTTAGCAGCAGGGTGAACAACATCCAACAGCTTCATGATAGTAGCACCGTCGTTACTGATCGTTGCCTTTCCTCTGTTATCAACGATAAGCTTATCCATGCCCCTGGGGCCGAGGGTGGTTCGGATAGCATCGACAATAGCGCTGCAGGCATTAATGTTGGAGATTACTTGCTGCTTGCCCTGGGCATTCTCCGTCCCTTCCTTCAACAAGAGGATCTGAGGTTGCATCTTTAATCTGAAAATTTATAACAATAATTGTATATATTTCAGAATCAGATTTAGGAAAACAAGGATTGGATTTTAATAAAATTATGTTTGGATTTATTAAACAAGGCCATGGACAATCGCTTTATATTGTTTGTTTACAACTATTTTGATCTGTCCTTTACTGTACGTACAATTGTATGTTAACAACAAGATAGTCAATAAAGTATGTCGATGAGGTACAGGTAAGATCTGAACGTGCCTGACGTCACTGATGAACACAATTGGTGAAGAAATCCCAGTCCGCCAAAGAAAAATTTAAATGAAGTGCCAATCATACTGATGCATGTACTCGCCTGCACCCAAGACAGTTCTAGGACCCGTGCCCTAGTCCTGTAGAGTTATTACGTAGGTAGGGTACAAAAGCTAGAATCACTAGAATTGTGTGACTACCAAACTACCTATTCCAGGACCCATGGTAAACAACCACTATCCCCCTCTCCTGAATACTCCTTACTAATATCCCTGCTATACATCAAGTACCCTTTGTTAGGACGCCTTCTCTCTAGCCTTTCGGTAACTTTCTTTCTAGTTTAGTAGACCCAAAACTATAATAAAGAATATTTTTTACTTCAATTTTCAATACAAACGACAGCTTTTGATTGGGCAATGTAATTCGAGAATCGAGTCCGGCTTTTACAATTTACATTACAAACTAACATATCTAGTACAAACTTTTATTTACGTTATCAAACAAAAATAAATCTATATTCTATTTCTAACAAATACTTTGAAATCAAAAGGGTGTATTTATTCAATGATTAGAAATATCTAGAATGTTCGAGAGTCTGCATGCTATTCACCGGAATTCTACCTTTGTTTGGTTTGGTTAAAAACACCGGACAGATGTGCGCAACTGCGCATCGTTCAGAGAAAAACAGGAATTTCTATGAAAATGTGAGGTGAAAATCAAATTATTAACTTTTAAGCAAGATATAGAGGAATTAATATTGTCTGGCTCATCAAGCTATGCTTTTTATTGTTTAAATAGCTTAAAAGGTTCGAACAATAGAAAAAACGTCGAAGACGACATTTAAAAAGTTCCTTGAAATCGATTGTGTATCTTTTGGCCTACACAGTAGTACATAAATCCGCTATACTCTTCTTCTGACCAATGCCAAATCTGCTATACTAAACATCCGACCTACTTTTGCAGCTGCTATATGGACTTGTGGCTGCAGCGCCCGGCCCCTAGCCTATCCTAGCCGCAGCGCTCGGCCCAGAAATTGTCTTTTAACATAACCTAACCCTTTCGACAAATTCTTCCTAGGTTGACCAACCTGTCGGTGGTAGGTAATAGATGGCCTTTTCAATGAGAGCATTGAGCAATATTTACATCACATTCACAAAGTTTCAGTGGTCGATAAATATTTGATAAGTTTTGACTAATGCGCACATTTTATCATTTTATGGAGGAGGATATATATATATGTTTGTTTTTACAATGTTGTCACTTTCAAGTATATATAAATAAAAAATATAGTTTAAATTTGAAATAACTGAAACCGCCCTTGATCATCTTTTGAAATCACTGAGATCTGTTGCAATCACAAAATTAAATCGAAATTACATCTACAGATTTCCTTTGCAAAAGATTTCTAACATAGGAATTTGTTACAGGGGGAACAGGGGAGGCTAACAAAAAATATTTCCGGGAGGGGCTCATCACTTGTTTGGGTGTCAGAAACCTAATGAAACATAGATTTCAATCACAGTTCCGGCCATTAAATTCTGTTGGATCAAATATTCTAAGCTTAAAATACCAAAGGTTTAAACATCAGGATTCAGGTTGCATAGATATAGGGATTAGAAAATTTGTGTTTAAGACTAAGACAAGATTCCATTCAGAACTTTTCCCGGGAGGGTGGGGGGCATTAATTTTTTGACGATCCAGGGGGAATGTCTTTCAGGGCCAGTTTAAATTCTTTTCATAAAATAAAAGTTCTCTGAACTATTCTGTATACGAAGGAACCTGTATAATATATAAACAATTATGAATTAAATGAGACAATCTTCAGCATATTATTGTATTTGTTTAATTACATTACAATTTATATTACATACATGCATGCTATTTAGAATAAAGTCACGACTAACTAAAGCATTAGTGATCAACATACTATTGTACTGTGGTGTTGTACTGTTATTGTTACTGTTTTGATTGTCAATATTTGATCGTCCTCGAACAATCATTTTTTCATTTTTTTCTTGTTTTTCAACTGAATTTAGAAAATTTTATCATAGATGCTAAAAATAATTATTAAACCTAAGTTGTGGTGGTTTATGTTATAAAATTTTAGTTTTCGGCGACAAATTGTATTTTTATTGAGGTAAAACAGCTTTAAAAAATGTTGTACGTGATTTTTTTTAAGTGCTGATGCCGTATGTACATTGTACATATATCAAATATCCTTGGATAACTACGTTGAACTGCATTACTGAATATTCCCTTTAATTTTTGTGAATAAGAATATCATGTAATTAATATAATTTGTTCTCTGTAAGGTTTACAACAATGTTTATAAATAATACATTTTCGTCTACAAATTGCACGGTGGTAACCAGAAAACATTATATTGAATGGTTTCTACGTTTTTTCTTTTAGTTATAATTGTCAATGGAGATTTTGTAATTTGTAACTGAACATGACTAAATATTTTAGGAAAGTGATATTTCATTAAAAAAAAGGGAAGAATCAATCATTCCATGGTTTTCCGATTAAAGTAATGAATAATTCTAAGACCGACAAATGAAATGCTTGTAAATTCGAACAGAATGAAAAGTCTTTGAATTGGTTTAACAAATATTTTTTAATACTTGTATTTAATCTGGTCCTATGTCAAAAATATGTGTAAATAATACAGACACAATTTCACTGACTGTTTACGAACTGTATTGACCTAACAATGTCTTTTTTTCTTGATCTTTGAGACCAGGTATATTTTAAGAGGATGGCCTCATAGAGATGCTTATTTTAAAAATATTTATTCAATAACAAACAAATTTGTGTTGTTATTCAATTCAGATTCAATGTTTGTTAAAGGGACTGTGAATGTATTTTCAAGTGTGACCAGCTCCATGCAGAGATGACAATACCTGATCTGCAACGGTATACCCTAACATACCATAAAAAGCTTTCTCTGATCATGTATATTTAGTTAGATATCTATGTTTTTGTTAATTTAAACTGCTTATTTTCAATTGCGGGTTCTCTGCAAAAGTGACTTGTTTATAAGAAAATGGAGAAATTCACAGAAATAAACGCTTTCGAGCCATTAAACTACGTTATCTTTCACACATTTTTGATCAGATTGAGGTTTCAACAGGACCATTGTAAATCGGGCATTGCTAACTTTGAAGGATCAGTTAAACTTACTCTTGCAGTTCCTTTTAGGCAGCTTTATTGTCGATTTTAATAGACGTTTCTGTTTATTGATCCAGGTTTGTTGCTTTTTTAGTCGGCTAAGCTGATTATTTAGTCTGGTTAGCTGTTAATTCAGAGGGCTTTTTGTTTGGTAACTCAACTTTTGTTTACTCGAATTTGATATTTGTTTACTCGACTTTGATATTTGTTTACTCGACCATGATATTTGTTTACTCGACTTTTATGTTTGTTTACTCGACTTTGATGTTTGTTTACGCGACTTTTATGTTTGTTTACTCGACTTTTATGTTTGTTTACTCTTTGATTCCGGATTAGTTGACTTCTTCTTCTGTTTTGTTAAGATAGTTCTCTCCTCTCCCTAACAGAACTGATTTCAAGGTTCTCTCATCCAACTCCTGGTTTACAAATCAAGGATATGAGATTGTATGCAATGACCTAACACTAACACAACATTTGAATTTGTTCTATTTTTAAGGCTTTTATGGTTTTAGGACTTTTAAAATGTTATTTCTGGAATCGTGTTAGAGTTTAAAACCTTAAAAGTCTTAAAAACGAACGAAATGAAATGCCCAACACAACTTAACAGAACATTTGTGTATGCATAAACTTAATCTTATGAAAATGATCAATTTTAGTCATTATTCTTCATTAGATTAAAAACATGAGAAGAGAAGTTCCCAGATAAAGTGAAACAAGCATAAAAACCAACCAACTAAAAGTATATTTAATATAATTTTAAATCAATAAAGTTATTAAAACAAATTTTCGAAAATGAGTTAGTACACACTGCACAATTATCGTGTACCATGTTTATTGAATTATCTTAAATCTTAAAGTTTAAATTCTAAATCAAAATCTTGTTTCTAAATGTCATCATTGTATTCCACAGATTTTATGATGACAGATATTTGTACAATATTGTTGACCTGATATAAGGAGAAGACAACAAGGATAAAAGATGCCGTGAAACAGAAGTTTAAAAGTTGCAAGATGGCCAAAACCAGGACGAATCCTAAAAAGAATGATCAAAATTTAAAAATACTATCATTAAATGAAAACAACATATTTCCCATAAATTTTTCTGTTTATAAATTGTAAAAGCTAAAAACTGCTTAAAAATTAAGTTTTTACTGCAGAAAAGAAAATGAGCACGAAATTCTGCTGCCATATTATTTGTTAAAATCTGATAAATCTAACCGATAGTTGTATCATAGCTGAAGAGAATTGCAAGAAGGACGAACTCCCAGATAAGGGTGATAATTGTAGCGACAATCCAAACCAGTAGAAGTACCTGTGCTTTCAAGAGAGTTCAATATGTAATTCAAGAATATAACTTTGAACCATCATGTTGCTCTTAATCTTTAAACCTTTTCTGATTTTTTTTTCTTAAATCTATTTTTAGTTTTTAAAAACTTCTCTGTTCCTTTAGATCTTTCCAGGCTCCAATAATGAGGAGAACATTAGCAAGACCATACCTATAAGAACATAAAGATAAAACCAGACATGACTTTACAACCTCTCAAGTATGTAATCCGACTATACGTTCTCTCCATGTTGACCTGGCTGTACGTTCTCTCTAGCAGACCTGGCTAGCTATACGTTCTCTTCTGCAGACCTAGATATACGTTCTCTCCAGTTGACCTGGCTATATATACGTTTTCTCCAGCAGACCTGGCTGTACGTTCTCTCCAGTTGGTCTGGCTATATATATACGTTCTCTCCAGTTGACCTGGCTGTACGTTCTCTCCAGTTTTCCTGGCTATATATACGTTCTCTCCAGTTGACCTGTCTGTATGTTCTCTCCAGTTGAACTGGCTATACGTTCTCTCCAGCAGACCTAGATATACGTTCTCTCCAGCAGACCTGACTTTACGTTCTCTCCAGCAGACCTAGATATACGTTCTCTCCAGTTGACCTGGCTATACGTTCTCTCCAGTTGACCTGGCTATACGACGCGTTCTCTCCAGTTGACCTAGCTATACGTTCTCTCCAGTTGACTTGGCTATACGTTCTCTCCAGTTGACCTGGCTATACGTTCTCTCCAGTTGACTTGGCTATACGTTCTCTCCAGTTGACTTGGCTATACATTCTCTCCAGTTGACCTGGCTATATGCTCTCTCCTGTTGACCTGGCTATACGTTCTCTCCAGTTGACCTAGCTATACGTTCTCTCTAGTTGACCTGGCTATACGTTCTCTCCAGTTGACTTGGCTATACGTTCTCTTCAATAGACTTTAATGAGCTTAAATAATTCAAACTATAAATGTATATATATTATAAAGTTTCCAGAGGAAAACGCTTTAAAATTGATTTCTTTTCTCTTTCTATCTGTTTACATTTGCGCCCACAATAATAAAAATAAACTCAGTTCAACTGAGACAGATTGCGCAAGCAAAAGCCACGAGAGCTATAAAGGAATTTAGTCGCGGCCACAAACTTAAATTTACAAATCCCTACATCCTTGCAACCTTATTGTGTAAACCTTTGATATTTCATACTTAGATTATTTGATCTAACAAAATGCATAGTTAGATTGCACTAGTTGAAAAAAGTATTTAGGGAGTGGAAAAAGGATCGGAATGAATCGTTTTCTTACCATGGAATAAAACAGTAGAGAGAGATAAACTCATTCTTCCAAACAGGACCAATACTCTCTAGAGTTGAACTGAGGTTACTCAAACGTTCCTAAATAATATCATTTAATGCTTCAGGTTGATATCAAGCCATATTTTGAGGCAGTGAGATAGTTTGTTTACTGAGATTTCAAGTTGAAATAGTTAACAAAGTCCTTAAAATGAATTGAGTCTTAGCCACAAACTCAAATTTTCTAATCTCTATATCTTTGCAACCTTTCGGTTTAAGTCTTAGATATTTCAAACTTAGATTTTTATACCTAGCAGAATTTATAGTTTGAAATATCAGTGGTCCACGACTTAGATTATTAAATCTAACAGAATTCAATGTTTGAAATATCAATGGTCTACTACTATTAAATCCGACCTCGGGAGATTTTAAAACAGGTTCTGTCTGTTATCTATAATTGGTTGTATGTTTATCTATACCTAAGTTTGAAGAAGAAGAAATGTTTATCTATACCTGGAGATTATCCACCCTGGTTGCAATCCATTCCCTCTTAGTACAGTTTCCTACATAGTCAGCCTCCTCACAACGTGACCGCAATCTTTAATAACAAATCTTTAATCCTCACAACGTGACCGCTACCTTTAATAACAAATCTTTAATCCTCACAACGTGACCGCAACCTTTATAACAAATCTTTAATCATCACAACGTGACCGCAAACTTTAATAAAAATTTTAATCCTCACAACGTGACCGCAACCTTTAATAACAAATCTTTAATCCTCACAACGTGACTGCAACCTTTAATAACAAATCTTTAATCATCACAACGTGACCGCAACCTTTAATAACAAATCTTTAATCCTCACAACGTGACCGCAACCTTTATAACACATCTTTAATCCTCACAACGTGACCGCAACCTTTAATAAAAAATCTTTAATCCTCACAACGTGACCGCAACCTCTAATAACAAATCTTTAATCCTCACAACGTGACTTCAACCTTTAATAACAAATCTTTAACCCTCACAACGTGACCGCAAACTTTAATAAAAAAATCTTTTATTCTCACAACGTGACTGCAACCTTTAATAAAAAATCTTTAATCCTTACTTTACGTGACCGCAACATTTAATAACAAATTTAACTTAGATTCTAGAATTAAATTGGTTTCTTGTGAAAGATCAATCCGAATTATAGAGTTTTATTTTGTGAACACTTAAACTAAACTAACTAAATACTGTAAGACCCATAAAACTGCGGAATAGGAAGACGACATTTTAACAATCTTATGTGTATTGAATGTTGTTATAGAGCAAATATTTTTACCAGTAGCTCGAAAATCTACATGGATCAGAATTACAAACTGTTGTGATGTATCGATTAAAAACAGAAACCTTTGTGATGCATCTATCAGAAATTATGATAAGTCTTTGTGATGCATTGATCAGAAATAAATACAAAACTTAATGATGCATCGATCAGAAATAAATACAAACCTTTGTGATGCATCGATCAAAAACAAACTTTTGTGATGTGTTGCTTATTAATACAAACCTTTGTGATGCATAGATCAGATAAACAAACCTTTGTGATGCATCGATCAGAAATGAGGTATCAAAGCTTTCCCAGCCAGCAATAAATCCGACACTCACTACAAAAAATTTACTCAATCATATCTTTAAAGAGAAAGTAAGCGTAATTTCAAGTGACCCTCCATGCAAAGATAAACTGAAATTTTTTATGGATATTACAATTTTAGAAAATAAAACAAACTAAAATATATTTTTTTCATGTTTAGTTCAAGTTCAAATATTCTATTTTGATGATTTTCTGAATATCTCTGATAAAAATAAATAATTAGTCTTGCTTCATAGTTCATGTTTTACTTTCTCTTAATGATAAGAAGAGGGTGGATGATGGGAGATTGAAATTCATTAACATTGATTTTAGACATTAACCTATATCTCTAAATAAAAATAGTAATCTATTTTTGCTTGTTTCTATGTCCGAAGCATAACTCACGAACCCCATGACCGATTAGCCTCAAATCAGGGAACTCGGTAGAACCACATGAATGTTCTTAGCCATGGTTTAAAATTTCTAATTTGAACTCTTATCAGGAAAACTTAGTTTCCTGGCAAAGCTGGGATCCCAAGCTAGTCTGTATTTATAAAGTAGTAATCACTATTTGTCTGTTTGTTTGTTCATAACTCAGGAACCCCTTGACCAATTTGCCTCATGTTTTGATTAGGTAACTCAGTAAAACTATGGGAATGTTCTTAGTTTGGTTAAACGTTTAAGTTGAGTTAAAGCTTACTTTTATAGAAAAAAATATCTTCCAGGCAAATCTGGGTTCCCAAGCTATAAATATAAAACCTTACCTCCGACAAAAATTACAGTAAAACATAGAAGAATGGCCCCGATAGCAATTGATCCGTGCTTATTGCTGAACTAAACATATATTGTAAAAAAAAGAATATAAAAATAAGATGTTTATATAAAATAAAACATGCTATCATCAGTAAGCCTTAAAATTTTAAATACTCTAATTTGGAAAATGACCTGCCACTTAAAATATTTCATGAATTTATGGATTTTCATGGATTTTTTTCTTTTTAGTTTTCAACCAATGTAAACTATAATCATGTTTAGATAATAAATTGATTATTTCTAAAACTATACCTTAAAACAGCAGGAATCAAAGATCGGCATAATTCTAAATTTTTTAAGAATTAAAAATAAATTTTATTGAAAACACGAAGGAACTGAACACTTGCCACAAACTCAAATTTTTAGCATCTCTATATTTTTTTCCACCTGATGGTGTAAACCTTTCATGTTTAAAACTCATCTAATATAATTTTTAGTAACATCAAAAGTCTCGACATTAGGTTTCAAGGAGCTGTTTACTACTAAAAAGAAATGTACTGAAAGGAACTGTATACTACTGGAAAGGAATGTACTGGAAGGAACTGTATACTACTGGAAAGGAATGTACTGGAAGAAACTGTATACCACTGCAAAGGAATGTACTGGAAGGAACTGTATACTACAGGAAAGCAATGTACTGGAAGGAACTGTATACTACTGGAAAGAAATGTACTGGAAGGAACTGTTTAGTACTAAAAAGAAATGTTATACTGGAAGGAACTTTATTTACAACTAAAAAGAAATGTACTGGAAGGAACTGTATACTACTGGAAAGGAATGTACTGGAAGGAACCATATACTACAGGAAAGAAATGTACAGAAAGGAACTGTATACTACAGGAAAGAAATGTACGGGAGGGAACTGTATACTACTGGAAAGGAATGTACTGGAAGAAACCGTATTTACTACTGGAAAGGAATGTACGGGAAGGAACCGTACTTAATACTGGAAAGGAATGTACAGGAAGGGACCGTAATCACTACTGGAAAGTAATGTACGGGAAGGAAACGTATTTACAACTGGAAACTAATGTACGGGAAGGAACCGTATTTACTATTGGAAAGTAATGTACGGGAAGGAAACGTATTTACAACTGGAAACTAATGTACGGGAAGGAACCGTATTTACAACTGGAAAGAAATGTACGGGAAGGAACCGTATTTACTACTGGAAACGAATGTACGGGAAGGAACCGTATTTACAACTGGAAAGGAATGTACTGGAAGGAACCGTATTTACTACTGGAAAGGAATGTACTGGAAGGAACCGTATTTACTACTGGAAAGGAATGTACTGGAAGGAACCGTATACTACTAAATTAAAAGGGAATACCGGGATGTATCACAAGCTTTCTCTGTTCTCCTATACACCGAACCCTCAGCACGAACCTTCAGAACCAAATACAAATATTTTTTACATGGAGGTTACAGAAAGGGGAGGAGGGGGTGGAATACATTGGAATTTTCTCTTTAAACATAATTTGATGATAATTAAACAGTTTTTACTCGCTTGGTTTAAGAGTTTTCATGAAGTATATTAATCTATGCCCGCATTCCTGAAATAAAATATTAATAAAATAAATGTTTAAATACTCTACTTTAACTTTTACTCCCCATACATTTTTAATCTGAGCAAACCATATTGATTTAAAACCCGAACACATGATTGGGTAGACCATGAGCTCACATTTTTGGACTGTTAAACCATCAACCCTGCATAACCTCAAAGTTGATTTTATAAATCTCATAGACTTGCGACAAATCCCTTAGATATTGCTAGCTCTCTTATTTCTTCAGTAACAGGAAATGTTTGAATTATTTATGGTACTTCTATTACGCTGACAGATTACTGAATTCCTTCTATTTTTGTTTACAGATCTTCTTAATACAAGTTTTTCAAACTACAACATATCTCCTGTGCAATCCTGAACTCTAAAACTTGATACAGATCTCTTGAACTCTTTAACTTGTTACAAACCTTCTAAGCTCGTTAATTTGATGCAGATCTGCTGAACTTCTTAACTTGATACAGATCTCTTGAACTCTTTAATTTGTTACAGATCTTTTGAACTCTTTAACTTGTTACAAACCTTCTAAGCTCTTTAATTTGATTCAGATCTGCTGAACTCCGAGACTTACTGCAGATTTCTTGAACTTCTTAACTTAATACAGATCTCTTAAACTCTTTAACTTGTAACTTGTTACAAACCTTCTGAGCTCTTTAATTTGATGCAGATCTGCTGAACTCCTTGACTAACTGCAGATCTTTTGAACTTCTTAACTTAATAAACAGATCTCCTGAAAACTCCTTAATTTGTTACAGATCTCTTGAACTCTTTAACTTGTTACAAACCTTCTAAGCTCTTTAATTTGATGCAGGTATCCTGAACTTCTTAACTTTATACAAGTCTTCTGAACTCTTTAACTTGTTACTGCACTTTAAATTTAAAAGTCGTAATTAAGCGATAAAAAGTCGCCTAATCGGGTGAAAAAGTTGGATGGCACCCGATTAGGCGACAAATCGCTTAACATAAATCGCTTATTTTTAAAAAATCGTTTTGTTTCAACAAAAAAAATCGCTTATATTGTAGAAGAAGTTGGTGACTGCCAAATAAGCGACACAAAATCGTTTATTTTCAACAAAAAATCGCTTATTTTTAACACAAAAAACGCTTATTTTTAACAAAATCTCTTACTTAAAAAATCGTTTTAATTCAACCAAAAGATCTCTTATATTAAAAAAAATCGTTTTAATTTAACCAAAAAATTCAACAAAAAAATGTTTTTTCCCCGTGTACACTTAACAGTACATAAAGAATTGTACAGATGTTGTTTAATTTCTCAAACTTTAGTTTAAAAGTTATTGAAAAATTTGAAAGTTATATAATATAGTCAACACTAAACTCGTTTACATGTACATTAAGAATTGTATAGTATGTCGTTTAATTTCTCAAACTTTTTAGTTTAAAAGTTATTGAAAAATTTGAAAGTTATATAATATAGTCAACACTAAAATCTTTTTAGTTTAGTTAATACCTATTGCATTAGCTAGCTCAACCTTATTATTGATACGGATATCTTTGTTACACTCTTTAAACGTTCTTAGCATAAATTATCTTTGCAAGCTAAGGATGAAACCTTTAGCATCTCAGACTTAGAATTATTGATCGAACAGAATTCATTGTGTGAAATATCTGAAGTCTACGACATGGGATTGCAAAAATATAGGGTTTAGAAAATCAGAGTTTGTGATAGAACCTCGGTTCTATTTTTAAGTGTTCTTATAACTTGTCAGGATAAAAAGGAAAAATAAATCCTGGGGCTTTTATTACAAATGTTATCATCAGTGCTTAGGATCCGGATCCGTTGGATCCGCAAGATTTTGGCTTCCTGGATCTGGATCCAGATCCGCAAAAATATGTGGATCCACGGATCCGGATCCAAGGGGTAAAATATCAACCAAAAGCTGTAAAAAAACGTGTTCACTCCTAAAACCCAAATCTGAACTATTTAAAAAGATATTGTAAAAATTTCATGCTTTCTTAATGGGTCATCAAGTTTTAGCATAAAAATAAGCGAAAAAATAAGACAAAATCTTAGAAATTCTGCTTTAGTAAAAAATTCATTAAGTCTTAAAGAAATGACTGGGATCCTGATCCATTTTTTTCAAGTGCGGATCCAGGATCCACATCCGGATCGCCATGAAAATTAAATGGATCCTAAACACTGCCTGAAATCCGACTAAAACAAATATGCTATGATAACCAGCGCTTAGGATCCATTTAATTTTGATGCGGATCTTGATCCTGGATCTGTACTGGATCCAGGTCATTTCTTTAAGGTTTACTGAATTTTTTTAACAAAAAATAATTTTCAAATTTTTGGTTTTATTTTTTTTTGCTTATTTTTATCCTAAGACTAGCCTGTCCTAGCCGCAGTGCTCGGCCCAGTAATTGTCTTAACCTAACCTAAATTAAATCAATCCTAACCTAACTTAACCCTAAAATGATAAAAAATAAATAATAATAATTTTGCTGAAATCATGTACAAAATATCACATATCGGCAACAATGCTCTTGTTTCCGGATCAGAAAACGCATTTTCACAGTAAATAAGACGGGGGGGGGGAAGTTTTAGAAATTCTTAACTATATGAGAACTCATTTAATATGGTTAAGGATAAGCCCCCCACCCTCAGGAAAAAAATCCCCCGATCCTGAGCTTCTTAATCGTTTCATCCAATAGTTTCCGACATAATATGCTGTTTGATGTTTGATTTGAAGATTTGTTTTTAAAGATGCAAATTATGCGACTTTTAGTCGTCTATTATGAAGTATTTTTTTACTTCACAAATAACGATTTAAAATCGTTTAAAATGCAACTACAAATCGTTTATTAAGCGACTTTTTGTCCTCAATTTCACTATTTTCAGATTTAATCAAGAGTGTGATCTCCTGAACTCCTGAACTTGCTACAGATAAGTAGTGAGAAAGTAAGTAAGTAAGTAATTATTTAGTTATTTATAAATGCCTTACCTTGTTAAAGAATCTCCAAAGCTCCTTAACTTTTTACAGATCTCCTAAACTTCTTAACTTCATAAAGATAATAAACAGATCTCCTGCAAACTCCTTAATTTGTTACAGATCTCTTGAACTCTTTAACTTGTTACAAACCTTCTAAGCTCTTTAATTTGATGCAGATCTTCTGAACTACTTAACTTGATCAGGTATCCTGAACTTCTTAACTTTATACAAATCTTCTGAACTCCTTAACTTGGTATAAAGCTCCTGAACTCCTTAACTTGTTACTGATATCCTGAACTCCTGAACTTGCTACAGATAAGTAGTAAAAAAGAAGTAATTATTTATTTATTTATAAATTCCTTATCTTGTTAAAGAATCTCCAAAGCCCCTTAACTTTTTACAGATTTTCTGAACTCCTTAACTTTCTACAGGTCTCCTAAACTTCTTAACTTCATAAAGATATCCTGAACTTCTTAACTTTATGCAGATCTCCTAAACTTCTTAACTTGGTAGAGATCTCACTAACTCCTTATCTTGATAGAGATCTCCTGAACTCCATGGCCTTGATATAGATCTTTGCAACTTCTTAATTTCTCAAAAATCTCCTGAACTCCTTATCTTGATACAGATCTTCTGAATTCCTAACCTATATAAAATACATATAGATGTTAAGAACTCCTTAAATTGTTATAGACCTCCTGAACTCCTAAACTTACTACAGAACTCCTTTAACGTCTTTCTTTATTTTCTATCAGTCTCTCCTTTTGTTCACAAATAAAAGGTTGGATATTATTTTGTGTTTATTTTTAACTCTATTCTGAAGCTGGTTCAATATATCGAACGAAGTATTAAGTCTGATAAACAGTATTCAAATACTATGTGTGGAGCCAACACTTTATTCTTAATAATATTCTGGTAAGGTAATACCTATAATTCTGATAAAATTAAGAATTATTCTGGTAAGTTAATACCTATACTACTGATATAATTAAGAATTATTCTGGTAAGTTAATACCTATACTTCTGATATAATTTAGAAATATTCTAGTGAGTTAATACCTATAATTCTGATATAATTAAGAAATATTCTAATAAGTTAATACCTATAATTCTGATATAATTTAAAAATGGTAAGTTAATGCCTATAATTCTGATATATTTAAGAAATATTCTGGTAAGATAATGCCTTTAATTCTGATATAATTTAAAAATGGTAAGTTGATACCTATAAATTGATATAATTAAGAAATATTCGAGTAAGTTATTTCCTATAATTCTAATATAATTTAAAAATGGTAAGTTATTACCTATAATTCTGATATAATTTAGAAATGGTAAGTTAATACCTATAATTCTGATATAATTTAGAAATGGTAAGTTAATACCTATAATTCTGATATAATTTAGAAATGGTAAGGTAATACCTATGATTCTGATATAATTAAGAAATATTCTGGTAAGTTAATACCTACGATTCTGATATAATTTAGAAATGGTAGGTTAATACCTATAATTCTGATATAATTAAGAAATATTCTGGTGAATAAGCCACAAATAATAACAACTTCTTGACTATTTTTCACATTGTTTTACATGCTTTTGATAATATATCGAAAATTTAACAGAGATAATCACAAGTCTTGATATTTTTCTCTAAATTTTTCTTTTAACTTAAAATTAAACAAATTCTGACCTATTCAGTATTCATATATCCTGGTGATAAAATGTCAACTTATTTATTTTTTTTTAAATATTCTGATATATTTATCATGGTGTTTTAAATTGAAAAATTAAACGATTGTTAGGTTAGCAAGCAAATGTTTTCTCACATTGCAAAAAATAATTTATTTTTAAACCTAAAAGGTATGTTTGCAGTGTTCGGCAATAAAAAATATAATTTGATCAAAATAAATCGTAAGGGAAGGTCAATTAAGCCGGTATTTAGAAAAAATCTTTCTTAATTCTTTATATTAAGTTGACTGTTTTTATTAATGGACAGTTACCGGTTCTTTCTTGAATAATCAAAAGATGTGATTTTTAAAATTTATCTTGCTCTAAACAAGAAACTTTATTTTGCTTTTTTGTTCAGATATATACGCTATGTCAATACGACACAATGTCATAAACAAATTTATTACTTTTAATGAAATTATTTTAGGTTAAACTTTATCCCATTGTGCTTCTCATTAAAATGTATCAGGTAAAGTTTAGAAAATTATTTTTTAAGTTCTTCATAACTTATTTCGTTCATTGATAGTTTATTTTAATTATAAAGGCATTGAATCCCCAAAACTCAAATTTTCTAACCCATATATCTTTGCAACCTGATGGTGTTATTAACTCTTCGATAATTCAAAATCAGAATTCATAAATTAAAATATCTAAGATATAGGGATTAAAAAATCAGAGTTTGTGGCACTGACTCAATTCCATTGTTTGAATGGGCTATATTTACTTGCATGTGAAAAGCTGTAAAAACATCAAAAATATAATTTTTATAGTTTCGTTTGTTAAATTTTATCAAGAAAAAATTAAATTTTTCGACCGCAAACTGGTTTTAACTGTTTCAGTAATTTGCATTTTTGAACTTGATTTTTTAGTCTGAATGATCAGGTTCAAGCTTGTTTTTGCGTACACTTGAGCTTTCCGGATCTACTAATAAATCTCTGGTTTTAATTGGATTTCAAAGTTCACTACAGTTAGTTAAAGAGTATACTTTATTAATAAATACACAGGTAGTACAAGAGGTATCGTAGATATTTTAGTTCTACACGAGTTTATGTCAACCTGTCAAGGTACTCATTTCTACCTTAAACCTTTTATAACTTTTATAGAGCACAGTGTTGCGGACGATGGTTGTTGTAATACAAAAGTTAAAGCACTAAACAACTGTTTCTCTTGTTATAGCACTACTGTTAATGAGTTGCTGTAGAAAATTAATATTTATAATGCTTACATTCAGCCTTTAAAAGTTTGATATTCATTTTTTAAAGCTTAATTTCTAGATCCATTGGGAACCGAAACATTGAGTATGATCGAAGAGTAAGTGTAGAGTGTAGAACTGAGAAACTCTCTGATCTCCGGGTATCCTGTATACTACACAGGGACGGATCCTGCAGATACTGTGTCAGGTCTAGTAATATTCTGATAGGACTGTTCCTGGATGCAAATTCCATTCTTCATTAAATGTTTCAATGTTAAAAGGAAAACTTCCGAAGTCTCCGCTCACTTTTTTATTTGGGTTTCCAGGGGCCGAATTTAATGAATTTGAACCGATAAAAGGTAGTGGAGCGGGGTAGCTCAAATTCATCAAATTTAAAGAGTCCGTGGAACTTATCTTGTTTTTAACATACATACATGTATGATATCAGCCAATCTCTAAATAAAACTTTGATCCTATTACGCCTTGAACAACGTGGTTAGAGTTCTGAACAATAATGATAGTAAAATATATGATTAGCATTACTCATTACTTCGGCACCAAGTATCTAAATGTAAGCTTGTGATCAATCACGTTTCATTATTTAATTATAGCTTATCTATTTGCCTGTTTGTTTGTGTCACATAAACGCCAAAACGTCTGAACTTATCAGACTCAAATTCGTTGTAAACCCTCACTTGACTGAACTGACTCGATCTAGGGAAGGTTTACGAGATGTTAGGTACTTTCCCAAAGGATTTTTCCCAAGTGGCAACTTCCCAAGGGTATGTTCCCAAGTTGCCGCTTGGGATATTACACATTTGCGAAGTTGCCACTTGAGTAATTGTCACTTGGGAAGACGCCTCTCGGAAAATGCCTTTGGGAAAGTACCTAAACACCGTTTACGACGGATAGAATAACATTTTTCTTTAATAAAAGTGTAGACTTTTATATTTTGGAATATCCACCAATGAAAATCGACGAAATCTTAAATTGTCTTTTTGTTTAAAGTCTAGGAATTTTTATGATTCTAGGAGCTACGGAGATTCAGGAGATGGTATATTCTCTTTAAATAGATCTTGTCTGGATACATCCAGGTACAGGATACAGCAGGAACAGGAGGACTGGGGATACAGAAGGTATACAGGGGATACAGGAGATACAGTGGATAAAGGAGATACAGGGGATACAGGAGATACAGTGGATAAAGGAGGTACAGGGGATACAGGAGATACAGTGAATAAAGGAAGTACAGGAGATACAGTGGATAAAGGAGGGGATACAGGAGATACAGTGAATAAAGGAGGTACAGGGGATACAGGAGATATATAAGTTACAGGAAATACAAGAGGTACTGGGGGATACAGAAAATACAGGGAATATAGGGGATACAGGGTATACACGGTAAACAGGAGGTTCAGAGGAGTACTTGGGAAGAAAATACAGGAATACAGGGATACAAGGTAAACAAGGTATACATTGGATACCAGTGATACACGGGATACATAGGATGCAAGGTATATAGCAGGTACAGGAATACTGGGAATCCAGGGGAAACAGGTGATTCAGGGGATACAAGGGATACAGGAGTTACAGGAATACTGGGGATCCAGGGGAAACAGGTGATTCAGGGGATACAAGTGATACAGGAGTTACAGGAATACTGGGGATCCAGAGGTTACAGGTGATTCAAGGGATACAAGCGATACAGGAGTTACAGGAATACTGGGGATCCAGGGGGTACAGGGGATTCAGGGGATACAAGGGATACATGTGATTCAAGGGATTCAAGGGATACATGAGGTACAGGGAATACGGGGGTACAAGGAACACGTAGGTGAACAAAGGGGATTCAGTGGATAAAGGGGATACAAAGGATACAGGGGATACAGAGGGTATAGAAGATACAGAGGATATAGGGGATACAGAGGATATAGGGGATACAGAGGATATAGAAGATACAGAGGATATAAGGAATACAGAGGATACAAGGTTTAGTTTAGAATGTTAATTAAATGTTGATTGTAGGGTAGAAGATGGAAGATATGTATGTGGACTGATGTGGGGACTAGATATGGGAGATCAATGGGTTCGGGACTGTAGCAGTGTGGGTTCAGTTCGGTTCTCCGGGCAAAAGGAGAATAGTCCTAGTAATCCATTCTATATCATGGAGCATGCAGGATCTAAGGAGATCTGTAGAGAAAATATCCTCACCCAGGTACTTAATCATATAAATAACAAGAGTACGCATATTTAGAATTTAAGAATTTAATTAAAAGCATCCTTAAACTTAAAAAATGAACCCTTTACTTTATCTTTTGGTTAAATTCCTAAAACTTATTCCTAACAGTCTGAACTAATGGTTCAGTACTCTTCACATCAACTTTAGTATTCTTGAAACGTTGACTTTATCAATATTTGTATGGATTTTAAATTATAAATAAAAAATGAAAGAACGATAGCAATGGATTTAAAGATAAAACAATGTTAAAGAGGCTGTCGTTTCTATCCATTTAAAAAGTCGTATCCCGATTTCTTTTTACCATTTAACCCTTTATCTCTAGCTGATCAATACTGTGGAAGATATCGTCGTTTTTCAGCTTAAAAGTGTTAAATTCTTACTAGTTTTCATTTTTTTGTAGCAAGAAACCCGCAAGTCATTTTTATAGAGAAACCACTATTTAAAATAATTCATTATTTATAGCTATAAAATAAAACAAGACATTTTTATAAATGTTTCCTATATCCGGCCAAACGGCTGGACAGAATGGGTGCCCCGGGGGTAACATAGGCTAAAAAATTCAAAAATCTTTAATTCCGCGGGCAACGACGGGCACTTCAGCTAGTATAGGATAGATCTTGCGAATCGTACATGTAACTCTTTAAACGGAGGTGCATTGTTTCTTTGTGGTTCTTCTTTGTAACCCCCACCNCCCCCCCCCACTTTGCACTATGTACTACCTAGAAATAACATTTACTTGGTTTGTGTACTAGGGAAGACGAGTGAATTTTTGTGTATGTTTTGGAGATCTTTGCAATTTTGGAGGAAGAGACAACCTGGATTTTACTCTGGGTATTTTTACACTGCTGGTTCTTTTACGACAGTGATAACAAGTTAATAAATAGATTTATTGATTTACAACAAGAAAATGTCTGTTTAGGAATATTTTCAGTCCTATTTTGATTTTTTTTTTATCAAATATCCGTCAAAAATTTCGTGAGAGACCCTGTACATTTAAAAAAAAATTAGCCCAACAAAAACGCGTAAAATATCAAGTTCAAAATTGGGCCTAAAGTTAAGACTCGCTGAACAAATAATCAGGACCGTGAACCAATACAGTAAGTTGAGCTTAAATTTAAACAATTTATATTTTTCATCTAAAGGAACTGATTACTGGCACTTCGCTTTAATTTTCTAATCCTAAGCCACTGTGATTTAATGGTCTCACGCTCTCAAGCAAAAATCGTTGAGAATTTTGCCAATAACTTCTAAAAAACCACATCTAACAACAAGTGCTTTACAGTGCTAAAATTTACATTTAAAGGGCTACAGAAAAGCATAAGTGAGTTAGAGCGGTAAAATTTAAGCTTAGGGCGTTGCGACACTTCAAAGTCAGCCCTGTCTTAAAAATTGATGAGACTGTTTATAAGGAGGCTGAATCTATGTGAAGCATCTGCAACCTGCAGGTGTCATGGACCTTAGATATTTCAAACTATGAATTCTATAACTATAGGTCATTTTCCGGCGAAGAGTTGAAATACAATATACATACTTTATTTTTGATAAAAATTAAAAAGTTCGATTCAAAACAAAAACTTTTTTTTTGTTAAATGATGATGTTCAGCAACGCTATATAAATCCATGATTAACTGAAATATTTATATATTTACTTATTTCAGCGTAAAAAATATTCATGGGTTGTTCCGTTTTAATCTGAAAAACGCATTATCTTTTTTCAATGCATAATTTGGTAATATTCCAGTTACTAAACATCAAACATGAAGTATCTAGAGGGTTCTATACTACAAGGAGAACCAGAAAACTGTGAAAAAGAAAGACGACATTATAGCAATGTTCGATGTTGTTACAAAGCAAATAGTAACTTAGTAACTAGTACTAGTAACTTCTTAAATCCCATATTACGGTAGATAGGTAACAAAATTGAGCTAATCTTGTGTTTCGTGTTCTTTGGATTGTTTAAAGTCATAACTTGAGTCTAAACATTGTTTTTCTATTCCAGAGTTTTCTGGTTCTCACCGTATCTAAAGTAAAACCAAGAAGATTTAAATGTAAAATTCATCCTTACTAAAGGGTAATTGCAAATTGATTGATCATCTTCTGTGTATAGTCTATAGTCTGTAACATCACTAAACTTACAAAAAAGTTGCCAAATGTTAATTTTAAGAACTCCATAGAACGTCTCAAAAATTTCTTTTTGAGAAAATACATTTTTTTGTTGCAAATAAAATTAACATTTTTGTTACAATATAATTTGTATTTTGTTACAATAAAATTTACATATTCTGTTGAAATATAATTTATATCTTTGTTACAATATAATTTTTATTTTTTGTTACAATATAATTTACATTTTTGTTACAATATAATTTACATTTTTTGTTACAATATAATTTTTATTTTTGTTACAATATAATTTACATTTTTGTTACAATATGATTTACATTTTTTGTTACAATATAGCTTATATTTTTTGTTACAATGCAGTTTACAAATTTGATGGATTGTTACCATGAAAATGTTTGTTACATTATTACATACATTTTTGGGGAGTATAAAGTAGATAAGTTAAAAATCTCCATGTATGGTGTGAACTGTACATCAATTATTATCAAAATTATTAATTATCAAGATATCTAAATCAGTATAATTCTTAAAATCCAGAATTCGACCCAAATGTTTTTTTTACACTTATAGCTTGATCCAAATCAGTACAAGGATTTACTGGTCTGGTGTGATGAACCCGGTGTATAGTTGACCCATCGTGTTTTATGCAACAAATGTAGACTGGCAGGAACCATGTGAAAACTGTTAAAGTATCTACAGAGGGCATTTTTACTAGGCAACCCCCGAATATCCATTGTGTAAACGTATTGTTATGTATTGTCAGTACGCAATATGCATATATCAAAGGTAATATCAAACAGTTTTGGGGAAAAAAGAGAAATAAAAACTTTAGAATCGGGCGTCAACTTAGAAATAGGAGAAAGAGTATCCAGTATTTTGAAAAAAAATATGTAATAAGAAATATATTTTTTTGGGACGAACGGAGAACATGGGAATGGGGGGTAGGAGGGGTAGCTACAGTGCTGACAACACCGGGCCGGAGTTGAGAAATCACGTTGAAATCTCCCCCAGTCCTTGTGCGCACATCCTCAGCGCTGGTTTCACTACGCGGCAAAACATGGCCTTGAAATAGTGACTTGTTACAACTGACCTTGAGATTGTTGCCTTTGCTCGGGCGAACATATATTCTAGTTATGCAGGGATAGATATTCTTCTCGCCAGGTAATTTAAAATCTTTAATTTTATTTCCAATAATTTTATTTTTTATGTTAGAATTTTTGTCCAATATCAAGCTTATTAAATGGTAGGGTTATCCCTGTCAGAAACTACCCGTATAATCCCAGGATACAAGGAAAGGGACTGAAATTAAACTCAACCTGTAAATTCTAAACTAATGATTCAAGGAAAATTAATAAAAGGATCAGGAGCATGATTTCCAGGCGCAGGGGTGTTAACAGAGAAGGAACGATTGACAGGGTGGGGGGGGGGGGGG